TTCATGTCAGGTGCCGAGCCTGATTCCATCCTCTGAGCTCATCCGGACCTGGAATAACAGCGATCAGCGGCCAGATGACGTCCTCGACGACGGTAGCATGCGGGGTCTCGAGGCACGACCGGAGCATCTGTGGCAAGGATGCGTCATCTCTGCTGTTTGGGGAGCAGGAACAGAGCTTCCTGCAGCGAGAACTGGACAATCTGGGCAATCACGAGCTGAGGAGGGTGACCTGCCTGGCCAGTCCGGCAGAGTTTCCTCCGCCCCGAGGTGTTTGCGAAGCCAAGGGTATTCAATAGCAAGCCCTCACGAGCCTGATCGAGTTCTTCTGGCTTGTGAATAACGCAAACCTGGAAGAGCTGTCGCAGCCTCACGTGGCTGCTGTACGTTGACGCTGCCGCGTGGGAGTGAGTTCTTTTCATTTCCGGGAGTTCAAGATTAGAAACCAAGGATTTGACTGCGTGTTACTCCAATTGCCTCACAGTTCGACGCTGAAAAACATGAGGTCGTTATGCGCCGATTGGGTCGAACTCTGCCTACTTACCCGCATAACTCTCGATCGCTATGCAATCGGGGATACGGAGTGCAACCGCTTAAGAAAGTTTTAGCGCAAATGAGCGAGCTCGCTTCCTGCATGGAGCGCGTCAGTCTTTACTGAGATTCAACAATCGGCCGACTTAAAAGCAGTTCAAACGCGATCATGAGTGTCGCGTTGTTGGCAACAGCCTGCGAGATGGCTCTTCCAGGACACTTCTGATGGGGAAAGTATGCTCAGGATCTTGGTGCATCAAGGGCTCGGTGGTCGATTCGCGCGGTTGCAGTCATGGTGCTGAAAGACATCAATGATGGGTGACACGGTGCCTTTCGGCCGCGGCGCGGGTGGCGGGCCTCAAACTAAGCGCTGGTTGTCAAGGCGAAGATCCCACATCCGCCCTGCCTGATCTAGAAATTAGGGTACGCTCGGAGAAATTCGTTCTACTTAATGGCGATTGATAGGTAAGCCCCTGCAACTTAACTGGAAGGCATTCCATTCAATCCAACGAGGCCATCGAAATACAAGCTAGATAGCCAAAAAAAAAAACTCCATCCGCTACGCCCATCCCTGAAGAAGAAAGTACACACTATTTTCGATGACGAAATCATGGAATAACGACAGCTGGAGAGGCAGGAGCAATGTTGACCGTTCCAGGCAGACGCAAAAAACTCTCTCCGTACGACGCCTCGTCTCCAGCTTCCGGCCACGCGGAATCATCGAACCCCATCTGGAACCAGGCACTCGTCACCAAGCTCGCATTCGACGTGGCTTTCCACCCGATCTCTTGCGTCTGGACCGCCAGCGTGGCGGTGCAGTTTGCCCGGCCGGTCGGGCGCATCGTGATCACCGCAGTGGCGATGAAGCCGGCGGCGGCGCCGTTCACGTTATTCTGCGCAACAGCGGCAAAGACGATTGTGGGCGGGGGCGAGGTGAAATGGACGACCCAGTGATCGGCGACGATGTTGCTACTCCCGCCGCCGAGGATGACGCCGTTGACGATGAGCGTGTACTGATCTACGGCAAGGACGGCGATGTCGACCGAGGCGGGCAACTGGTTCGCGACCGTCGGTGTCCAGGTTGACCGGAACCAGCACGGGCCGGATGGGATCGGTCCTCCAAGAACGGCCCGGTTCCAGATCCACACGGATCCATCGAACGAGAGAGGCAGGGAGGCAAGTTTCGTAGCGGGCACGTTCACTGGCGCTGCGGACGCGGTGATCCAGGCCGTGTCGTCAAAGGACAGCTCGGGCCATCCATCGGGCGATGTCACAGACGCGCGCCAGGACGGATCGCTCAGGAGAATGTCTGTGCGGAGATTGTCGTACGTGACCAGAATCGTCGCGATGAACCCTGGAGTGGTGAAGTGATCGATCATGGTTGAGTTGATTGCAAATACGTTCAAGCTGGGCTCTGTGTCGACACAAAAGTGGGAAGCTGTAGACTGGTCCGAGAGATCCGGTCGCGAAACGGGACCCAGAAGTTGGCCGTTCATGAAGAAGTTCATGTCCGTGTTTGCAGTTGCGATGATGATCTCTGCTGCAATCAGGGAGCGACCGAACGGAGGACTGAAGTCTTTGCGGAAGGCTCCCTGGATCGATTGCTGGTTGACGGGTGTGATCCAAAGCCATTGGGATGCAGAGAAATTGAGCGATTGGGCAACTCATATCAGGAGTCAGTCTCGGACGAGGCCTTCAGGGATGAGATGACACTCGGGCACGCACCAGCTGTCGATGGTCCCAAGAGAAGATTTAAGATACAGAGCAACTTGGAATTCATACTTGAAACTCTGAAGCTTGAGAACATGACTGGCAGAAGAGTGCCTACACTTGTGTCCTCAGCGATGTCCTTTATACCTTTCTTGCAACATCGTTTCCCATCATCGTCAGGTCCAGGGGGAAGGAAGGATCACTTTGACTGTTCGACATTGCGCAGGATCAGACAGAGATCAGCTGAACAAGCTCGCGGGAATCGAGAAGAATGCGGTGTGTGAAGGAGGACCAAAGACAGGACCGCATATTACCGGAGCATCAGATCGGGCTGTTGTCACGTGGACCCTACACTTCCAGATAATCATTTCGAAGCTCAGTCGATAGCGGGCAGAAATTTTTGTGCAGCTCAAGTCTGGATCAGAATTTGATTAAGAAAAAAGCGCCTAATTCGCTCGGCACAGCGAATCGAAGCGAGAGCGAGCAAAAGTTTCCGGTCATAATCACGTGACTTGATGTTGACATTAGCTAGAATAGTGAAACTGATAATCTGATTATTCGTCGGTAACGGTTTCAACGAGTGTCGCACGGTCCGTTTTTTAGAAGAAAAAACCGAGGCATCCGATGATCAAATAATAACGATTCTGGAAAGTATTGAGTGCATAATTATCCGCACAAAGCAAATCGACGCACCCGTCCCACCATGCATTCTTGTGTCGACGCGTGTCACGAGTCCACCATCTTTGTGTATCACCAAGCTGTACTCTCTGCAGCGTAGGCAGTTGAGCTCCAAGTAAACGGATCACGTCGTGAGCAAGTGGAATGGGATAGAGATCGTGGTTGGTGATAATATCGGCCGGCTCGTCATGGTAGCGAGCCAAATGCAGGGAAGCCAACACGAGGCACTCGAGAGACGGCGAAAACTCGATTCCACCCGCTGTTATCAGTGTCAAAAGTGACTTGAACGAAATCAGCACAGCGAGCAGCCATTTGCCATGCGACGGACCTCGAAGCAGGCAGGCTCCTGGCGCTCTTCTCGTCTCTGGACACCTTCATGGTGAAACAACTGAGAATAATGGCTGGGCTTCATCGCATGAGCTGGAGGATAGCTAATCTGATGAGGTGTCGGCGGACGTGAAATGGATTCAGCCTCTGGCGCAGTATAGTCCGAGTCGAGATCAACGGTGCGAAGATCCGGAGATCCTTGGGACGGGGAGTGAATTTGAGGGCCATGATCACCAAATCCACTGTTCCAAGACGAGAATCCCCATTGATCCCAGGCAATGATGTCGAGCGCACACAGACCGGGCCAATAGCCGCTGACCGTGCGGATCAGCTCCGGAAGCATCCATGTTGCAAGGGTGAATCTGAGTGTGCGCAGGGGAATGTCGCACTGATGCAGCACTTCAAGCGTGTCTCGATACGGCGAGAATGGATCCGGCGCATTGCTTTCCCAGTGCAGGCCACGTAGGTTCACTTCCGTCATATCGCGGCCCGGAGCGCTCCGTGCGAAATATCGCACCCAGGAATGTGGTGCAGATAGCGAGGAGAGCATCGGAAGCAGTTTCCCGCCTTCTGGGTCATGCCGGATAGAAGGGGATAGGCTCCAGCTCCCGCACTGTATGCGCAACTCTGTGGCATTGGGGCAGATCCGCAAAAATGGGAAGAACAAGTCCTCGTTAGGCCAATCAGTGACGATCAAGGTTTGGAGACGCGTGAAAGTCACGCCCAGGCTCAGGAATCCGTTCAAAAGCACTCGAGGCACATTCATCTTCAGCTCGCGAAGCTGCTCCGGAGCGCAGATTGTCACGACAGGTTCGGGATCTATCCCCCGTCCGTAGTATTCGTGATGATGCAGGGTAAAATTCTCCAAGAGAAGAAGCTGGCCACACGGCGGGTCTATTTCGCATCGCCACAGCCGAAGGGTCTTGAGGGATTCCACGGATCCCAATATCTGGCGCAGGGACGTATCGACCGTAATCGACGACAGTTCCAAGACTCTGAGGTGCCTGAAATGAGGTAGAGAGTTGCGGAAGCTGGTGAATGCACGCCCGTAGGCTTGGATGAGAAGTTCCAGATTCGTTATCCAGGGAAAGCGCCCATCATAGCACCTGTATCCATCGCTGCTTCCTCTGAATGTGATGTCGTCAACCTCCTCCACAAGCGCTCCACAAGGAAGAGCACGGTATTGCGCTGCGATGCGACAGAGATGCTGGGTGACTTCGACCCATCGCTTCGGCTCAAACCAGAGGTCTTTGATCGTTGTTTCGATCCTGCGGAAGAGTGCAGGTTGTACGATCGCGCGGAAGAGACGACAGACGAGAGCGAGTCTACACAGCTGACGACGGGAGGCATGAGACCAGACTATGGTCCAGAGCTCTGCGGGCAGCGAGTACTCATGGTGTTGTTGGTGACTCATGGGGGGTCGTGAGTAAGGACAGAGGTACCCACGTGTTTATCACGCGACACACTCGATGCGCCCACACACATCACCACATGCCAAGTTTCTTATGTCAATACCATATTAGAGCGTTGATCATTTGCACCAAGCTAATTCCCATCATCAACGCCACGCGAAAACCGATACAAACCAGCTCTTGAGATCCCGCATCGATTGCCTCCAAAACAATCCCTGATCCCTATCCTGGAAAAGAAGATAGAGAATAGGGCTTGCTTTCTGCCGGCCGATGCGTGAGCATCCGTCAAGAAGCTTTTGCTCGTCTCATTATAGCATCGAGATCCAATTGAATCCCTCGCTAGCATGGACATAACCATCTCAAATATCTTGTTTCTAGCTATTTAAACAAACCATGACTGACTTTCTCAATCGAGTATTCTTTCCAAAATATGACATCTCTCCCAAAGCCTGTAGTGTTGCTGTACTTGCCCCTGTTAAAGCATGTCAGCGAGGCCACATAATCCAAACACACCAATGCTTACAGTCCTCCGTCCTGAACAATGGTGAGTCCCGGTGGAGCCAGCATGTGCACCATCACCGCCCAACTTGACTCGCCCACGAGCAAGACATCGCTCTCGCTCAGCTTTCTCAGGTCATCCAGATCGTCATCGGCCCGGGAGTCCAAGACCGTGAGCTCCGACGTGTGCAGAGGGAGACTGTCCAGAACCCGCTGTTCGGCATTCTCCATCGCCACTTGGACGTGTATCCCGGCTGGGCCGGCCAGCTCGCGCAGATCGTTAAGAGCCGTGATCAGATTGGGCATGGCGAACGAGCCATAGAACTCATGCGAGAGCAACTCGGATGTAGATGAAAAGGTCTTAGAAGTGTCTCCCCAGCGGATGTGGACTCCGATGCGGATCGGGCGTTGTGGAGGATAGGTCAGGAGGGGAAGCGTGTGCGTTGGGGATGGAGCGGGAAGCAAACGCGAGCGGAACCAAGGTGTGATGCAGCCGTTGAGGTCTTGCGTAATCTAGGACAGTGCGATTGAGCAGCTGCTCGAAAAACAGGAGGACCAAGAGACTCACCTCGTGGCTAAATGTATCGAGGATGTTTGTGCATGCCATCATTTCGCTCGTCAGTTCTTCGAGCCGCTCGGACGCCCATTCCGCGCCCTCACAGATGCCATGTGCGAGCTTCTCTCTCTCGTGGTCCTTTATGAAGTCGTTCACGCGGCAGGAATTGCGCAGATCATAATCGAGGAACTGGTTATCAAACACGGGGCCGTTCAAGATCTTCGACAACGAATACCGGAATTCAGAGTCATACTCATTGGCGAGGATAAACTCCGAGTCCAACGCCTCAGCGAAGATCACGCTCTGTTTGAAGTGATGCATCGCCGACTAGATGCTGTTCGTCAGTTGCAGGAACTGTGACCGACGGCTTTCACGCACCCCGAGGCCCTCACCGCCCAGCCCGGCGGCATTCAGATAAACTCTTCTTCCTCTGTGAAATGATGAGTTCATGCTTGAGTAGAGCCGGCGAGGTATGCTCGGTGTCATTTCGCCCATTCGGAAAGTGAAGAGCAAAATCAAGACGAGGCCGCAAATGAGGATCCACCATGGCTTCCCGAAACGCGAGTACATCCTAAGGGTCCAGCGAGGTTATGTCCTAGATTTATACTGTCTCGCCCGGGCGGGAAACAGGCAATCGGAGAACGACGATTGTGGAGGTTCAGGTTGGGATCAGGAGTATCATGCGTCGATCACTGTTGAACGGATCACTTCTGACCCTGTGCACCCAGCCCTTGGCGCGATCCTCTCATGTTATGCAACATTGTTGTGACGAAGAATCTGTGCGCTCCTTGGATAACTTCAGGAAACTAAAATCGATCTACTTCCTCAATGATGACATCTCCGGCTCTGCCCAATGCCTTATCACCCCTCCTCTCGCACGATCCCCCGTTGTTCGAGCACAAGACATTGGCTTTTACCTCTGCCTCCGGCTCAGAGGTAGCTGAGTCGTCAGGCTCATCTTCCTCGGATTCAAATCCCGAACAACACCCGCACCCCTCGATTTCGTTGTCGCTCTCTTCATAGAGGGTATTTGGAACGTACACATAGATCGGGCCTCGGCGTTCCCGGTCTCGAATAGCGCGTCGGATAGATTCCTGACAATCGTGGCAGAACGCATTTATCCGTCGCACGTCCCTGTGGATTTCCGGTCCGAACTTCTGTAGATCCAGCAGCACTTGCGTCAGCGGCTGCCGGAGAGGCTGGAGCAAGACGGACGCACACGTGAGCACCTGTTGCGCTCACACCACTCGGGATGGTACACAGAGTGCTCGCAGTGATTTGATCTGCAGTCGAGCAGGGCGGTCACCAGTTGACGTTCAAAATGCTGACCAGCGTCTCGATAAATCAGTAGAATCAACACTGGAATGAGGCTGATGCGTACTCCACATCTTGTCCAGCGAGTGCCTTCTCTGGAGGGATGAGTGAGACTCTACAGCATGATCGTTTGGGTAGCTCACACAATGCGTTGGCACATCCTCGCAAAGAGATGGCTTGTTCTTGAGAGGAAGCGCAAGAGACGATCTGCAGTCAAAACTGCGAAGCTGGGACGCGACGAGCTGCTAGTCTCTAGTCAACACATCTACATTTTAAAGTGTGTCGGTTATGCTTCATCCCGTCCGAGACCGCAAGCACTTCACATTCATTCCTACATGCACAAACTCATCATCGATGTCATAGATATGAAATGTGCTCACTGAGTGAGTCTGCAATCGAGGACGGCGTAATGGGAAACAAAACCAGGTTGCATACTGGTCACCAGACAAAATGAAATAAGCGAGATAAGTCTTTTCTATTGGCTATGCTTCGCAAGCGTTCTCAATGGTCTAGATGCTTCGACACAGAGCAGCACTGTCACAGTAGAAGCCTAGGCATCCGGGTACCGTGTTCTGCGATCCGCACAGTGCAGAAATCTCATGCGGACGGTCATAAGTACGCGCGTAGGAGACCCTCCTCCGGATGGGGATGCCGGAATAATGCATACACAGGGAAGCAGAGTAAAGATCAAGCTGCTGCTGGGATTGCTCCATCAGTCGCGCCAAAGTACTCCTCGACGAGAGCTTGCTTCTGCAGGACAAGTAACACCGACTCGACCTCCTTCGGTGTTGGCAATTTCGGTGCAAGTAACATTTCGGGCTTGAGGAAGGGCATGTAGGAAACGAGCATCTTCGCGTGTGCCAAGGTTTGGTCAGCTTCGACTGTCGAGGCTGGCATTTCGACATCAGGGTTCGCCGGAGAAGTTGACGGTGGAATTCCTGGAATGGCAGCGTCTTGGGGAAGATCGAGTGCTTCACGCAGATTGGAAGCCGCTTCTTCCCATTCTACGCCGGAATCAGCAAGTCCTTCGCGCTCGCTATCCGTTGTCCGCACCTTCTGCTTCAGCCTCACGCTCATACTCCAGCAGCGTTCCATCGTTCTCGTCAAGATCGCCGTAGTATGAAGGCCCCTGCTTCGTGAACTTCTGGTAATGCGCCATCGCCAGGTTGTCTTCTTCCTCTTCCTTCTTACGACCCTGGAAAAGTTCCCGTACACCTGGTAGTTCTTTCGCGCGACCGAAGTATCTAACCGCGGGTGAGGGATGAGCAAGGGACACGCGAATAACGAGGAGCACAGACTTGTATCCCTTCGTCCCAGGGACCTCTTTCCCGTCGTCATCCAGCATCGCTACATTACGCTTGTAATTCGCTCCACCCAATGCCACGATCTGGTTCTCCCAATGCCGTTTCTCTCGCATGAGTTTGTTGATCTCATCGTTGAGATCACGGAGTTCGTAGTCACCAAGACCAGCTGGATGTCGCGAGCCGCTCGTCAGCCAAGGGCACATGAAGGCGGGGCAAGAAAAGGGCACGCACCATCTTGGATCTTCGCGACCTTGCGACTAATCTCCCTGAGGAGCTCACCACGCCACCTCTCACACTCGCGCATGTTTTTACAGGCACTGGCCATCTTGGGTCGGCGGTCAGCTCGGGTACCTAGACCAAGCTCTGCCGCTTGCGCTTCTCGGAAGCGGTAGAGCATGGACTGGGCTTTCTCTTGATTACGCGCCTATGAATGTTCATAGGGAGTCAGTCTACTCTGAAAATAGCTGAAATAGAACCGTACCATGATGTTTAGACGTAGCCGACGACGAGAGGAAGATGGATGACGGTGGACTAGAGCGAAGGTGCGTGTGTGACAAGAGTGACATTGATGATCTTGACAGGTGGCAGTGTCGTTCTCGGACAGCTCAATCGACACGGGAGCCCTCCAACACCTCCAAAGCCATTCGTAACCCGTTAAGCCGATGAGGACTATTTTGGAACACGGAGAGAAACAAAAATTCTTGTCGAACATCAGGATCAGAGGTGGAGGTCTATCACTCCTCATTTCATGTCCGACTACCTTCCATTCGGGGCATTGGAGCTAGTTTTTGGCCTGAGCTAGGCGTCACGGAATTACGCGTTGAGCCTCGAGATATTAATCCTCTTTTGCCTTATATCTTTGTAAAGCACCCACGGCCGGGGCTTGTTTTGCATAAATCCTGCCCGGACCAAACCGTCCCGCAACCGAGCACCGCCACCTGCCAGCGCAGCAAGGCCAATCAAATTTCATTTTCCATCATCTCCTCCGTCGTCGCTCCAGATGAGCCTGCCAATTCTGGCCCGATCACACTGTTTCAGACGAATCGAAATCTTTCGCGCGGCGATGTGCCAGATGCCCTTCATCGGTTGCGCCAGGATGTCTCGATGCAAAGCAAGTCGGAGCGCAGATGGTCTGGGCGTTGAGGGCCCGCGGAGAAGCCAGGCCGTCATCCAGGCTTGTTTTTCGGACGACCGGATCGTGTTTTTCCAAGGGGCCGATGTCCGCCGTTCTTTATCATGTCTTGATATCGATTGAAATTGGTGCGTATACAAGATTTAGCCATCCCTCGACGCATTTTTGCTCTGTCACTCTGGGGACAGTTTTTCAAACTATGCGATGTGACGCATTCCTATTTCGCAAGTAGAGGACCACACCGCACGTGGAAATGAGGGCGCTGTCAGACTCCCGGAGCATCAGTGGGGTGGTGCCTACGCAACCGTTGCTCGGTCTCTATAAGATACACAATATCTCGCCTGTGTTGTCCCTCTTTCTCTTTCCCAAACCTCTCTATCCTTTCTCTGCTCCCTCAGTCATGGCTTCGGGAACCAATACCATGGCTGCAGCACCACCTCCCACTTCCCACACACTTTCCCGTTCACACCGATTGCGCTTGATGCGATCTACCCGCAAGCTCGGGGCACTCCTGGGCGAGACCCCGCTCGTCATAGAACGAGACGATCCGGGGGAGGAATTCGATGGCGGCCCCCCGGCGATGGTCCCGAGCACTTCCTCCCATGCCTCAACTTCCACACTGAAACGCTCCGCTTCATCGGCCAGCACTATGTCCCGGACCAGCGTCGGAATCTATGTGCGCCGCCATGCGCGCGGCCACGATCCAGCCAACCTCAGCATCTCTTCGCACCATGAAATGGATCCTCGACCGACACTCGTTATCAATCTCCCGCCATCTCACATGTTTGATTCCCATCGCACGTCATGGTCGTCATCTCCTTCGACACCCGCCGAGTCGCCTGTCTTGACGCCAGCGACACTGATATCGGCAGGCCTCACCACACCCACCGCGGGGGACGAGAGTTCCGCGAGGAGGAGGCAGGTCTTGGCAAAGCTCAGCAGGACACTGGGCGAGAACGTGCCACCCGAGCTGGTGTTTCCTGACCCCAAGGTCCTGGATATCCGGGCGTCCGCACCCGCAGTGGAATCGGCCGCGCGCAAACCCCCACTTCGCAGAGCGAGCACTCTGTCGGCAGGAGTATACGAATCCGCACGTCCCACCAACCAGGCTTCCAGCGCGGAATGGGCCAAGCTGAAGAGGAGGAAGAGCTCTGTCCGACCTTCGATCGATTCGTCTGCCACCGAGCGGTCGTATCAGGTTGTGTCGCTGTCTCGTGATCCTGCGATCGCCACCGGCCCCGACGCGGCTGTACCCCGGAGCTGGGCTCCAGGCTATACCATGCACCGTGAAGAAGAGGGATGGTCTGGGGAATGGGGCGGTCGCGACGTCCGCTCCATGGATGATGTCGTGCGCGGACTGCGCGGATTGAAGCTCAAGTGATACTTTGACTATGCGCTGCAGTTTCAGATTAAGTTCTCCAAACGACTGCTCTGAAATCCCAGACAATGTTTCCACCTACATCTCTGTATAACTTTGTAATCTCTACAGCTACTTGCCTTGTATTCTCACAATCCATTGTCATCGTCTGTGGACCCTTGCGCGTTGCATGTGCAATCTCATGTGACGTATCCTGTGACATCCCGAAGCCGCGACACATGCCCCGCACCGAGCTTGACTGTTCCTGCCTCCTGCTCCACGTGCCACACACCCTTCACCGGCAAATGTGCCTTCAGTCCTCATGCTGCTGCTCAGGAAACGCATCAGCGACGGCTTTCTTCCTGACTGATATGAATCCCACTCATGTTAGCTCCGTCGCTAAGAATACCAGAGTCTCAACTCCTGAAACCGAGCCAGCAAGCCCACTCAGATGCGTACTAGCAGTAATCTCCGCTTCTTTTCCTCAATACGACACATGCGCTGCGCTTGTATACCCCTTCCCCCGGTTTCTACTTCTGTCGTCTACTAGGAGAGATCTATTCCTGCGCTGACGGGCTTTCTGGCATGTTTGAGTGAGACCTGAAACATCAGGTGCGCAGGGCTATTAGAGCCTCCACAGTCTGGATGAGTCACCTGTCGTAACAGAGACAGTGGCGTTCGGCTGGACGTCTGGCTTTGTGTCAAAGGCGTACTCGGGCAGCGGGAATTCTTCACAAGTCCCAGCAAATTTTCGATCTTGATGAAAGGCTAGAAAAGATCATGATATGTACTCCTTTTCCTCGGCGTTCGCCGCATTTACCGAGTCCAGACTTCTTTGACACGGAGGCTCTGCCGCTAAGACAGATCGATCTCGGGATCATCTGGCCATGATATCTTGACTTTGCCTCCGATGAATCTGGTTGGCAACCCGAGTTCTGGAGGTATCCGGGCCGGCCCGTAACTCGAACTTCGCGGCCACATTTCTGTACCACTTGGCCCCAAAGTCGAAAGCACGAATGGCGGACCCCTTGCAAGACGTTGCTCGCATCGAACTCGTGGCGGACTGGCAGTGATAATCTTTGATACGGGAAGCGGACGGGGTTTGCCGGCCCTGGTCTGTGCACCCTTACTTATCCATGTCGCCCAGATGTGATGGGATCTTTCACTCTTTCTTTCCTGCAGCTCCACTTATTTCTCCGACACATCCCTCGATGTACTATTACGGGCGCCATGCGCAGCTCCGCGGCCGATAAGCTATAGTGGCTGGACGAACGTCAAGGTCCGCATGCACGATCCGGCCGAGGGTTGACGACGGAGATTTGCCTCGAGGCTGCTGGGCGCAGGGTGCATCGGGGTCACCCAAAACAGACATGCCAACTCTTTATAAGGCATGTTTTTCCCACATGCGATACTGCCACTTCTTCCTTCTGCACCACCTCCATTGTCCCTCTCGCATCCCCAACTCAGACCCTCTTCTCACCACGCATCCCGACTAGCTCGCCACACACGATTCCCTTCACAACCCGCTGAATGGCTTCGTCGATCCCACAGTGCGACTGGGACTGGGTAATCTCGCGCCGCCACCGATTCAGCTCGAAGCACGGCTGACGACTACCTCAGGTCCTGCTCCCCGCCATTATGAACTCAGCCGCCACGAACTCTGTGCCCGTATGTCCAAATCTTGCTTTGGTCTTGCTCACGCACTGAACGATCGTCTGAAGATCGTCCGCATCATTAAAGTGGTTGGTTACGCATGCCTCCGTCTTCACCTGAGTCACTGACACCCTGCTGCTGCCTAGCCCCAACAGGCCTTCCAACGAGTACGTTGACTGCCTCCATCTTGATGTCCTGTATGCTGATCTAGTGCAGGGCTCGACGGCTCCCGACGTGGTAAGACTAATCTCACGGCCTCCGCACGACGGGCTGAACTCTGTCGGCCACTGTTTCTAGTTGGCAGTACGTCACTCAGCTGGCTTTTTTCGCCACTTCTGACCGCCTTACTAGTACCCACAAGCACCGCAGACGCGATTCATCCCTCTCCCCTGCACCGAAGGTTCTTTCCGACTCATGGGGTATACCCCACCCTCGCTCTTCCCCATCCAACTGGCTCGCCTGAGCAGGGCGAAAATGGCCCGTCTCGACTACGGTGCGGCTTTCCCCGTGGACAAGATGATCACCGTGCTGGTCAACAACGGCGATGACCGAGGGGACATTGTCGTTCTCTTCATCGACGTTGGCGGCGCCCGACTCGTTGCCTCCGACATCATCCGCTTCCTTCACACGTTCGCGAAGACCCGAATCACGTATGACCCCCGTGTGATGATTCACTCCCCGACGTTGGGTCTTTCCCTCCTGGACCACGCCACGCACGTGTGGTCTGTCGACGAGGGAACACTCGTGCATCCGCCGACGGTGCTGCTCGGCCGCTTGCCCGTGTAGATGTCTACGTTATCGCTGTCTGTGTCATTGCACTGCTTTCCGTGTCCTCACTCGCACTGTATTACCACCCCACATACTCAAATGTTGACCTACCTTTATCTCTGTATTTAATAATCTATCGTGATTCAATCTGCGTTCCAGTCCGCAGCACTTGGGATTCGTCCAGTCCCAGATGACGCGCGAAGTCAGCAGTCTTGGCGCATTCATTCTCCGCTCCGGGGTCGTGGCAGAGGACACCGCCATGTCCGTGTGGCTGTGTGCCCAGGGTCATGAGCTAATCACCCAGAAGCCTGACACTCGTCTCATCAACAGAGCCTTGGGAAGGGCATGAGAGGGGGCTGGACTTGAATCATAGTCTCCGAAGAGCAGCGGATGGCAGGGTTTAGCATATCGATCCCTGACTCCAATTCAAACGCTGGACCCCAAGTCTCGGCGGTTGTTATCTCCAGACGCTCCGTTGGGTTCTTGATCATCTTCCAGTAATGAAAAGAGGGCTCCTGGGTTTCGTGTCGGCGTAAGTGGCTCAAAACGATATTCCGCAGCTCTGGGATCGCTATCTGCCAGGCGGAGCCCGATTTGGAAAGTGAGCCATCCGTCTCTCTAACAGCGCTTAGACATCAACCTGTTTCCACTCTAGACATTGTCGCGTGCTCAAAACCATCTGCGAAAATTGATTGTTACCCGCTGCGGGGCCAGGATAGCTCGACGGGCTCAGCGGCTGACGGGAACTGAACATGATCGGGGCACAAGCCGAGAGTCTCTGCATGTCTCAAAATCGTATCCTCGACTTCTCATGTCCCTTGCTGCCCGCAAGATGACCGATGCCGTGTCATGTGCACATACCAGCTCAAAATGTTTCATCTTCCTAATGGAAGATATAAGCAGAAGTGGCGCTACAGCCGCGCGCTCATTCGGAGCTTCATCCACCAACCCAACCGAACCTACTCCCTTCGGAGCCTTGTCCCCTTGCGCATCGGAGAAAAATTACGTCTGGGTCCCTCGGCTATCATGTCGATGTCAGACCGACCCTCGCGAGATTCTCCATCGGGCTACATGACAGTCGGGCATACGGGGCATGCATTCTACGGTTGCGAGTGACACGTGGGCGCACTGCCAATACTACGGAGAAAGACTCCTTACTATGCGAGTCTCATTGTCAGTTCTCACCATCTTCACCTGTTGCGGTCTCATCTAGATCTCACCGACACGGAATGACCCGAGCAGCAACTCAGAACGCACACGGAGCAGAGCGAAACTCGTGTGTGCGAGGCGTATCTCTTCCTGGTCGAGTTCCTTCTTGGGCTTTGTTTCGTGGCTCGTCTCCTTATTAGACAGTTGATGATCTTTTCGTCCTCCCACTTCCATCATGGCCGCTCAAGCCACGGATCACAATGTTTGGACTCCGAGATCATGCGTCCGATTTTGCAGCAGCGAGCTCTTTGAACCAGCTCATGCTGACCTCACACTCCTGCCGATGGCTGTGATGGCACGGCCCATTTCAAGAGGAAAGCTTTTTCACGGCTGCCCGTGCCATGTCGATCAGTGATCGGGATCCGAAACTCTTATGCGTTGCATGTAGAAGTAACCAGGATGTGTATCAACTTGTTTGAGAACAAGCCGGTCGTCCAGCCTCGCAAATGATGGACTCAGTCCCAACAAAGATGGCCCGAGATGCTTCTCGGGCAGTCTTCTACTAGTGAGCGGATGACCGGGAGCACCTCCCAAGCCCGTTTGACAATGTGTGAGAGTTTCATTCCACTGGCTTTCAGAAGCACCACCGTTCGAAGCACCTCAGTTCAAAAATTGCTGTAGCCGCCGATCCGCAGTGTCGGAAACTATGGTACTGTAAAAAAAAGTAATCAAAACCCAGATCCAATCTTTCGCCACTTCCGAATCGGCTGGGTCTGTGTCCCATCAGTCTTCCCAATAACTGCACCACTCGAATCGGAATGCAAAGTCATAGCAGCCAGAACGGACATTCTGGTTCGCCGAGAGTGTCAACCCCGCTCATTGATACTGCTGTAATCATGAACGATGCCCCCTTTGAGACGGGGCCTTCTGCACCCGCAAGTACATTCACTGCCTGGATACATCCCTGACACACCTTCCACCGTCTATCCCATGACCTATTGAGGTTTTTCAACTGATTGCCCGAATTGACTCGAACTGTCTCACGCATCAACCACGGATATCAGGTGGTATTTGGTCTGCATCAGTTAGACCACTCTTCGAAGTCACGCGTGCCCAGATATCATCGACCGTCCGGACCGGGCTCTATGGGACCCAATGAAGGCGCATGTCAGGATCGACAATCGGTAGATCTATTGAACACTTGGAAGTGCCACGATCTTTGCAGAGTGAATGGGGCCCGCGAAGGGCAATATCACGTTCATTGAGACACCGAACAAGTTGCGATCTCCTTATCAGTGGTTCAGCGGCCCGGACAGTTCCGCCATAAAAAGCAGATAATACTCGCGTTTATCATGGCATTTGTGTCCGAGCATCCGTCTGTTGGGAATGATGTCCTATCACGATTTTCTGGAGCATTTATCTAATCGAATAATTTGAAGATAAACGATTCTGGACGCGGAGAAAATTCCTGTGGGATCAGAACTTGAACAGGAGAATTCCTAAAGTGGAATACCATCACGTGCAAGCGACGACGCTACTCCCGGCTGTCTCCGCAGCCAATCATTCCATCATGGATCGAGCCAAGAAGCGAATATTGTCCAGATGCTTATTGCAGCTTCACTCCTCCATCATCGTCAAATAATTAGAAGGTGCCGATCCAACCATCCCGTCAGCCCTCTGAACCTTCCACCATCCTTTCCGATCCCGTTCTGCACTGTGCATGATCTCGCCTTTACGGAAGCTGAGTTCGGAAGCACTTCTCGGGATCCCTAAGATCGGAGGATTAGTGGATATCATAGCTTAAAGCAGGGAAACAGAGGCACAATTTCCCTTCGCCCTGACCCTGAATGGATACTCGGTGGCAGCGATCTGAACTGGCTCGAAGTCGGATTCACTCGTGGCAGAGACGCGTTTCAGGGGCGTCGAATGAAGATTGGAGGTACTGGGCTGCGAATGATACTCCGAATGCGCGTCAGATATTGAAGTCGTCGCATTGGTGTCTTGGACCGTATCGATCTCTGGCTCCGCTTCGATGTGGCTCGTGTCGTATATGGTCGAGAGGTGACGCTGGTTTTGATAATACTGCCCAGTGCGCGTGGTGTTATGTGCGGCGGATGGAGCTTGCGGAGGACCGAAATTCATGCTTGATGGACGGCTGGTGGGAGCTACTCCAACCAAATGCGGACGGGGACACGTCTCGATCTCAACGTCGAGCGAATCCTCCTCCTCCTCAATTGGCTCGATCACCGGTCGCGGAGGAGGATAAATGCTGCGCCCCACTAAATCAGAGAACTGCGCGAGCTCTGGATGCCCCACTGGCGAGGCATGCTGAGAACCGCTCCCGCTCGCTCGGGAATCTGAATTGGTCTCCTCGTCTTTCCCGTGCTTGTGGACATAATATCCGATTCCGGGTAGTGCGGCATCAGCACTCCGACCCTCTACTCCGGCGCCATCGGCGACGTGAGTCAAACGCACGACCCACGAAATGTCAATCAGAGTCAGAACGAGCCAGGCTATGCCCAACGCTTTCTGAATCACCCGCGAGGAGAAAAGGTGGGAGTCGATGGCGAGGACACCGAATACGATGCACGCCGTCGCCGAGTGGGCGACAGTTGGGGAAGAGAGGGGGATCAGCCTGAGCACGCCCAAGACGACGATAAGTTGAAGGAGGATCGCGAACCACAGGGGGCCAACCGAGGCTCGACCCACTACAGATCAAGTAAGAGTCGTACCCCAACGAATAAAGGCTAAGACCCACAGATTGTGGTTGATACGATCTGCGCTGCAAGCGCAGTACACCAGGCTAACTGAGTGCCATTCATAGCTTTGAGATCCCCGCTCTTGATCAGGAAACGCTACGACGAACCAGAGCAACGAGCAAACTTCCCCAGCGTAAGTACCTGCCCCATCCATTATCGGACGTCCGCTGGTTCCAGAGCGGCATCGTTTTGTAATGCCGAGTGTGAGCAGGGGAGGAGGAGGAGGAGGACGGGAAGAACAGCGCGGCGCTAGGAGAGCGACAGCTGGCAGCGCTCAGAATTGGGGGTCGTGGTCAAGCGACGAAGTAACTTCTCGTTTCACCGGGTTATGTACACACGCTCAGTGTTCTCGAAGCTCAAAAGCTTATTAGGCCGAGATGCCGCGGAGACCGCCCCGAAAACCGTGAGTGGCTGCCAAGCCCATTGTTTGGCCATCCTCTGAGGTTGTGCCTGTAGGACACGCGCTGGCTTGTACTCGTAATCGAAGCTGTGGTCTTAGAGAAGGAGAGAGAACCTTGAGGCGCAGCATGTGATCGGGTATATCCGATAACAGCCACGGCACGCATCCCGCTTGGTGTGAACAGACAGATAGAGCAAGTGCTGCAGTGACTTGGAAGTGTTCCGAAAGTCTTCAAAGAGAATTTCCTGCGTTCGCGACCGTGGAGCCGAGTCGCCCCAGTCGAATACGAAGCCACCACGCTGCCCTGTGTTATCGTTATAAGTACGACCTCATTTTCGCTCAGAACCATCAGCCATCACCACGTTCTCTGGGGACACACAAGCAACTCGCAAGACAGATCAGTGCCTTCGATCAGCCTACTGCCCGTTCAATGGTTGACATCGCCATGCGAGTAGCGTTCCTGAGCCACCAAATTCGCGATGCACGGCGATAGGACGAAGCCTGCGGGGGCCCGATTTCATCATTCTGTCCCCACACCTATTGGAGGTCAGTGTGGATCCACCCGCGGCTTGCGCCCACTGCGACTAGATCGATCTCGGTTTCAAAGTTTTGACTCAGCGAGAACGGACAGCCCCGATCAAAGCAATCTCCGGAAACATAGTCTGGGGATGAGGAGAATGCGATAGGGTACTTCCTCAGAGACAAATCTGGTTTATTTTTTGAATTCACTTGATACTCGATTGTGATCATGAAGCGCGCCTTGATGCGCGATCACTCGCGCCGGTCTATACATGATCTGGTCAATGACTCCTTGTGTTCCATCGCGAGACCTCATCGAATCGATGATCGATGACCTTCACTCATTAACCAACCAAAAGCCGTGCGAAATTCATACAAGACATGCAGTGCGTTTTACAATGTGATCGTAGCCCTATCTTTCAACCTGGGACGGAGTTGGAAGCCTCAACCCGCAGTCCATCGCGCTCGCATGCATCAATCGTCATCGTCGCTGTCATCGATATACTCGTATTCGACCGACTTCACAACCCCCGTGCCGATCATGGCGGAGGTATACCGCCCATCTGGAGTTCGCCACACCCCATCTGCATCCAGGATCACATCCTCGACTGAGTCCGGCGTCGTATCTAGAATCTCTACGAAAAAGCTGTTGAGATTTTAGAACAATTCAAGGAAGACGAGCCACAGATCCCACCCGTCGATAATCAACTCTCGCCAATCGAGCATGTTTTCGCAAACGGGACATTGCCTTGAAAGATGTTGGATCACAGACCTGCATAGTAGTAACTCAAGAACCCACCACGTCGTTGTCTGCTGCATGACAGAAAACCACGATGTCGCATCAAAACACTGCGAGTGCTTACATCTGCGTGAACGACATGGCAGCCGAATGCGCATAAAGCTGAGCTGTAGAGGAGTGAGCTCAGGCCAGCACATCATCTTGTTCAGTCGCACCGGGCATTTGAGCGGCAACTTGATGGAGCCCGCGATAATGTCATCATCATCAGACATCGATGAAAACACTTTGTCCGGGGTCAGTCTCTACAACATGTAACAGAGCGACAACTCACTCTGTTTGCGAACATCTGCACTAGATACCGAATTATTGGTGCGGACCTGCTCAACAAGTGTCTCGACACTGCGAGGCTGAACGATCTGCACGACCATGTAAAATTTCTGCGGGATCAATCAAGGTGAGCCATCGATGTGCACAAACAGCGAGGCTAATTACCCGGGGCGGGGGCTTCACTGTCTCATTTTGCCCGGTATTATCGATGTAAATCATCCGCACCACATTCCGGGCGGTCAGGACGGACCCTCCACCCGGTGCATTGAGCGCAATGTTGGGCGGAGGCGCAGTGCCCGGTCTTTTCTTGATGCCCTTGACCAGCGAGCTTTTCAGTTGCACGTTGTTGATGTAGATCTCGCATGTCGGTGGGAAGTCGATGAGGCAGTCGGCATTGGTCGACCGGGATGGGGAGTAGAATTTAGAGGATGTGCAAAAAAGATGGGCTTGGCAGCCGGAGCTGCGGATCGTTCAGACACGGCGGACATAAGCAGGTAGATTGGACCGACGAAAGTTTCTCTAGTTGTGCGGGAGATAGATTGAATTTTAGCTCAACATCTCGGCGATCGCTAGGTCCCAACGACTCTGTGCGCTGGTTGGAACGGCCATGACATCACGGCACGTAGGTACGAACCTGGACACTCAAGCATCGGACATACGGATTCTTCAACTGTGAAGAAGGGAGAGTCTTTGAAGCGGTACGCTGAGAAAATTCCGTGTCAAAAAATGAAACGCCGACAGATGAATCGACTGTCACGCACTGGGAACAACGGGTGGCGGAGGCTGATAATGGATGTATGCAGGTTTCGCTATCGGGGCGTGTGGATGCGGAGCAAAAGCCATTGCAGGCCGTAACGGTGCGGCTGGTCCGGGAGCGCTTATACTGGGTGGGTGGTACGCAGCTCGTTGCTGCTGCTGCGCGTGGAGGTTGTCTCTCCTGCTGAACCTGAATCCGTTGCAGGAAATCAGCGCACATCCCGCATACATCTGCTGAGCTGACTGGTAGGGGTGGGAAAACACTCACGTAGCAACAAACCGCCCGCTACCATTCTTCTCCAACACGCTCCGCGCAAGTTCCCACTCGTTCACCTGCCCCGCATCGCGCCAGCGCTTGAAGGTCTGCCGTAGTCGGTCGACAAGGTCGGGTTTGTTCCCGCTCTTTCGGATAACGGCTGCACAGCGCATGTTGACGCCCTCAATGATCGATTTCAAGTCGGACACGGTAAAATACGGTAGCGCGTTGCTGATAGCCTGCGGGAAGGAGGTAGATGGTCAGCGACGGCGAAAGGGAGGTGAGCACAGCGTAGGAAGGGGGCGCGAGGAAGGGATGGTAGTGGCACATATAGCACTTGGCTCGGGTCGTGCGCCGCACCATGAAGCAGGTGCGGTGCTGATGCGGAGACGAGAGAAATGCTGGCGAGGCAACGCACGTCAAGATCTGCCCATGGTCCGGAGGAAGCCGCGTTCTGAGGTGTAGGTGGATGGGAGACGGAAGCCATGATCGTGGGCTCAGGGAGCACGAGGGCACAGGTCTTTGAGGGAGCAAGCAGCTGGGCCAGTGGCTGGGCCTGTGGGAGGGAAGACTAGGGCTGTGCAAAGCGTAAAGCGGCGTTTTTCGGTCACGGTCAGCTGATTGCCTGTCACTCTCTAGCGTGACTCGTAAGTCCTTTGCGTTTCTCAGGAAGAAAGCGCTAGAATCCGCCTTGTTCGAAGCATCCATCGTATGATTCCAAGAAATCAGAAAGGTGCCGCGACTCCGATGACTAGAATCAGTCTATGCACCGGCAATCGACATCAAGTATAGTCGCATTCGCTAGTAACACCTGTCACAAAATCAAAGAGGACCATCTATAATAATCCGACCGAACCCGACTTCGTGGATTTGAACAGGCAGATCAAAGCAACCTCTAGGTTCTAGCAAGCTTTCAAACTCTAGATTCTACGTTCTAAATTCTACAATCAAGGGCATCGGGCCCATGTGTGCATCCGATCGACCTTCAAACTCACTTGCTCTCGAAGTATTCGAGCTTCCCCTTAACATCAGTCTTGATGGTCTTCTCTCCTTCGTGCCAGTTAGCTGGGCAGACCTCACCGTACAGGTCGGTGAACTGGAAGGCCTTGATCAGGCGGAGAGTCTCATCGACGGAGCGGCCGACAGGGAGGTCGTTGATGGTGATTTGGCTGCCATGACGCGCGATTCAGTGTCGCCGCACTCGGATGAGATCCAGAGACCAGACGCACCGCATGATGCCTTTGGGATCGATGATGAACAGTCCACGGAGCGCGATACCCTCATCCTCGATGAGCACACCGTAGTCGCGCGAGATCTTCATGCTGCGGTCTGCAATGAGCGGCAGCTTCAAGTCAGGACCCAGGCCGCCGGCCTTGCGGTCCTGCGCGGCCCATGCGAGGTGGGAGAAGTGAGAATCGGTGGAGACGCCGAGGACGACGGTGTTGAGCTCGGTAAACGACTGCAGCGCGTCGTTGAAGGCAAGGATTTCCTGGAGAGAGGATCAGGTCTGGACAGGACTTGCATGGTCGGGAGGCGTACAGTTGGGCAGACAAAGGTGAAGTCCCTGTTTCAGAGTGTCCATTCAAAAGCGACCGATACACAAAGAGAATAGAAACGCACATCGGGTAGAATAGGAGGATGACCCTTCAGCATGGAAAGCCATGTCAGTACCGAATCCGTGATCTCTTTGTCCCCACTCACCATTTGCCGAGGTACTGCTCGAGCGTCACCCCCTCCTCAATCAGACCGTCTGCAGCAACAGTAGCCTTGAAAGGTGGCGCAGGGCGTTGGACGATAGCAACCATAGTCGGGAGAGTCAGTGAAGACGTATGAGGTAAGTGCACAAATTTCAATCTTTTTTGGGGCCGGGGATTTCCGGATGTGTAATCGATCGATCTGATCCCTCACTTCGCGTGATTCTACGCCCGAGAATTCCCGCATGTTCTCGACTGGCGAGAGACGGAAATCTACGGAAAGGCGTGTTTGCTGGACGAATGGTGCGACTGGAGAAATGAAAATCGTCAGACCTAGATCAAGGATTTCCCTGGATGGTACGATCAGTGGTCGGCGATTCGGCGATAATCGCCGACCCATGTGCCATATGAGGCTTCCGATGATTCTCGGAGGTCAGTCGTACCCTACTTGCATAAGATAATTGATGGTATTGAGAAAAAAATCCTGCGCGCGCAGAGAGAGCAGATTGGCGTATCTTGTCATCATTCATCTCCAAGTTCGGGGCATAAACCTGAGCTTGCATGGAACAGATTTTGTCTGTTAGAATTGTTGCGCAAGGGATGAAAAATCGGGTTCAAAGAATAATTCGAGTCAATTATTAGGTATGTGTAGGGATTACAATAGTCTTTGCTCTGAAGTACCATCATTCAAAAGCCAAACCCGCCGGGATAGCCAGCTCCTGGTGCATTTCCAGGCTGGACGCCCCAATTTGGTGGAGAATGTGAGGGAGTGGCCCACTCCTCCTGGCCCACGGCATACCCATATCCAGTGTCTGCACCCGCAAAGAATGGCATCGGAACAAGCTGCGTCGGGATCGTAGCCGGTGTGCCCCAGATGTCATATTCACCTGCCATCGGATACTGCGTTGCATGGTTGGGAGGAGAATGCCCCGCATACGCCGTGAAGGCATGATGCGACTGAGACTGGTTTGACCCGCGAATAAGGGATAGATTGGGGTACTGTCCGTCTGCGTATCGCGGCCGAGACTGGCCCGTCGGGGGCGGGCCAGTATACGGGAGCGCGGGTGCAGGTTGATGCGGAGACGATGGAGAAGGTGACATTGCTGAGGGATCGTACGGGGACGGGCGAGCGGCGTTCATTACATATTGGCAGCGTAAACTCTTCCGAACACAACGTTCGCACGGGTGCCGGGTGTTCTGGACGTTTGCCGGTGTGATGCACTGCGAACACATCGAATCAACAAACTTTGTTCCTGAGAGAGTGTGGCTACCTTGGTCTTCCTCTCGCGGCAGTTGGTGCAAGCGATGAGAGGCGGCGAGGAGATTGTGTGAGGATAGGCAGTTGTCATAGGTCGTCGAGCGGATGAACAGTGAGCAGTCCAAGGTCTTGCCCGTTCGGAATACCGAAATTTATAACTGAGTTCTCAGCTCTGCACGGGAAGTCATGATGATACCCTCTGCGAGAAGGCGCCAAACACCCTCAGTATTGCACTGGATGAGTCAGTTGCACAAAAGAGGTTTCCTGCAATGTTCCGTTGCGCATCGTCCGGAGCCTTGAGGAGGTTGACTGCCATCGAGAAATAAATCATGTCAGGTGTGGAAAGTGATCAAGGAGGGGGAATCATGTACCGACCGGGTCTCCACTCCAGGTCGTAGACAAGCTTGAGCAGATACAGCAAGTCTGCTGTGATCGATAGATCTGGCAGCTCATGAAGAACCAGAAACAGGCGGTGCTTGGTGATATTTGTTGCCAAAGTCCGAACTCAAAGGTCTCAGATAAAATGCGGAGTATCAAAGCAGGGGTCGTATTCACGTGGCTATTTCCCGTGAGTCTCGGTCGGACCCACTAAACGATCGAGTCACCCCTGACGTCAGGGCGACGAGTGCTTGGACCAGTGGGCAGCAAAAGGGATTTCTCGCAAGCAAGGTCTTCAGGGCGCAATGCCGCAGACTGCCACGCCGGACCACTCTATCCAGTCGCAGAATTTTTGATCTGGGCATGAACCGAGTGATTTGTATCCTTGGGGATGTGAGAAAGGCTTGGAAACAGGAGGAACTCCCCTCCGAACCATCCCTGTCGAAAACTTTGTGGATGGGCAGGTGAGCTCATCATTAGCTTTGCCCTCGTCTCCGAGTGTGCGATATTTGGACACGATATGACATTGCTGACTCTTACACCGTATGTTTACAAGTCAGATTATGCATGTTCCGAAGGACTGTGGGTGCGCGCGGGCCCTGATGATGTCCGATCAGAAATATCGATCAGTACCGGAAGACGCCTCGGTTGTGAGGAGCGCTCATGTTGGACAGCCGGGCGCCTCGCCAGAGCGCTCAGCACAGATTGCTTTCGGCCGCGAGGGACCCGAACGGCCGCCGGAGACGGGGAGGACTCCGATGTCTGACCTGCCTCCCATATGTGTGGATACCGTTGAGCCCGAAATGATTCCGTGGGATGACATACTTTGTGCCAAGACGGCGTGTCAACGGCAGACACAGCCACACATTGACCCATGAGTGAGTTAAACTTTGGGATCGAAACCGAAACCAGCTCCCTCTTCTGCCCATCATCTACTATTTTCATTGCTTGTGCGTCCCACAGAATGGCTGGCGCGTAAGTCTTCCCTTCCCAATCGGCGCGGCCCAGCAAGTTGACGCAACTACAGCTTGTTCCGTCGGTCACAAGGTCCCCCTGACGCGCAGACGAAACGGTAGGATGGGTCACACGTAACGGCCCCTGTCCAAGTGATTGGAAAGCTATCGTAGGCTTACAAAACGTATTTCTCTCTTCCTCTCCCACTAATTCGCATGGATTGCTATCACTCTCAAGCCAAGAATAATGCCGATCGCTACGATATGACACCGAAAAACCGACAGAGTCCCCTTGCGTGTGCTAATTGCCTTGAGCACAAAACTGTGGTTGGTTCGCACGTCAGAACGAGATTTCCGAAGATGCTTATTTCTTCAAAGTGCAACCCTTTGCCTGGCGGTCAAAAACATTCGGCTTGCGAGCGCTGTGCCCGAAAGGCACTCCGTTGCGAGTTTGCGCGGGAGAAACCATCGCACAAATCGAACGATGCTATACCAACGACTTCGCGCACCACTCAGCACGCGTACTCTGAAGCTCCTCTTCCTCCTCCTGCTTCTCATCCAGTCGATCCCAGTAAGCCGCTGGTGATACCAGGGCGCGTGCCGAAACTGCCCTACACTGGGCCACCGCCGTCATTTTACGCCCCCCGCTACGCTGATGGGCGGTATCCGGATCTTCGTCTCGAGTCAGATTCGAGCCCAAGCCTACCCACGACTTCCACGACCCCTCCGACACCATCGTACTGTGGCGCCGCGCCTGGTCCCCGTCGAGAGATTCCCCAATGGGGTTGGGCGCCGCAGTACCCTCAGCAATATCACCCGTTCAGCCATTCTGCATACGAGACTGCTCCCCACAGTTATGACTGGGGGACGCATCCGACTCCCAAGGACCCTGGATACAACAGCTGATCGGAAGCTTCAGCGCTTGCTCTCGTGGAGGATCATGACGGTCACTGATTATCGTACCCACGACACTGGTCAATCTAATGTCATGTCGAACACCTCTCTGCTACTTCCTATCGTCTAGATCTCGTCTCCTTCTTGAATTAATTACTAATGAGCTTCTACATACAGTAATAATCATGTGATTGCTAGTCCACGTCCAGATTCATTACCATCTTGCTGCTCCCGTGCTGTGTAGTCCTTTGGCGTGCACTTGGTCATCCGAATGTAAATCTCTCACCCAAGGAGCTTTGAAAGTGCCCGACCATATGATGGTGCGGATCAAGCCTACGCTGTGAGTAATGCCTACCCTTTCTTTCGACAGCAGGCCACCGTGGCCTTGTTAAAGGTCAATAGGCACCGGCCGAGCCTCATGGAAGGGGTGACTGCAGGTTTATGATTGAGGAGAGGCGTTTCCGCAATCCAACCATCATTTCCGATGATTCCTTGGTATATTCATCGTACGTCGACTAGATTTCCTTCCTGCACGCCATCCTCCTCAGTCTCATCTGAGCCATCGTTTTCATCTTCATCCTCGTCTGCATCGAGAGCCACCAGATCGCTCAAACTAGCCAAGGACGCCGCGTACAAATTGCCGCCCAACGTATCTCTCCTATGTGCGCCGTTTGAAGGTTTTTGATCTGCACCAGTTGCTGGCGCTGGTGGGAACCATGCGTTGAGACACCGGGCTTTCTTCAGTCGAGTCAGGTCGGCCTGGATGATATCGCGGCAGAACATGTCGAGGTCAAGATCGTTGTCGTCATAGCCTGGTCGCGCGGGTCACATTTCGATCGAGAATAGTGCGAAAACACGTACCGAAGGGCTGCTCAATCTCTTCGCCCGCTGCGACAAAGCCAAGGTAAACGAAAGCACCCACGGAGACCTAGGCGTCACGTGAGACAAAAAAAATATGTACTCGAATCCGAGACAACGCACGGCAGGGACAGTGTGCCATCCAAACGACGAGACCAGCTGGAAGGGGAGCAGGAACAAATACATCCACACCACGTGTCGAATGTGAACAGAATAAACGCTGGTAATCCCAGATCAAGATCGGTTCATTGGCGATCATGAAGAACCTACAAAGGCAGGGGCGTTGTCAAGATGTGTTCCAGCGCTTTCATATACGTAGTCAGCATAATTTCGAATCAAGAATAACAGCCACAACCGCTCACCTGTCAAACTAATTTCGAAAGTCGCGATCCCGCCAAGAATCGCACCCAAGCTGGCACCCGGCACAGTTCCACGTTCCTCCAGCACAGAAACCCATTCACTAAGACATCGAAGAATTTCCTCGGGCAAATTCTCGCCGATTTCGATCTCTTCTAGTTGTTTCAGACCGTCTGGATGGATCGGACCAGACCAAGTGCGCATCCGACTCGAGCGGTCCTGTTCCAGGTCATGTTGATATATATGGATCTGACACGAATAGTAGAGAAAGACGCACTTTGTGCCTTGCTTCATGGGCGTCCAGCTTCTGCACTGCCCAGAAGCTGCGAAACCATCGTCCGATGCTCGTCGCTACGCCAGCAAATGGGATGACGTCCTTCGAGACGAGCCGAAGCACGTCATCTTTGGGTGGCTCGTTCGATGCAGGCAGAAGCGGGCGGTGGATGGATGTCGTGGAGGCCACCGCAGCAGCCACGGACGGCCGTTTGGAGGCGTGGGTTGTCGATAAAGAAGAAGAGGATGCGACCGGCCCTGCTGCAACAGGGCTGCTGGTGGATGCTGCGGTTGGGGGTGCTGCAGCTGGTTCAGTTGAGACTGGGGCTGGCACGGCGTTGGCGACAGTAAAGTGCGTGTTCGTGTCCTCGAACTAGAAAAATCAGCGGAATTCGATATAAAAAATGACGACAGACATCATGCAACGGCCGGACCAGATCGTACAAATCTTCGTAGTATATTCCGAGCTCCGCACGCAGATGATGTTTCAGTGCGAATGCGAAGCTGCACACTATCAGCATCGAAACACCAAATGAAGCGCATGGAGTTCACGCACGCTTCGACCAGATCCAACGCCATGCGCTTCTCTGCCATGACCTTTGCACTCTCCTGCGGGCTCGTCTGATGCGGGGCATCGGACGGAGAGAGCCGCGGGGGGACATGATACCAGATCAAGCGCCCCATGGTGCGCGAGTTACGGATGATGTCTGTCCATGCTGTTCGCCCCATCCAGTACCGGTCGTATCCACTGCCGGCGCGGTAGGATATGACAAAGCCGATTACAACACCCATAACTTGAAGTTCAAGTTTCAGTACCGACGGATGAGAGAGGAAGAAAGGATGAGACGCGCCAGTAAGCATGACGTTTGGAATCTGCAGTACCCGACCCGTCGCAACCCAAACGTACACGATCGCCGCAGCGAACGCTGTGTGCAGGAGGACCGCTGGCCAGATCTTCCATATCTACACCTCGGTGAGATCTCCATCTCTGTAATACGGGCGTATATAACGAATCGAGCGGAGCAACAACGGAGAAGGCACGAAGAAACAAAAATGATGAGAGCGGACTTACCACACTGCCCCGTCCAAAACTCCACTTCAGAAAAGTGTATGTCGGTACACGTGGCACACGCGAGGCCAGCACAGGCTTCATAGCAGGCAGCAACGGATGGTTGCCGGTGAACGAGCGTCTCCCGCGGATGCTACGCGCATGATGCGGAAGGGTCGACATCGTGTACTTGGGCTGATGATGGGTTGGAGTTGTTTCCCGGGGTCGGAAACGGAGTCAGCTTGTTTGTAGCTGAGAGTTGGTATGCGGATCGCAAGAAATGTGAAGGTTGCCAAGTTGGTCCGAGCCAGGCGGTGCGGAAACCAAGGTGGTCAGAGGGAAAGTAAAAGTGTTCTGGCGGCGCTGTCGATCAGGAACTTCGCGCGGTGATATTGGATCTGATGGGCCACGGGCCGGCTCATTTTCGCGCTGCTCTCGACGACAATGGAGCTGCTTTCCCACTGGAGCGTTGAGCAAGCACGATCCCCCTCTTCTTCGCTGGATCCCGGCTGACTGATCGTCTGCGAACCTAAACCTCGTGTCCTCCAGCTCACTTGGTGCCCCTCGTCTTCATAAAAGCACCACCGATCGTTGCGTTTCAGATTTTCGCTAAAGAGAAGGATGCAGAGTCTGGCGATGATAATGTCCCCAACATTGTGGGTGGGCAGGGAGGAGGAGGAGCAGGGGTGAAGTTTATTGCTGCGCTGGAGTCCATGCAGGAGTTGGTTTCTCTTGGGCGTCTGTGTCTGCGTCAGGATTGGCCTTGGTGGGGCTGGGATCTTGCATCCAGCATGGTACCATCCACCCAACGCAACAGAATCCCCACATCCCACACCACACCACACCATACGGCTCGCCAACATCGTAGCCGATGCTGACGCTGCTCCTGCTTGACGCCTTGCGGTCAGCGCAAGTCTCTTATACCTCGTCAATGTGATGCGAGTGCATATAAAACGCTCGCTTCGTTCATCCATTTGTGGCGTCTCGAGAATTGACCGTAGCCCAGCCCTTGCCCTTTGCCCTACCACCCAGCACGATGTTTGGAGCACCGTCGAAAAGCGCACAGACCAAGGTGTGTTGGCCTCCCTCTCAGTGACCAGCTTCCATCCCTGACGGATTACAGTCTGCGCACATCACGTCAGCGCCGCGCGGGTTCTCGGTGCGCGTCTTCAAAACACCCGTCATCTCCTCGAGCTTCGCGCACACGGCCGCTGCCAAGTTCGACGTCGGGTACTGCGCGCCCAGCTGGTACGGGCTGTCGGGTGCGGCATCCGGCACCACCACCTCCACCAACAACAACAACCCACACCCGAATCCGCACCACCCCAACCCTGCACTGCTCAGCTCAGGCCGGCCCCTGCAACGGCAGTTCTCTAGCAGCGGGGCAACGCACGCGCATGCTTTTCTGGCGGCGGATTTCATCTATGAGCGGTCGGTTTCCTCGCGGTCCGACCTGACCGACACCGAAACGGGCAGCGGAAGCGTGACGGAGAGCAGCACGCCGACGTCGATCGTCACGACCGAGTCGTCCCCGTTTTCGCGAGACGTCCCAGTCGTTGAGCGCAGCATTGAGGGAGAGGATCCGGAGACTACGCCGACCCCGCAGCATGCGAGCGTCCCGGTGCCGACGACCCGGTTTCCGTCCCTCGCACAGGCGCAGTCGGCGCTAAGAAGCTTTTTCGACTATGCGGCGCCTGCGATCAGTCGCAGCGCATCGCAGCAGCAGCAACATTCCCAGCAGATCCCGCCGCCGCTGCCCGTCCCAGTCCCAGCAGAATTGCCGAGAATGATGCCCACCTCCTCGAACGGTCCTGTCCAATTGCCGAATGGAGAGCGCATGTATCCTCCGCCTCCGTCTGAGTCGGAAGTGGGCGAGGCCCAGCGACTTGCTGAGCGAAATGCGCAAGAATTCAATTCAGCGGGGTCCGCTTACTACCAGGCCGGATTCAGTCTTACCCCGACGACTACCCCTCGCCATGCACCTCAAATCTACACCTCGGCACCGTCCACTGCGTCCTCGTCCAGCACCCTCGTCGAACCGAGTCGTCCTCGGCCCCGGAGAGACTCGCTGTCGGGAAGATATGAGCAGATGAATGTCCGGCAGCGCGAGGCTTACATGAGCGCGTTTGCCCGCGGACCGATGGAGATTCCGTCTGTTGTGCGGTCTGACGATGGAGATTCGGACCCGCCGGAACGGACCCGAAGGAACTCCTCGTCGGGCGCTATGCACAGCTCGGTGCCCGTGTTGCCCAGCGAACGTCAGCGAGAACGGAGTAGCAGCCGGTCTCCCCAGCAGGCCCCCGCACGGCCGTCAAGCACGCCGCCGCTCCCGCGCATCGACACGTCTGTGCACGTGCCGAGGATGCCCCCGCCGATGCCCCCGCTGCCTGTTCACACCGCTCCAGCTCCATCGCCAGCTCCATCCATGGCACGCACGAGAACCCCCATGGCTGGCCCACGCGGCTTACCTGCCGAGCCTCAGCGCCGGCGATCGGATGGTGACCAGCCACTCCGGGCCCCGGGACCAGCGCCGATGCCTTGCGCGCAGCCCGAAATGGATGGGTCGGCCGCTGTCGGGTCGCGACCGACGCGACCAGGTGCAACACCCCTTGATCCGCAGCGGCGGCGTTCCGACGGATTCCAGAACGTCGTTCCTCTTCCCCAGCAGTCGCAGCAGCAACAGGGCGGGCCCCGCAATGTGCGCTGGACGGACAACCTCGTCGCGCCGTCGCCCGTTCTCGCCAACCAGCGTCGGAAGGGATGGTTCAATCGCCGGGGGTGAGTGGTGCATGTTTCTGTTGTGCATCTGGCCGTTACTGATAGATTGACTTAGGGACCAACTCTGGACGAATGACGGTGCCTACAAGCCCTCGCCCCCCGGGCAAGAATACCCGCCCGATCTCCGAGATTATCCGGCGTATGGAAATGGCTGGATGAACGAGGAGGGTGTGCGGATTGACATGGGTCACCGGCATATGCCCAAGGCTCCCCTGCGCAGTGCGCTCAAGCAGCGAATTGTCAATATCCAACATGAGTAGATCTTCTATGAAGCATGTATTATGTCCACCACCACTATCTATCTATGTACGCCGTATGTGACCTCACTTTATCTCTGTATCGTATCAACATGGATGAAATTATGCACGGAGCAAGATTACTCCAGTCTTGCTGTATTGTCGTCGTGCAATGGGAGATCCGTCAAATAAGGCTTGGGCACGAGTTTGTAAGGTATAAGACTCCATTCGCCTGAGTTGACGTGTCAAGGCATCGGCGCATAATGTTTGTGGTTGTAGACTCGAGCCGACGGGCTTGCGACTGGAGACCCACGTGTCAAAAAATGGCACGCTACGGAATTTGCCGACGCCTCCTGCATTTCGCGAATACCCGTTTTCCTTGCACGCTCTCTGTCCAATCGACCCATTTTTGCATGCGCAAGGGAATCTTGAACGGTCTTAGCATCGTTCCCAAGCAAGCTATCCCACCGTCGCGTCATGCTGTAGACGTGTCTGTCAACTGCGTCAGTCGAGACAAGCTGCTAGTGAGACTGGGACCGTTGATGGATGCTCCACGGAAGCTCACTTGGGTGCGTTCACGGGCCATCTGTCCCTGTCACCGTCTTCCCTCTCCCTGTAAGGAGTGGAGAAGCCAGAGAATTGCCGAGAGAACTCCAAGCGGATTCGAACTCCTCCCACAGGCTACGACCAATCCCAACGCTGCCCTCTGCAAGGTCTTCTCCCCTCCTCGTGGCCGGCCGCTCGTTGCTGTCGAGGCCGTTTTCGCAGTGAACTCCCACTTCCAGCTGTTCGTCTTCAGCGAGTTAGCCAGATCTGGTACACCTCCATCTCGTCTCTGGTTTGTACCGCGGCACTGCGTCCACCTGGACCCCAGCTAAAAAGTCTTTGTCGTGACAGTGTGTAAGAGAACACGCTATCGCTGAAGGTATTCAAACTCTTCTCAATGTACAAATGCTAATGCACGCGCGGTCTTTCTCTTTGCGAAGTTCAGCATTGTATCCGTAGGACAGCAGAGACAAGCGCAGACAAACGCGCAAGATGTCCCTTTCCGGAAGCGGCACAAACACCTCGAGATCACTGGCCTATGTTTTATCTCCTGCTCTAAACTTGTGATACGCTGCGGGCTGCGGATGGGCTTCGATGAGCCTGAAGAGGTCGGGGTAACCGAGCACCTCCGTTGCAGCTGTTCCGGCGGCCTCGACGAGCCCGATACGCGATCCGCGGGTAGCATCAGATAGAATGCGGTATCTGAGAAATCTTTGTGAGACTGGTGGAGGCGACATGGCTTGGTGCACGGATGATCATGAGGATGAGGGGACAATGATGTCGACAACAGAAGATAATCCCATCTACCATGCCCTGGAATCAGCCTTCACAAAGCGATGGCTGATTATCACAAACTCGGGCACCTGGGGCACAGATCATTCGTGTCACATCACAGGCAATCGTATCACGTTGTACAAAAGACCCTCTATCTGAATACATCAAACTTATGCCGAGTGTTTTTACAAAATCTACTGCTTTCCGTGGCGAATGGCCTGGGGAATGGGCAACCGATCGAAATGCGTGACAGACGTCATGAGATTGCTGTGTTGCAGTCCATCGCCCTAAAGAAACAGGTCAACACCGAAGTTTTAGTCTGGGACCCTTTGAGACTTACAATCATGAAGTTGGGGAACCCAGGATCGAACGGAAGGATGCTCTCGAGATAGGCGATCTGTTCAGCAGTCAAGACCACGTCGAGCGCCTCGACATTGGCCAAAAGGTGATCGATTTTCCGGCCGCCGATGATAGGGAACACGTAGGGGACCTTTTGCATCAAGTAGGCGATTGCCACTAGTAGTAGCGTGAAAGATGGCTTAGGCGCAGGAACAGCGAAACGTACCAGAAGTGATATGTTTCGCTCCGACTTGCCCGGCTACCTTCTCCAGGGCTGCAGACATCTTCTTTTCGTCCTCATTCCGCTCCCAATCCCCTCCAAAGATTGTGCGACCCTTCTCGCCAGAAGTGCGGCGCGCCTCCTCTTCGGCATCTGTGCGCAGCTTGCCGCCGGCCAGCACGTTCCATGGAGCTAGAGCCATACCTAACAAGGGAGTTAGGACCCGAAACTCGTGAGACTGAGCCCTAGCGGACACACCATAGGCACGAGCCATGGGGATGATCTCGCGCTCGAACGAACGGGCCATCACATTCCACGCGCCCTGGTAGATCACGAACTGCGACTTGCCGTGGTCGCGGGCGTACTGATTGGCCTGCGCGACGACCCACGCGGGGGTATCCGAGACTCCGAGGTACAGGACTTTGCCCTGCACGACGAGGTTGTGGAGTCCGTCCATGACCTCCTCGATGCTGGTGTCCCAGTCCCACCAGTGCATGTACAGGATGTCGATGTAGTCGGTGCGCAGCTTCTTGAGACTGGCATTCACACTCAGGTGCATGGACTTGACGTTGTTGCCGACATAGTTGACCTTCTGGGCATACTTGTCCTGCCGGACTGTAAATCCGGTGGTGTACTGAGGATGAGTTGATGATATCAGCGTCAATAATACGTCAATGCGCGTCGCGTACCTTCGTGGAAATGACGAGTTGATCGCGGATGCCGCGTTTCTCTGCCCATTCACCGATAAACTGTTCGGACGTCTCATCCTGACTAGAAGTTGCGTCAGTTGCAGGGCAGATATATGCAGCACCCGTCCGACGTACTAGTTGTTCGCGGTGTCGATAAAGTTCCCGCCCGCATCGAAATACGCGTCGAGGAGTTTGAAGCTGGAATCCTTGTCCATGGATCCCATACCGAACTTCTCCCACTGGTCGCCGATGCTCATTGCGCCCAGCTGCAGCGGCGAGACATGCACGCCAGCTTTCGCCGAGAGTGTTCGGTAAACACCGAGTTTGGTGGCGGGTTCGGCAGGGGGCGCCCAGAAAGACATTTCGCTCAGAAGAAGTGGACTTGGTGAGTGGGGATGATGGAGAAAAGGAGCAGGGACGCAGTTTTATATGGTTTTCATTTCGGGAGTGACGTCAAGCGACAATCGATGTCCCGATGTAGACAGGATGAGCGTGCGGCGACAGGCTTGCGCGTACTGTGCCGATGACAAGTAGCGACTCGCTCAGCTGATTCAAGCTGGAAGGGAAACCTAGGGGTTTGGCAGCGGACTTATCCTGTCAAAGCCATTTCCTTTTTGGATTTCGCAATCAAAAGTAAGAAAGACATAAGTAAACGGTATGACATAAACGGTATCGTCGCCTTCCATTTACATGAGTTTACATGCTTATGATGAGTGATAAAATTTCGCCTCCGTCCAACACAGTTTGCGCATGAGGAGTGAAAATCGGCGAAAATCTCTCTGCCACCATCTATTCCTGGCATTCGTGTCATGCGCATAGCAGTCGTACATCAGTCCGCCCAGGTGAACAGTTGACCATGGACTTTCGGTGGATTTCAGGCGCTTCCATCAGCCTTCCAGGTCCATTCCAACATCATTTCATGTGCAGTATCCGGCCGATGGCTCCGAATGACCTCGCTGTTATATACTACTGTCTGGACTCCATTCCAACAAGAAATTATCGACTTCCCCGCCTGAGCCCGGGGTCCAAGATTGCACGAGGCACTCGAGGCTGCAACCCTCCTAATCGGTGCGCTGGTTGAAGCCGGATTTAGGGTCGAGTGAAACGGCTAACGGCCGCTGTTGCAACCGTATGTATGATTCTGTAGAGTCGACCAAGGTCGCAGACAAGCTTCTACCTGCCGCAGGAATAAGTGTGGAACGTTGTATGTTCTGGCCGTGGATCGGACCGGTCATGGGTCACATTGGGGATCAATCCAATCGAAATTCGCAGTCGGATAGATGGACATAGGGAGGTTGACAGACCAAGTACAGGTATAAAGACAAACCGCTTGGACGAATTCATCGGCTGTTCTGGAAGCTAATTCGGATCGTCCAAAGCAAGATTCCAAGCAAATTCCACAAAGAAATGAAATGGTCCATAGATTATTGTCAACTGGAGTTTTCGTTTGAGGATCGTCGTCCTGCTCGTTGGTCATGTGCGTGTTGATCGTCCGAAATCAGCTCCGAAATGATCTCCGCGGTAAAAAAAAAAACATTGACGCAATAATGATTACGATCGCTCAGAATCATTTGGTTCCAACTTCCAAGCCAGATATCCGACGCCCCTTGGGTTCTGCTCTCCAACGTTCCAACGTTCTTCGACCTGTCATACGTACATGATAAGCAATAATGCCGGACAATGGACGCGTAAGATGGTGACGTGGCCGTGCCGCCTCTTGAATATCTCCCCGCGATCGGGCAATTTAAGGAGATGGTTAAGATTGGGGCAGACTGCATTCAATATCATCTCCCTTCATACTCCGCCTCATACGACCGAATATGTCAAGTCCACAAGGAATGCTGTTTGTGTCATCGGAGGTTTCGCCTGAAGTGACTGAGGAGCGTTTGAACGGTGCGGAGAACTACAGTATCTCATAACCGGTAAAATTTTATCTGACTGCCCGGCTAGACTGGTACGACAACGAGCATGTCCCGATCCGATTGAAGGTTCCTGGGCTGGTGCGCATCTTCACCTTACGTGCCCCGATCTCTCGTCGATCGACGTCGCAGAACTCTGTCGCCCGTTACAAAGCGTCCGACGCTCAAGTCCCTACCTGGCTCACATTGTACAACTGCGATAACGTGGCCGTAGTTGGATCTGAAGCGTACACAAAGCTTGCTGCGCTGGCCTCCGACAACGAGAAAGACATCTCGTCCAAGATGATTGGTGTGAGCCGGCGCGTTTACGAGCAGTTCTGGTCCCAGACCGCTCCCGGGGTAACCGAAGAGGATCTGCCGAGCAAGTTCATCTTGATGGGTGGGTTGGACATCGCTGCGGAGGACGAGGACGATCTTAATAAATGGTGAGAAGACTCGCAATACCGTCATCCATCGGAGTTCCGAATGCTGATTTGTGCAAACACCGAATGCGTAGGTATGTCGAGGTTAGTCCTTTTCTCGCGGATCGTAGAGGCAGCAATCAAGGATCGAACGCGATTAGGAGCACATAGATTTAATCGCCAAGGTCCCCGGCTGGAAACAGTGCCGGCGATACAAGATCGTCGAGTATAACCAATTCGGCGCTGTGAAGGAAGGCAAGCCGGTCTGCAAGTATCTGGCCATCCACGAGTTCGACAAGGGTGGATTCCTCGAGACGCCCGAGCTGCGGACCGCAACCGGCACCGATTGGGCGAAGAGGGTGGTGTCCAAGTTTGTCCAGCACGAGTTGAGAGTGTTCGAGTTGCACAAGAGCTTCAAAGCTTGAGCAAGCATCTGGCTGATGGTCCTTGAAGAGCCTTTTTGTGTAGCTTGACTGAGCGGTACACATTAGTCCTTTTGTCTCGTACGCCTATATGCGAAACATGCATGTGATTTGGATGTCAACTTGGCCATGCCATTACAGCGATATATCTAGGTTGTGGAAGTGGCTTGCGCAGGCGAGTGCTCATGCCAAATGTTGTTTTCCGGTGGGCTTGGCCGGTGACAAATTGTGGATCCACCGTTCTGTGGAGGGATCAGAGAGTTTGTATCAATCTCCTCGGCATTCCGCCGGTAAATGATTGATGGCGGACAAGCCAGGTTGGGCTTGCAGACCCGCATCAAACTGACGAGAACTGGGTGAGGACATCAATCACGGGTGATCGGACCAGTAAGTCAAGGCGTCACATGTACCGTGCCTACCATTGCTAACTTATCTACGTATGTACACCGAGTTATATCGTATAAACTTGAATCTCGATTCTTGCTGTATTGTCGCTGCCTAGTGCGAGATCCGTGCTCCTGTCTACAGGCCTTAAGGAGAGAACGCGCAAGGGGTCTAAGTATGTAAGGTCTGTGAAGTGTCATCCAGCGCCTAGACTAGTTGTCCATTCATTCTGAGTCGACATGTCAAGGCATCGGTGTATAATGTCTGCGGTTCTAGACTGAAACCGCAAATGCCACCACGACGAGCATGCGACTGAAGCCGCACGTGCCAAACTTTGGCAAGCTACGGAATTTGCCGACGCCGCCTGCACTTCACGAATACCCGGTTTCCTTGTATGCTCTCTGTCCAGTCGACCGCTCGTTGCATGCGCGAGGGAATGTCGAACGGTTTTTGCATCGATCCCCAAGCAAGCTAGCCCACCGTCGCGTCATACCGCAGATGTGTCTGTCAACTGCGTCAGTCGAGACAAGCTGCTAGTGAGACTTGCACCCCTGGATGCTTAACGGAAGCTCACACGGATGTGTTCGCAGACTATGTCGCACTATCACCGTCTTCCTTCGTCCTATAAGGAGTCGAGAAGTTGGAGGATGGCAGAGTATACACGCACCACCTATACATGTGGCAATGGTGAACGGTATGTGACCAAATCTACCGAGTGGTGCTGGGACCAACCACAGCCTAGCATTACAGAAGATGATTCCTTTCTTTGTCGTCCTTCTCTCGCTCGGTGGCTTTGTAGTCAGCGGTAAGAGTTTCTTGACCCTCCCGCATCAGATCACTTAGTCTCGGCCAGCGATGGAACTAGCAGCCCGCGACAGCTCTGCTATCGATTTCAAGAACTCCAAGTGGATCTGGACTCCTCCTACGACCAATCTCAACGCTGCCCTCCGCAAGGTCTTCTCCCCTCCTCGCGGCCGATCGCTCATCGCGGCTGAGATCATCCTCGCGGCGAACACCGACTTCCAGCTGTTCGTCAACGGCGACTTCGTCGGATCCGGCACACCCCCGTCTCGTCTCCGGTTTGCCCCGCGGTACTGCGTCGACCTGGACCCGAGCTACAACGTGTTTGCTGTGAACGCGACGACGATTACCAACTCCGGCGCCTTGATCGCCACGATTCTCGTGACGTACCAGGACTTTTCCAAGTCCCTGCTCATCACGGACCCGTCCTGGCGCGTGTCGCCGACCTTTCCCGCTGGCTGGGCGGCCCCGGAGTTTGACGACACCGTCTGGACTACGGCGAGCGTGCTTGGCGCGTACGGTGCCCAGCCGTGGGCGGAAGTGAATATCGCGTCGACGCCGCCTGTTCTGACGTTCGACCGCGGGAACTGGATCTGGACGAACGCGGTCCCCTCGAATGGCCTGCTCCCCGCGGGCCAGCGTGCATTTCGGCGCACATTCACGCCGGCACCGAACCAGCGTCCGGCGTCGGTGGATGTGATCATCACAGCCGACGACCGGTACTCACTGTGGGTCAATGGCGTGCTTGTGGGTAATGGCACAGACCATCGCACGGCACAGCACTGGGTGGTCCAGTTCGCCAATCCGCCGCCCAAGGTCGTGTTTGCGGTGCTGGCGACGAACGTCGGCGCCAATACGGCCGCGGGCGTCATCATCGAGGCGGTGGTTAGCATGGTACCCACTGGCCGGGCGAACTGCACAGCGAGTGCGTGGGTGACGAGCGACCAGACATGGGTGTCGACGCTTGATACCATCGGCCAGGGCTGGGAGCAGCCGAATTACGATGATTCGACGTGGCCCGCTGCCGTCAACGAGGTAGCGTATCCCGGTGCGCCTTGGAACACAGTCGTCATTGCGGCAGCGGCGACCCCGACTGTCATCTAGTAGTTACACAAGCGGTTCGTACTTGCTATGTAGTCTCAATTGATCTCGTCACGCAACGATCTGACGGCCGGCTTTTGACTGGTGACTGGATTCCACAGGCGGCCCAGGGGTGGGATCTCCACCTCGACCACGTCCCCGTCTTTGAGCCACACTTTCGGATCCATGCCCATCCCAACGCCCACTGGAGTGCCTGTCGCTATCACGTCTCCTGGTTGGATACTGATTCCCATTGAGCCCGTAGCGATGAGAGTGGGGACATCGAAGATAAGCTCAGAGGTGTTCTGCGATTGTCGCACTTCGTTATTGACACGCGTCGTCAGGTGAAGTTCGGGGAAAGAGAGCGATGAGGCTGGGACGACGTATGGGCCCTGCTCGGCTTAGTCCATGCACCTGATTGGATTACAATGTGTAAGAGAACACACCATTGGACAGAAGGTATCCAGACTCTTCCCGATGTAGAACTGCTTGTGGTCGCGCTGTCTCTCTCTTGCAGTGACATCGTTGATGATGACCGCTCCCCTGCGTGGGTCATTGAGTCATCAGCGACACCCTTCGCCCGGATTCCACAGCGCACCAGACGTGATGCCAAGCATCCTCCTTCGTCACTCCAAGTCCTGCCTTCCCGATGATGATCCCCAGCTCACCCTCATAGTCCGGACTCGAAGTGACCTCGGGGTGTGTGTATATCGGCTGGCCGCATGCGATGATCGACGTCGCGCGCTTGGTGAAGAACACGGGGAAATCAGGCTGTTCGTTCTTATCCGAGCTGTCGAAACCGCTGAGGTGGAATTCCGCCGCGTGCGCTTTGTCTGCATCCGTTTTGAGTCGCGCGTGATGTCGTTTCTGGGGGCGACGTACAGTTCTTGCCGATACACCTTCCCGACACTCAGCATTGCTGTCGTGTGAGAGCAGGAAGCAGCGCAAGCAAACGCACAAGACATCCCTTCCAGGAAGCGGTGCAAGCACCTCCAGATCCTCCATTTGCGTTGTGTCTCCCGTTTCGAACTTGTGATCTGCTGCGAGATGCGGATGGGCTTCGATGAGCCTGAAGAGGTCGAGGTAACCAAGCACTTCCGTCACAGTCGTTTCGGCGGTGTCGACGAGCCCGATGCGAGGTCTGTGGGTAGCATCGGAGAGAATGCGGTATCTGAGAAATCTGTGCGAGACTGGTGGAGGCGACATCGCGGGACGGACGAATGAGGATGAGGCGACATTGATCTCGATGACGGAAGACAATCAATCTTATCTGCAGTGATGACCTCGGATCAGGCTTCACCAAGCGATGTTTGACATCAAAAGCGATGCGTGATGATATCAAACTAGGCCCACGGACACTACGGCATATGTCGGTCCGGAATAGTACAAATCAAGGCCCCAAAATGACCATATGTCGGTCCCTGATATAGTGCAAATCAGGCTCTTGGGCCCGAACCTCGGACCGGTTTAGTGCAAATCGCTGGCTCTGCCCGCGATTTTTTTTGAAAATATGTACTGTATGGCCAGGTTTTGACCCAAAATGGCGCAAGCTGCGATGCTATTCTGATGATAATATGTCCGAATCTTCCGCATTCGTTCGTGAAAACGGACAGAACAAGCAGGAAAATGCACCGCCTCACTGCCGTGACAAAGACCTCTTCGCTGTCTTCTTCGCTGATTCCCTTCCCATGCACGCCGCCATCGAGAAGGACGTAAGCGGTTACGTTACCGCGTTTGATCCCTCTTGCTGGATCAACTGTGGCCGCATCTACAAGGACGTACCGCCCAACGTGGCTGCGGCCTGCGTAGCTGCAAGAGCACTTCCGGATGCATACGCCATCCTACCCCCAGATTGCTCCGTCCGGCAGCTGCTCGCTCAGCGGATGCCACATGTTCTGTCGCCGGCCATCGCTGCACGTACCACGTGGCTGCTCCGTGAGCTACCGAATTGCGGTCACGAGCAAGTCACTGGGCTCGCGTCAATCCCTCCCCTGTCTGTTGTCCGCACCCTACAGAATGCGTTCGGGCAGTCATGGTTCGATGGCTACAAGTCTGTTCAAGATCCCGTAGAAAAGTCACGATATCTCCCGCTGTACGCCATCAGCGCGTTTTGGGAGATGCACGAGCTTCTAGATGCAAAAGCAAAGTGGCAGAGGAGCTACGATTGGATGCCAGTCAATGACAGGGCATTGTTGGGTCACGTAGGATGGAATACACAACATGCGGGTGCTCCGGAAGGGCAGCTTGACTGGACTCGTTTGTTGAGCAAGGATGGGTGGATCTCGGGGTTGATCATTGACGAAATGATTTACGTGATTGTTCAGAAGCAGAAGGAGGGTTCCTACGAGCCAGAAACCTGTGTTCTGGATCTCAGCTTCCAGCGCAATATCAACGCCTTTGCTGATCCAACGCACAGAGGAAAGCATAAGCATATTCGTCAACTGGCAGAGAAGATCAAGAATGGGGACATTTCACGTGTGCTATGCCCCCTCCATCTCAACGGGAATCACTGGATAGCCTTCGAAATCGACTTCAAGCGGTCCCAACTACTGTTTGGTCAGTTCAAAGATTCTCTTGAGTATTATCACACATGACAACTGTGACAGGAGACTCCCTGAACTCCCGCTCAGGGCCTACACAATTTGCCGCCAATGTTAGACAGTGGATTTGGGCCCAAATTTCCGAAACTTTTCCCAATCTACCACTCCAAACAATGTTACATGGTACACAGGATGGTTTCAATGACTGCGGAATCTACACGGCTGACACAATTGAGCACGCCCTCTTCTCTTCTCCGCTGCTACTTGATCCAGTCGACTGTCCAAGGGCACGCGTCACGTGGTTCAAGAGATTCGTGCATTCCAGAGACGCTTCTGTCCTCCCTCTCCCTTCTGAGACTGCGCAAACAGAGCTTCTGGCTGACAGCTCGGAGTTGGAATGGGAGAATGCCCCAGTCACAGCTATTCCGCCACCTGATCAAGTGCGAACAAGCATAACCCTGATCGATCTCCTCAATCCACCATCATCACCTGGTAATCCCTCTTTGAGCCATGGTACGTCGCACACAAGCACTTTTGAGCAGCGAACTGACTGTCACCAGGAAATGATCCAGTCGCCCAAGACCATAACACAGCCTCAGACACCGTGCCAAAGTCGGAGCCTGATCCCATCATTGTGCCTCCCTGCAAGCCTCCGCCTTTGTCGATTTCCCCAGTGAAGACTAAGCATAGCAAGCCTGCTCAGCCAGCTACAGTTTCGGACGAATCCGATGGATACCTGTAGGTGTAACTGTTGGCAATCCCTGACCTTCTGACCAAAAGACGTTCCAGCACTGATGACTGCCGAGCAAGCCAACGCCCACGCAAGCCCAAAACGCAGCCACGTGCCGCTAAACAGACCGAGAAGGAGCGCATCAACATCCTCCTCCAAGACAAGCACACTGTCAAGCAGGGAGGGAAGCTCAAGGGTACAGCGCACACTGTATACTGTCGCTGCCGGCCAAACACTCCTATTGTGCTCGACAAAGTGAAGACGTACGCGCTCGCCCACTGGATATCTCATCAAAAGCGTTGTGAGCTTGTAACCGGCCAAAAGAAAGGGACGCGTGTTGGTGGTGTGCAGTCAAAGACGGTCAAATCTGTCAACCCTCAAGCTGTGAGTGCCCGGTTCTCCACTCTTGGTGATCTTACTGACGTCCTGGTCATCAGGGTTCTCTACTCTCCTTTGTCACCGTCAAGAAAAGGGCGGCAGTCCGAGACACAGATGCCAATGTGAACAACACCAAGCTTGTCACGGTGAAGGCTGCGGTACGTGAAAAAGAATAGCTACGCTCTGAGTCATCACTGACATGAGAATCAACTCAGGACCATCGACTGGACGTGACCTTTTTCACCCCTCTGTCGACCGATGCACCATTGCCTGCTCCAGTACCGCTTCATCCCCTACGACAACAGGAGTGCATAGGACTATGTGGGCCAGGACACCGTGAATACGCGTTCCAGATGGGTGATAATACTGCGGCTGGGTTGGACGCAAAAGAATGGAACCGGTTGGCACGCGAACTCTTCCCATATAAGCAGTGGGACGGACATGATCCTGACAGCGGCGCTGAGACATCGGACTTGGTAGCAGGCAAAGAGGATCATGTGCCAGCACCGGTGGCCCCGGGAAGGGAAAGAATGGGGTCCTTCGAGGACCTTACGAAGAGAGCACTGTCCGGCATTGATGTCACGACCAACAGACACCCAGCGCGATCGGCATGGACCCAGTACGAAGTTGGACGTCTTCATCAGGCGTGTGTGGCCGCTTCTCGATGGCGGGTCAGTGGTACCGCTGGTGCGGTTTTCTCAAAACGGTGCACTGGCGCAACATGGAATCGCGATGGTGTCTGCTCCGAATGTGTGGAGATCTCGAAGGCTGAAGGCTTGAAACGTGGCGTCCGTAAAGCGCTCAAGACTGCAGCGCTACCACCGGCGGAGTTTGCCAATGCCATCGAGAGGCGACTCAAGTACACCCCAGTCACCCGTAGTGACCACACAGCAGCGACGACCGAGCTCAATCTCAAGTCCCGAGCCGTGGTGAAGATCCTAACGGCAAAGGCTCAATACGGCGATGCCGGTGTCTTCCTTACACTGTATCAGCAGGCGCAAAGAGGGGAGCTTGCAAAGCGTGAAACGTTCATTGCAATGGCCGGTCACATGTCGGATCGAACACGTCGTGAGCAGGATCCAACAGGAAAGTTGATCCACGGCATTCGATACCCTCCGTTGGTTTTGAATTATTGTACACTCATGAGATCCTATGGGCATCGTTCAGGAGCGCAGTATGACCTGTTTTCTACCTTTTCTGGTGGCCCCTCAAAGCGCCAGCTCCGGTATGTCCTCCTGACGTCCCACTCATTCGATGACAAGCTGACTTGACCAGACGGAATGCAGCGAAGTACCCTGTGACGTTGCGAACCTCTGAACTCTGCAGAGAGAACTTGGACTCTGTTGTCGCGTACAGTAAACTTATTGGCTACACGGGACCGTGGATCGCAGCTGGAGACGGAACCAAAGTTGGTATCTTATTGAGTATACACAGAACACGATTCTCGCATCTGACCTGGATCCCATAGCTGCGTCCAGTTCTGTCTGTTTCAGCCGAGTTTAGTGATAAAGGAAGTGCGCACGTTGTCGGATCCACATTACCCCTCAAAGACGTCCAATTCTCGTCCTCGGAGGAGCAGTCTCAAGTCACGGACGCTATCGAGAAGGCTGAGGCGATTGCAACTCAAGTATGGGTCTTGGCTCTGAAGGTAGTGTCGTAGTCAACCTGATGATACTCCCAATGGCAAGATCTCACCAGCTGTTCAGATTCCTTTGCCCAATATGCCAGTCTTTCCTGTTGCCTTCGTACCAAACAAAGGCGACATGACAGCAGGCGACGTTCATGGCATCTACGTCCAGCTTCGAAGCCTGTGTGCCGAAGCCGGGATCAAGCTATTGGCTACTGGCTCTGACGGAGCAAAAGCAGAGGTCAATGCCCAGCAGATGCTCATGAACGAAGACACTCCGAAAAGGCTGTCGTGTACCAACAAGAAGTATGGGATCTTCTTGAGCTGCCCTGTCCACAACGATACTGGCCCATTGATATCCAACACCGACCCTGACCATGCGCTCAAAACGACGCGCAATAACCTGCTTACCGGCACTCATCTCCTCATCTTGGGTGGGCTCTATATCTGCCATTCAGTTCTCATGACTCTCCTTTCCCTGAAGGGCACTGTCTTGTACCGAAAGGATATCTTCAATACTGATAAACAAGACGACGGGGCGGCGCGACGGATGTTCACTGCTTCTCTGCTCCGGATACTGGTCAATGAGGAAGGCGATCTTGTCAAGATGTCACTTGGAGGGTTGTTCATGTTCCTATTTGTATTTGGTACGTCACAATTCGCCACACCAGATTCAATGTGCAGCCCACTCAATGTATGAAGGTGAACTGTTCGATGCATGGACCCAGAGAAAGATGACCCATATACAACGTCTTGTCTGCGTGTTCCGAGCGCGTCACTTTATGAACATCTGGCGGATCAGCGTTTTCAGCGCGTCAGACCGCTATCCCAACTTCTTCCCGCCCCAGCAAAGCTTCATCGCCGATTCCTCGTTCCAAATTCTGATTCGACTGTGCGATCAGTTTGTATTACTGTTGCTCGCGCACCTCGAGTACTATCCGGATGTCCCGTTCATGCCTTGGCATCATGGTACCCACTATCTTGAGCATTTCTATGGGATTGCCTGGTCGTTCGTCCCTGAATTCTCGCAAGGTCAGCTCGTCGAGATGTACAAGCACATTTGTATCCGACAACACATCCTGTCAACGGGTCAGTACACGACAAAGAAGGAGAAGGATTCCAACAATGGCTACACATTCGACTACGTCGACGCGAACATGACCACCGCCGAGATCAAGATGCTCAAAGAGATCCCGTCTCGAGAGCAAATCGACGAAGCATGCGCCGTGGCGTGGCACGAGGCAGCGGAGATTGCGCGGCAGCTCGGCAACATGCCAATACCTTCCCTTCCACTCTCTTCATCGTCGCTCCACCCTCACTTTCGCACTGCACCTGGACCCGAACACGGTAGCACCTCCGAAGAGTCGCTGGATGAAGAAGAAGAGGATGACGGTGGCCTTGGCTCTATCATCGAATCACCTATCGCGCAACCAAACTCGACCGACTGCATTCGTATTCCGTTCACTACCCCGTCTTCCAAGCCGACCCACAATGTCAATTCGCTCAACAACATTACCGAAGCCGACGCTCAGGGTCTGGCAGCGCATCACGTTCTGACGGAGGACTACCTTGGGGAACTGGCATCGCAGTCGCAGGCTGTTCTCGATACCATCCATGATGATCTGGAATCCCATCCTGAGTCGAAGAAGACGATGTCTGGTCGAATGCTCATCGCCAACCTTCTCAATCCGCTTCCTTTTAGCGCCGAATCACCGGAACACTCGGTGGATGTGCCCTCTTTTCTACCGTCCAATGGAGTGGTGTCACGGAAGGACATGCTCAATGAGCGTCTGCGCCATTCTTTCGACACTCGGGTTCACTCCGAGGCCACGAGAAAGCCACAGATCAACGAGAAGTACCTGGATGGGAAGTTCTCGCTGAACCACGCTATGCACCAGCTGAAGGAGACGATCGAGAACTCTGATCGACTGCGGAAAGACACCGAGTTTCACAAAGGACGTTACCGACGATGGATCGCATCTGGGTCCGCGGAGACCTGGGATGTAGGACGTGCATTGAAAGCAATTTTCACGGGGACAATAGGTACGTTCTTTCTACTTGGTGCATTGCGGTGCATCGACGATCGAGTACTCCCTCTCACCTTACTCAGATGTTCCGAATATTGACTGCCGCGGCGTCTCAATGCCTGACTCGCGACTGCTACTCGGATCGCTTGTGATGATGCGAAGTCCCGATGGTGTCTACTTGGGTGAGGTGCTGGCAATCTATCGCTACGGGTCGGTTTCCGGGAAACACGAAAGCTTTCCGGAGGCGGAAACAACGCAGGGTCTCAGCTACCTCAGCCTCAAGGTGTATAACCCGGTGAGCACACATGAATGTGGTCGTTCTTGAGTGGCGCTGACGCGCTTTCAGATCCCTGCAAGCGGCCAGCGAAACATCTTCGAGCACATCGCTGCTGAGGAAGGAGCAACTCGACCCGCACTTCCTCTCTTCACCCACGCCTACGCCTCTGACCTCATATACAATCTCAAGGATGCTCGGTTGACCTCACACGGCGACGAAGCGGGGACATACTCTCTGTCTGCTGGCGATAACGTTTTCGAGCGGTGGCGGTATCTGGCGCAGTGGGAACATCAGGAGAAGATGAAGTTGAAGGAAAGTGGAGGAGCGCGTCAAAAGAAGAGAAAACGAGATGTCGAGGGGGATATATCAAGCAAGTCAAAGGCTAAGAAGAAAAAGACGTCCCCGACGCCGCGAAAGCAGCCTCAGCGTCCTCGCAAAGCTCCTACTGCACGTAAACGGCGCTAGGAAGCCAAAAATAGCTATAATACGGCAAAATTAGGCTATTTTCTGATCTCGGTCCGTTTTAGTGCAAATCAAGGCCTCTGAGCGGAAATTTTTAGTGCAAATCAGAGGGTCTGGCCGGACCGACCTATGCGGTAGTGTCCGTGGGCCTATCAAACTTCGCTTTGCATCTGGACAACCTCGTCATTTCCAGGCACTCTGCGCTTGCGCTGACGCTCTGTCGATGTTTCTTGAGGCGCTAAAGGTCATTGCCTTGCTTGTCAAGGCTTCTCCACCCTCATAATTGGCTCGATTTCGTGGGACCCGGCTTCCCCCGCTGTTCCGTTCCTCTCCGTGCTCTTCCTGTCGGTCTCGAGTTCGACCCGTCGTAGTTGCCCGTATCAGAGAAAAAATTAGAATTAATTTTGATATCAAATAGCAAGGCAGAATGTCGGCGGAGCCGACGCTTTCTAGTCTAACAAACTTTGTCGATTTCTGGTTGCGTATGATACGACTCAGCCCGCATCACGGCAGCCCGCCTCATTGTCATGCACGCTCTGAAGCCTGCAAAACAATCCCTATCGAAACAGCACGTGGTGTGATATGCTGTGAGTCAATGCGGGGCGGCCATAGTCAAAGCACGGCCAAAGCACACACACCTGCGGCATGTTAAAGCGCCGCACAGCAACTCTCCTTCTTCTTCCTACTTAAGCCCACCCACTTCGTCTTATTGTTCTCTGCGACACCCCCCGAATCAGTCTCCTCTCCCATGTTGCACAACATCTCTGACATCATAGCGAATGATCATTCGAGCTCCGGCGTGGACATGGCACCGGATGATGACGTCTCCTGGACCGCGGGGTAAGCTTCCCTCGAATGTTCCGCAGCGTATGGGACTGACCGCTATCCTTCCTAGGTCGGATTATGAACCAGATTCGAGTGAAGACTACGACTTTGAAGACGACCTTATTGTTTGTGATCGAGTGTGAGCATCAGAATCTGATTTTGGACTTATTGTCTTTCTGACAGTCTCTTCGTCCAGTCCAGCTCTTTCCAGCAGCAGCAATGCTTGTTCTCTTCCGCAATCGATACAGTCGCTTGCCTCTTCTTCCCGGTGCGCTGCATCATTATGTCTCAGCTGTCCAGACAGCTTATTGTTGCGATCCAGTCCCCAAGAGAATCTTACTCGGAGCCAGGACGATCAGGACCTGAGTCCTACGAATGTCACCGCGTCTTCCGGGTCCTCTGGCCTCGCCGCTGGTTCCTCTGGCCCTTCGGCATCCGGAGAGACTTCCCAACCGCAAATGTCCTATGCTAGTCCCTCCGCATCGATTTCTAGCGCCAGTTTGCCCTCGGCACCTGTGACCACCTCCCATCGAACAACCTCCACAAATGCGACTGCACCACCGACCATCCCCCCAGTTACAAACCCAAGTGCATCTGCCGCACCTGTGCAGCTTCCATCTGCCGGCGCACCACCGCCACAGCTACCGCCGCCCATCCACGTCAACGTCAACGTCTTCTTGACCCTGCAAGTCACCGCACATCCCCTGATGCCGACTCTTCCCCCCGCGGCCCCGATCCACCTCCTTCCCGTGCAACACGGGTTTACCTTCCTTGGCAATGGTGGGAATGCACCCTGGCCTTGGCCACCGCTGGCCCTGTGGCACGCTTTCGGACTAGCAGCTGGGTCTGGAGTCTCAGCACGTGATACTGCCCAGCCCGCAGCTCGGGATGGGAGGCCAGAGACCAGCCCGGTCCGTGCGGCGCCTTCGGTGATGGTCGGGTTGAGAGAGCTTGGCAGCATCTTGTTGCCACTTGCTGCGTTGAGAAGCTCGAAGAGGAAGAGAGATGAAGATGAGGGAGATTCGGGACAGAAGAGAAGTAAACGAAAGATTGAATGAGCAGCTTGATGTTCTGTTCTGTTTTCGATTTCAAGTACATGTGACCGATTTGTTACCTGCGACGATGTACTTTCGAGATCCCTTCCCGCCAGCATAACACAGGCCTAGTTAATTTCTTTATTTCAATAGCTTGTTCTACGCTTCCGGATTTTCCCGGACACGTCTCCTTTCCTAGTTTTGAATGACTCAGAGTGGAAATATACGTTAATGTGCTGCCGTCTCCCGATGACCGCTTTATCGTAAGGTGAAAACGGTGAAGATCAAGCATCCGTTAATTATTTGGTAGAAATTCTCGCAGTCCTCGCATCTATGGGCAATCGAAGATGAGGGCCGTTCCCACTTCTCGAGGGGGATACATCCTATCATCCAGAAAAGGAAGGCTCTCTCAGAAGCAGAACGCTGTGCGGAGGCTGTGCGTAAACACAGCCTGATCGATCTGTCATGCCGCTGTCCGTTATATAAACACCCTCCGATCCAGCTGAGTATCATCACCTATCGCCCTCTTCGCTCCAATCTCTTTCGGACCCGTCGAAGAACAGAGCAATGGCAGCCCCGCCGCCGCCGAATGCTTCTACATACGTGCGTCGCGTTCTTTCGTAATCGATTTGTGCGTGTTGGTTTCGGCTGACACTGCTCTGTTCACGACAGCCCGGTGCGCCCCCGCCTAACGCGCCTGGTGGTTTCGTGAGTACTAGCGTACTTTTCGACAGAGACCGCTCGCTTATTTCTCTTCGTGCCTTCCTCCGCAGTCCCCCTTCGTGAGTGCTGTGTCTCACATTCTCCTCTCCGTTTCACCTATCGCCGCAGCCCCCACAACCCTACGGAGCTCAACAGCAACGGCCACCGTATGATCAGGCGCCCCAGGGGTACCCAAGCTATGGAGTGAGTTCCGTCTCGTTCACGGTCCTCTCCTCTGCAAGCATCTAATCAAGTCAGCAACAACAATACCCACCTCCTCCCGGCGCTTATCCTCCCCCGCCTGGCGCACCAGGCTCGTATCCTCCTCCTCCCGGCGCACCAGGCCCGTATCTTCCTCCCGGTGCACCGGGCTCGTATCCTCCCCCTCCCGGCGCACCAGGCGCGTACGCCCCGCCTCCCGGCTCATTTGGCGCGTACGGACCCACTCCAGGGGCTCCCGGCGCGCATTCTCCCCCGCCCGGCACCTATGGACCACCCCCAGGCGCGCCCCCCGGCGGCTATGCGGCTCCACCGGGCGCCTATCCACCTCCACCGGGAGCGTACGGCGCGTATACACCACCGCCGCAGCCGGGCTACGCACCCTCCTACGCACCACCGCCAGGTCAAGCGCCATACGCGCCTCCCCCCGGTGGTTACGCGCCTCCGCCTGCTCTAGCTCCATTCCCCTCTGCTCCTGGTACCGTACCCGCTGCCGGTGCCCCACCAGTGCAGGAGTACCCAACCACTACGTATCGCGGGGCGACGATCCACAACCCAAAGTACGCCGGTGGGATAAGTGTGTACAACTACACGGCAGATGCGATCGCGCGGGACATCAATGACTTGCTGCGGAACCAGAGCGACGAAAAGGGGCTGGCGGAGACTCTAGGTCGTTTTGGGGCTCTGAAGATGGAGGTGATCGCGCAGGAGTTCCCCAAACACACGAGCGGTGGAGAGAGTCTCCATCGGTGGGTGGAGCGCAAGACAACGCGGTACACGGAAGCCGGGTGTCTCGGGTTGGTGCTGGGCCCGCTGAGGTATGACATGTGGTGTGTGGAGATGGCCATTCGCGGTGCTGGGTGAGTCGAAAGCCTATTGTTATGCGATTGGTCTGATGTGGCCTCAGGACGGACGAGGACAGATTGGACGAAGTCGTGATGAGCTTGACGCCACATGATCTGGACTTGCTTTCGTATGTGTACAAGCAAAAGTACCACAAGCCGCTCGCCCAGGCTATTCTGGACGATCTGAGTGGTGATGTGCAGAAACGTGCGTGAATGACTCCGTCCGCTTTCTCTCCGCTGACAGTCTCAGTCTACCGCTTCATGCTTGATCCTGCGCGCCCTTACATCCCCGCCCCAACCGCGTCCATGGAGGAGAATCGCAAGCTGCTCGAAGAGGACGTGGCCGACGTGTACAACTCCGGACCGGGTCGTCCCGGGACCAACGAGGACAAGATGTTCATGGTGCTGACCCGCCGAACGCACGAGCATCTGATTCAGATCTGTCGTCGATATGCAGAGAAGCACCACAAGCCGCTCTCGTCAATGATCAAGAGCGAGTTCAGTGGCCACTCCCAGCGGGCTCTGCTCTTCCTCATCACGGGCGCGGAGCCACATCCGCGGCACAGCCAGTTTGACCCCGAGCACATCCGTGATGCAATCAAGCTCGAGGATACCATGGCTGGTTTCGGCACGAAGGACGCTTTGCTTGTCTTCCGCATGCTCCGAGCGCATTGGAACCCACAGCGGATGACGCAGGTCGCAATGGCTTATCGTGCGGTGTACGACAAAGATTTGCTCAAGCGCATCAAGGGCGAGACAAGCGGCTCATTTGAGAAGCTGCTGCTTAGCCTTCTCAAAGGCCCTGTACCGTAAATGTAAGAGAAGTGTCTGTAAACAACTTGTAAATATCTTGTATCCAAGTAGATATTGTTATGTCAACATTGAATCAATATTGCGTCTCGTGGTTGCTGGGAGTGAAAGACAATCGTCCGGGGGATTGCAATGTTTCTTGAGACGTAGGGATTATACAGGATTTCTGTACGACCAAGTCTGCAGACGGGGAGTAGCAGAATGCGAAACGAAGAGTTGAGCATAGTTAGGCGGGTCTGTCTTTCCTCCCACGCTCACCAATCAACGAGAGCGTGCTCGCCGACTGGATAAATCACAGTAAAAGAGATTCGAAAAAGCGATAATAATTCCAATGGACAGGAAATTGGTTACATGAGTAATGGGACAAGATCCATACAAGTCCATAAGCGTGAATAGGGCAAGTCATCAAATGATGGTGGTATCATACAACCTAGTGGACAGCAGACTATGTTTCACCTTTACATCAAGATCGCGCCGGCGACGACACCTGCAAGCGCCAAGATTGATCCGCTAGCGTGACGGGCGACAGCTGCGCCGGCATGTGAGGCCGAGGGCGCGGCCGATGACGCCGAAGTAGTGACAGCAACCGGCGTCGATTGTGTAGGCGACGACGGGGGAACCGACGCTGTGACAGGCAGAGTGACTGCGGTCGCCGAAGTGCTCGCCTTGGGTGTTGAGACGGCAGGCAGCGAAGACGTCGTGACAGCCGGAGCTGTGGGCGTCGAGACAGCAGGCGTTGTGGATGCCAGCTGTGTGTCGGTTGTAGATGTGGTCGGCGCAGTCACCGAGGCGTCCGATGCCGATGTCGCGCCAGTCGCAGTGGCGTCCACAGATGACAGCAAATCGGTACTGCGGTTGCATGATCAGTCACGGCGAGACTTGGCGGGCGGAGGATTGAATAGCACGCACGTAGCGCTGTCCGCCTGCGCGATGCCTTGGGGGCAGTCACTGCTCCCAGACGAGAACGAGCCATCCGCAGGGAAGTAACTGCACGGCCCGGCCGACTCATACGTGCAGGTCACGAAGGATTCGCTGCCTTCGCTGCTGACGAGCGGCGAGCCGGTCTTGTCCGTCGGAGAGCACTGGATAGCCTGGCGCCGAGAGGGTGCGGCCTGTGCTGACAGAGTGCATAGGAGGACGAGGACCGAGAGAAGCCGAGCCGGTGATTTGTACATGATACAGGTGAGTTGCTCGAGATGGCGAGGGAATGAGAAGGTCGTCCAGCAAGTTTCACAGTCAGAAAAGAGGATGGATGGAGAATAAAGCTACTGTCTGCATTTATAGCCGGCGAACAAAAGGAGCAGATACACAGCATCAGCGCCAGCATCTCGGATTGACACTGCTCCGGGCTCAACGGGCGGCGGCCAAATGAAACGTATGGTCATGTATCACCATGCGGTGGCAACTTAAGAGGCACTCCTCCTTCGTAAAGTCGTAGCAAAGCGCACAACATCGAACGGAATTGATGAAAACGCGCCGACCTGGAACCCAAAAAAGGAGAAGTATGATAATAGCTGGGAACAAATAAATCGGGCGATCAGGTCCCTCGGCGAAGACAGTTATTCAATGACAGACATCCGCACCGTTTGACACGTCCTTTTTTGCTGACAGGCTTATTTAAACTTGAAATCTCTGCGACAGTGGGATGGCATCAAAGGCTTCAAGTAGGACTTCACTCGCTTCATACCCAGTTCCTATGCATCATGATCCCGTCCTAAATCTGGTCGTCCGAAGGTTGGCCCTCCTGGTTCAAGCAAGATAATGATACCCCTAGGTACTATCTGATCATGTGACACGATGTCCGAGTGGTTAAGGAGATCGCCTGCTAAGCGGTTGGGCTTTGCCCGCGTGTGTTCGAATCGCACTCGTGTCGTTGTTTTGTTGGGCTCTTTTTCGTTATCTTCACGCTAATACATTGCCGGTCAGCGCTCTGTCTCTACATACAAGCCTCACGTCGCTTTCATTCATTTTCGTTCTTTGCTTCCTCATCTGTTTTTCCTTAGCGGGAAAGAGACTGGCCGTCATTCAGTAAAAGTAAGCTTGGCAGTAGTCCCTATAACAAAGTGACCGACATCTCATCATCCTTCGCTCCGCGCCACGTGGATAGCCAGCCAGTTTGTCATCTCTTGAGGATCCCCCTCTCGCTCCCAGTTCCCTCCGGCCCACGATGTGGCACTCAATCCTCCTGTGCTGCGCCTTGGCCGCCTTCTCGGTCTCAGCAGTGATGGCCCAGGTGAGATCCCGCGCCGCTCGTTGCCCCCCATTGGCTCAAGCCGCGCGCTCAGAGCTCGGGAACGGCATCCAAGCCGACTCCGGCCCCGACACCCACTGCTTTCGCTGACCACACGCGCGTACTGACGGGAGGCACCATCGCCGGCATCGTCGTGGGCGGCATCTTTTTCGTCCTGTTCGTGGGGAGCGCGATCGTGTGCGGATGGGCGCATTGGAAGTCCACTGCCCGCCGGCCCGTGGGAGACTCGGAAGAGGGTGCGGCTGGTGGGAAGGTGGAGGCTGAGCCCTCTGATGATGTGAAGATGCCACCGCGGCTCCGGTGATTGGAACCGAGGTGTGTTGTGTTGTCCGGGGATTGTCGACGTTATAGCAAAGCTCATCACGTCGCAGCAGCTTTTAGACATGTGTTACTGGAGTGACTCGCTTCGAACGCGGTGCAATATACGATGCGAATGAGCGATCGCTTGAAGTTCTCGTACTTCTCTGAGACCGATTTTGGTGCTGTAACCTCGCTTTTGCGACCCAGGCGCCTCTCATCCTATCTTCGTGTCGGATCGGGGGATTGCCTAAAACTTGAGACGAGGCTGCCATGAGTGTTATCTACTGAGCGATCCATTGTCGGTTGGGTGTCAGGTTTCAGAATCGGACATCGTGTGGCTGTGATCATCGCCAAAGGGGTCGATTGGGCATCCTGGTGGAAAAAGGTGATGTAGTTTGATAATCGATCATCGAGTCATGTGACCGTGAGCACAAGATTAGGGGTAGATATCTTACCTCCTGCCGCACAAATCATCCTAAAATCATCCTACGTGTGTTCTTCCAGAGAAAATAATGACGAGCTATTGTGAGGATCGATCGAGTCGCGTTATTTTACTATTCGGTCTCCAGCTTTACAGTCTGCACCGCAGCGATTCAAGTTGATTTGACGGCTCAGACATGACATCTGCCAAGCACTGCCAATCTTCGACGCGAATAATTACGCTGTACTTGTTCGCTGGTATACGCTATGTGGCTCAGAATGAGTTGGCTCCGGATACTTTCCAAGACAAGCAATGACTCGGTGTTCTGCGGAATGCTGGAATAAAGACGCGCAGGTATGCACGGTTTCAGTCCAACAAAGCAACTGCAGCACACTCTCGAGCCCATTGAATATCCTCAGAAATGGGCTACTATTACGACGCATCACTTCCGCCGCAGCCGAGCTACCAGACTTACACTCCAGAAGCAGAAGTTTTCCCCTTTGCCTGCCTACATTGTCGTCAGCACAAGACGAAGGTAACAAAACATCACTGCTGTTTTCGAGTCCTATGTTAAACTTATTTTTCAGTGTGTTCCTCCAGCAAACTATCAGCAGACTTACGCGCCTTGCGGACGATGCGCGCGTAAAGGCTATAAGTGCGATTACTACATGAGTGTGGAGCCTGGCCCGAGTGGAATGACCAACCATGTGAACGCTCCGGCTCACCAGGCAGCTCCCGAACTTCCATATACCGGTCCACCACCCTCCCGATCCCATCCTCGTTACGCCAATGGGAAATACCCAGATCTGTCTTTGCGAGCCGACTCGCGATCGCAGACGCCAAAGCCGCACGGAGCTGCTTTTCACCAGCCAGATTTCACACAAACCTGGGATCAGCGACTCGGATACGGCTCGGCTCCTCACGCCATGCACACACATAGCAGCGGACATTATGCACCCCAGTATCCAGTAACGGACGTTTCGCAGTACCCACCTCAGAATTATCAAGGGTACCCGCCAGGATATTAGAGTTAGACGATACCTGAAAAGCCAGACAAGCTTCAACTATGTAGACGACCTATTTGACATGTATAATATGTACGATACGTATAGAGACGATTTCAGTCACGCTTCGCTGTCAGATGTTCTTTGCCGCGCAGATTCATTTGTTGTCTATTTGCTATACGCTTGGAGGCTCAGTCTACACCAGCTTTCAGGAAGGATTACTCTGCGAATCAGCTCAAGGTAAACGGCGGGTCAATCCCGGGCCGGCACTCCCGAACACCTTTGAAAGTTCTCTCCGTATTTCCCCAGCCTGAGAGCGAATAACAAGCTCTAAGACGTCCTACATGTTTGGAATCGAGCGACTCCTTCGCTTTGCCTAGGAGTTCTGACTCGCTCGTGATCGCGTCGCAATCGGCTGGGGCTTTGGGATTTGTCAGCTTCCTTTGGCAAAAGGAATACTGAGAATCACCTACCGTGCTGGTTCTCTTCTGCTCCTTCTACCTGATACCTGCATTGCAAGAAGCTGGGGTGGTGGAACTGAGTTGTGCAGCGGCGTCGGGATTCGGCGGCGGGGGCTGAAACTCATTCCGGCCTCGGAGTCCTGATAGAAGCCCGACATGCCGACGGAGCGAGCGGAATTCAACTCTGGGCCGACTTGGGGCCGACTTTCACCAAGCGGCATGAGGCGGAAGCGGCCAGGCTCGGGCTCACAAAGGTGCTCGGCCGACGATCGCAGTCTTACCAGCATAGTCGCTTCATTGCCGAATGTTGCGTTGCCAGCGAGTGCGTCCCAAGAGAGTCACTTTCATATCAATACAGGAACACCGCCGGTGTGATATGATCAGTGATCTCTGCCATGCGCCCTGCCATCTTTTCAACTTGTTTCCGAATGGCTTTCCTCACTTTCTTTCTCACTTTATGTTTTTAGCGCACGGAAATCACACGACTCTATTTATGTTGAGGGCGATCGTCAGAGTGTGGTTATGTGCTGACTGTGGCGTCTGATGGATGCCATCGTCGTGTCCCCAGTCCATTCAAACACAACGATCTTGTCGGAAATGCGTCCATTGAAACTTACTCGGATCTGCCAAGCTTTCAGTTTAGTCCCGGCCGCGACATATCAAATTCCCCACACTCCACATCCGCGTCACGCACAGATCGGCAGTGGGGAGCGGCCACCTGCTGCGTTCAGGCTCTCCTTCTGCAACTCTTCGCGAACCGTTCGCCTCGGCAACAAGTCCGCGCCTGACTGTCGCCTCAATGTTCAGGAGACGAACGCGATTTGCCTTCGCTGGCTATTCTATGGAGGCTCGGAAGGCCCTGCTCATAAACGAGACAGGTGACAGTGATGGGTGATGGGAGACCCCGTACACTTGGGTAGCCGTCAGAAATGGCCTCGGATGACGGGCACAAGAGTCAAGAATGAGTAACAGAGTGAAATGCCTACGGAGCGTATGAGCGCGCAGCCTCACGGGGAGAGGTAAGGGACTAGTCGGCGGTCGGGGGGCGAGCGAGTTTGATCCCAGTCCGAGGCATCCGCTGCACGTGAAACAACCTTGATGAGCTCGCTGACAAATCCATACAATCTTTTGGTGCACGTGATTGACAACAGCGATACAAGAATGAGTAAAACAGCGATAGAATATGTAAAAAAGGAACACATAAAATGTAAGGACATAGTCTACCATTCATCCGCAGCCGCCAGCTCATCGGGGCCCTCTTCGTCCGAAAACCAAGCACAAATGTCGTCCTCCCCTTCAAAGTCAGTCTCACCAGCAACGTTAGGCTCCACTTCGTCAATCAGACGTCGGAGCTGAGCGTGCTGAGCATCATCTATGTAGAAATGAGCCACAACACATCAGTTTGAATGAGAGGGACTCACCAAGTCCATTGCCGCCGTTTACACCACCCATGTAATATCCGCCATCCTGACCCACAATATCCTCCCCACCATGGAGTGGACGAAGGTTTGGGAGGGGCTGCATCTTGTTGCGATACTCGTTTTCAGCCTGAGTGAGTGCAAAACCCCACATGTCATCAACACTACTGTCAATGTTGTGAACCTTGTCGAGGTGCTCGAAGCAGCGAAGTAGCTGTCTGTAGATCTCCCAGCACGTCTCCCGAGTAATTGATGGCTCGCCAAGGTCGACATAGAATGATTGAATTAATTGTGCGAAGTCCGGCGGCACCAGTTGAAATATATCGTGGCTGGGATCAGCATACTGTTGGCGAACCGTATTTATATGCTCTTGTTTCACTTTGATCTGAAAAACAATGGCAACAAGAAGCAATAGAATAGAGCCTGAGACGTACCTTGAAATCGAGAATTGCATACTCATCCGGAAACTCAAGCATGTGCTGCGGAACACCATGAGGCAGAATCTTATTGCGGTCTCGACGTTTCGCAGTCATGTTGATTCGTTGACGGTATGCGTCAAGCTCTGCCTGCAGCCATGGGATGAAAACCCAGCGACACACAAGCCTAATACTTGTGGTCAGTGAACATTGAATGTGAAAGAGAGAGACGCACACTTGTAAGAGCACACCGGGGTCATACCAGCCATTAGTCACGCCTTCATCGAGAATATTCTCGAATCCTTTCTCTGAGTCTCTGAGTCTCATCGAATCTATCACAGGCTCAAAGGAGGTGTTGTCGGATCCGCAGATCATGACTTCACCGTGAGTCCGTTCCTGTCCTGATTCACAGTGCTAGATGAATTATCAATAACAGGGACATTGGCAACGACGGGAGCATGTTTGGGGGTGGAAATGTTGCTCAGCTCTTCGAGGACTTCCCCAAAAAGCACCAGTGCTCGGCATATTGTCAATTCTTTGGATTGAAGCTGTTACCGTGATGTATTCCACTCAAGTCATACCTGTCATAGGCCTCTCATACAATCTCTGTTCCCGTCATCATATCGCTGTTGTCAATCACGTGCACCAAAAGATTGTATGGATTTGTCAGCGAGCTCATCAAGGTTGTTTCACGTGCAGCGGATGCCTCGGACTGGGATCAAACTCGCTCGCCCCCCGACCGCCGACTAGTCCCTTACCTCTCCCCGTGAGGCTGCGCACTCATACGCTCCGTAGGCATTTCACTCTGTTACTCATTCTTGACTCTTGTGCCCGTCATCCGAGGCCATTTCTGACGGCTACCCAAGTGTACGGGGTCTCCCATCACCCATCACTGTCACCTGTCTCGTTTATGAGCAGGGCCTTCCGAGCCTCCATACTATTCGGCCCACACGTGGGAACATCACGGCCAAAAAGGGGTAGGCGGTGATTGATTCCCGATATGGACAGGGCGGGGGTGGCAGTGCTTTTTGATATAAAACCAGCGGTCGCCTGACATTTGTTTCTTACCACCCGTCTCCGTTTCTCCTTCCCCCCGCAGCACCTACCCACCGAGTAAACGAAGATGAGCAACGAGGAGCATCACCCCGAGGAGACTGCACCGACATACCCCGTTGCGACACGTATGAGGCCCGATTCAGGTCGGCATACCGCGCACGTCGGGCCTGATTTGGAGGCGTACAAGGCGGCCCACGCGGTCACCGTTGGCGAAGGATCGGACGAGTGGTGGGCAGACGTACGTTACATGTCCTCTCGTGCTTATCCGTGCGCCTCTACACGGTGTACTCACCACTCAACCACTCTCCATCCTTTGCTCCGTTTCGCTGCCCTGTGATAAGGCACTGATTCTTTACAATAGCAAGCGCGCAAAACTTTGCACTGGGACCGCCCTTTCCAAACTGTGCGTGCAGGAGGATTCGAAACTGGCGATATCGCGTGGTTTCCGGAAGGAGGACTGAACGCCGCGTACAACTGTGTTGATCGCTGGGCTTTCAAGGACCCGAACAGGGTACGTTCACATCTAAATTTCGCCCATCTAAACGGTGGCGCCTACCCTAAATGGAACTACGAAGATTCTAGTTCAACATGGGTTGGCGCCGCCTAGCGCTGTCCATTGACCAGGGATCTTTACCCCCAACGACCTTGCTGATTGCGTTTTTCCCCTCTTCTAGGTTGCGATCATCTATGAAGCTGACGAGCCCAATACTGGCGCATCCATCACTTACGGGCAGCTTCTGCGCGAAGTCTGTTCGCTCGCCAATGTGCTCTCGAGCACCTTCGGCGTGAAGAAGGGAGATACAGTCAGCATCTACCTCCCGATGACATATCACGCTGCAGTGGCCTTCCTGGCCTGCGCAAGGATCGGTATGTCTTGAATATTTCTCCCTTGTCTTATCATTATCTTTCTGTTCTACCACCGGACCGCTCGATCCGTATCTCACCCACGATCATTACGCGTTCCTTGTCGGGCAGACACTGATTTGCATTTTCGCAGGTGCCATCCACTCGGTTGTATTTGCCGGCTTCTCAGCTGAATCATTGCGCGACCGCATCCGCGACTGTGGCTCTCGTGTGCTGATCACGTCGGACGAAGGAAAGCGCGGCGGCAAGACGATCGCCACGAAAGCCATCGCGGACGCTGCGTTACAATCTCTTGCCGACGAGGGTGATAAGATTGTTGAGCATGTCTTGGTCATGAAGCGGACGGGAGGCAAGGTCGCTTGGACGGAAGGCCGCGACAGCTGGTGGCACGAAGAGATGGACAAGGTCCCCAGCTACTGTCCGCCGGTGGTCATGGCCGCGGAGGATCCGTTGTTCATTCTCTACGTGAGTGCCGAGCGGTTATTCCTCGGTTTTTCATGGCTTATTCTTCGCCAAGACTTCTGGATCAACCGGAAAGCCAAAGGGCGTTGTCCATACTACCGCTGGCTATCTTCTTGGCGCTGCATTGACCGTCAAATACGTCTTCGATGTGCACGAAACAGATGTCTTCGCGTGCATGGCTGATGTTGGTTGGATTACTGGCCACACGTGCGTCTTGCTTGGTGTTCGATTCTTCTTTTTTTGCTTATCGCAGCGTCCAGATACATTGTCTACGGTCCTCTTCTGAATGGCGTCACCACGCTCATGTTCGAGAGCACGCCTGTTTACCCAACCCCGGCCCGATACTGGGAAGTGGTGGCCAAGCACAAAGTGACCCAGTTCTACAGTGCGCCAACGGCTATCCGTCTACTCAGGCGGTGAGTTGCATTCGACGTTACCACCGACGAACACTGAGAAGTAACTTAGGCTTGGCTCCCACCATGTCGACGGGCACGATCTTTCCACTTTGCGAGTCCTCGGGAGTGTCGGCGAGCCGATTAATCCGGAGGCCTGGGACTGGTACAACGAAAACGTCGGGAAGGGAGAATGTGCTGTCGTTGATACTTTCTGGTTCGTCGCTTCTCTTCCGCGGTCGAAGCAGCCAAGCTCACCATTTACCCCTCGCAAAGGCAAACCGAAACCGGTTCGATCGTCATAACGCCATTCCCGGGTGCGGTTCCGACGAAGCCGGGTTCGGCAACCGTGCCGTTCTTCGGCCAAGTGGCGGTTATCGTCGATGCCGTGTCCGGCGAAGTCCTCGAAGGCAACAATGTCTCCGGTGTGCTGACGCTTTCGGTTCCGTGGCCGTCTATCGCACGAACTATCTGGAAGGATCACGCCCGGTACTTGGATACCTACATGAAGCCGTACCCGGGTCTCTTCTATACGGGAGACGGCGCTGCCCGGGACAAGGATGGATACATCTGGATCAAAGGGCGTGTCGATGGTGTGTTGTTATCTTTTATTGATGGCGACGATCGGATCTAATCTCCTGTCGATTGTAGATGTCATCAATGTCTCTGGTCACCGACTCTCCACCGCGGAGATTGAGAGCGCGCTGATAATGCACAAGGGCGTCGCTGAAACTGCCGGTTAGCCTGTGTCACGTCATATCGCTGTGACTACTCTGATGCGTTGCCCAGTGATCGGTACCGCTGACGAGCTAACCGGTCAAGCGGTGTACGCTTTCGTCACATTCAAACCGTGAGCCCATGATTCCCGTGGAGCTACTGCGGTCTGATGGTTCTGTAGCGAGTTTACCTACGACTCCGCCGACGAGGCCAGCCTCATCAAGGAGCTTGTTCTGCAAGTTCGCAAAGTAATTGGCCCGTTCGCAGCGCCCAAGAAGATATACATCGTGCCAGACTTGCCCAAGACCCGCTCAGGCAAGATCATGCGCCGAATTATGCGTAAGATCGTTGCTGGGGAGGGGGATCAATTAGGTGACTTGTCCACCGTTGCCGAACCAGGAGTCGTCGATGTCATCAAGGCTAAGGTGGCGGAAAGTGCTTGAGGCTTGAGTCGGGGGATGTTTCTCTTTGGGGTCGCGAACGTTAAATAACACAATGTGTATGTAAATTATGTCTTGTTACTTACTTATCTGGAGCTGTTTTAAACAGTTCCTGTTACCTTCTTGGCGTCGGGATTCACTATGCAAGTCCTGTCGAAGTGTTCATTTGGATTGGGCCAAGGTTGGCCTGGCCGGGTCATCACATGTTTGTCGAGACTGCTGACCAATGGATAGGATGGACGGATATCCGGCTATCACTGTCAGCTGTGGGTGGTATATCTGGACCAGAGTGCTCACGCTCTCCATCGTCTCTTCCCAGACAGCAGTCAGCGATGCCATCCATCCCACCGGGTATCCGATACATATCCAAACACCTCCCCAGACTGCTCTCCCCGGCATTGCTCACATATGCGTCGATCCATGTCCTGCAGGCTTTCGACATCCAACTGCCGTTTCCGAGCTGGATTGCGTGCCTCTTGAGCGGCCCTCTTGTCCTTACGCTCATCGTCCAGCGGCGGGACTGGTTGGACGCACGGGCGGCGGCGAAGAATGGCGCCACCATGGGTCCTGTGCTTCCCGGTTGGATTGGCGGCGTTCAGATGTTCTTCGTCAAGATGATCGACATGTATCCGGGTGCGTCGAACACTCCCCCCTCCAGTTCATCTTCAATGATTTACTCATTGCCAGCGGAGGGAATGAGCATCGTCCTTGCCAAGGACGCCTATACTACGCGAGTGCGGTTGCTGTTCCAGAATCGGGTGAGCGGACATCTCTGACTGGAATACATGCAAGCACTGGGTCTGATTTTCATGAAGACGATCACAGCGGACCCTCACAACATAAAGACAGTGCTTGCCACAGAGTTCAATAGCTTCGAGAAAGGTTCGGAGTTCCAAGAGGTATTGGGGCCCTTGCTTGGCACAGGAGTCTTCGCGGCGGACGGTGTGTCACAATATCATCTCTCGGTGTCTACCTAAACCGCTCACGGCATTTCTAGGCGACATGTGGAAGTGAGAAAAAGCGTGAATTCAACATGAATATACTAAAAGCTCGTACCGTAGGTTCCATCGGGCCATGACCCGTCCTTTCTTCCATCGCGAACGGATCAGCGATTTCGAGCTATTTGACCATCACGCAGAAAACGCGATTGGACAATTCAAAGCAAGACTCAGAGAAGGTCATCCTGCAGATTTTCAGGTAATGCTCCCTTTGCATTGGGCTCGCACCCGCACCGCATCTGGGCTGACCCCGGCCCAGGATATGGTCTCTCGTTTCACCATGGATGCCGCGACTACGTTCCTGTTCGGCACCAACGTGAACACTCTCGAGGCCGGGCTTCCCTACCCCTTCTATGCCCCAGCAGCGGAACCTGCTGCAGCCGGAAAATCTCATCCGTCCAGCGCTTTCGCGGCTGCCTTTCAGCAGGCTCAGATCATTGCTTCCGCTCGGAACAGACTCGGCGAGCATTGGCCGCTACAGGAATTCTGGGTGGACACTATGGAGGAGCCGATGAGTGTTGTTCGCGCTTATCTGGATCCCATACTCCGAGAAGCGATCGAGAAAAAGAGACGCTCTGGTTCATTCGAGAAGGCAGACGTGAATGGGGATCGAGAGGTGCAAGAGGGAGAGACGTTGTTGGAGCATCTGGTCAACTATACTGAGGGTGAGTTGGCTGATGCATGACGTGCCCATCTCAAAGCTGCCAGATCATACCATCCTCCGTGACGAAATCCTGAACATCACCACCGCTGGACGCGATACCGTCCGTATCAGCACCTTCTCTGCCTTTCCTCCTGCTCTAAACTTACCAACAGACCGCGTGCCTTCTGACATTCACGGTGTATATGCTTGCAGAGCATCCCGAGGTACTTTCCAAGTTGCGCCAGGAGATTATGGACAGTGTAGGCTCGACCCGAGCCCCGACCTTCGACGACTTCCGCACCATGAAATATCTCCGCGTTAGTTCTCTTCCAACGATTTTTTTCATTCCACTGATCTCGTGCAGGCGGTTCTGAACGAGACTTTGCGACTATATCCACCGGTGTTCGTATCACCAACACCGTTTATTTCTTGTTCGCAATCTCACATCTTACCCACAGTCCTTTCAACGTCAGAACTGCCTGCAGACCTGCCCTGTTCAGATCGAGTCCAGATGGCCCCCCGATTCACGTGCCAATTGGAACGAGGTGGGATTTTTGTTTTCGTGCCCTAAAGCACCCATAACATCAGACAGGGTTGTTTTCACCCCTATCGTGATGCACCGCCGAAAGGATCTCTGGGGTCCAGATGCCTTGAAATTCGATCCAGCCCGGTTCTTGGATGAACGTGTTCACAAATACCGTGCGCCTTACCTCTAAAAATCTCCTCCGCCCACTGATTATGAATGTTCTCCGAAGTGACTCCGAATCCATTCATCTTCCTCCCGTTCAACGCTGGTCCTAGAATCTGCCTCGGCCAACAGGTAGGACATCTTTCTGTGTCTGGAAAAGATGTCCCGGGCACTGAGAAATATTCACCTCAGTTTGCCTACCACGAAGCCTCGTTTTTCCTCGTGCGGCTCCTCCAGTCGTTCTCCGAGATATCCCTCGCTCCCGCAGCCCAACCTCCCGCCACCCGTCCCCCCGCCTCGTGGAAGACTGACGATGAAAGCGGCTGGAAGAAGGAAGAGAAGATTTGGCCGAGGTCGCACTTGACGCTTTACGTCAATGTAGGCCATATTTCGTTTGCTTCAACGGCGAGTTGTCTGATCGAGTTCAACTTCAGGGCGGATTGTGGGTTACCATGCGCGAGGCGGAGGCAGATAAAGCAGCAGCTGGGACTTCAGGAAGCTCTTGAAAATTTTTTCACGGAAAACACGTACCCCCCACTCTCTTTTAACTCGAGCAAAATTCTTGTCACAAGCTCCAATCGAACAAGCACATGTCGAACATTTGTCACGTGACATCACGTGCAACAGCTCAGATCTTCTGCTGACCAAGCATGCCTACCCCGGCTGAACGGTTCGAATATGCTGATGATCGACCTTTGGCTTCCCTCGATCCCGCCCTGAAATCCGTCAAGGGGATTCGACGGTTATGCCTTCGTTCTCCTTATCTCTATCGTGCTGATATCGAGAATCCTCCTTTCTGACATGACAATGTCTCTCCGTGAGATCGACTGGTAGAAGCATCAAACATTTCTTTACGGTATACCCAGGCTTATGCACTGCGCGATCATGCGCCTTCAGGATTTCTGCCACGAGCTGTTTGCTCACGAGTGTCCGTTCATCCGTGGAGCAGGTGATCTACAGATAGGATGTTTACCACCAGAGACGGCTTCAGATCGCTTGACGACAACCGAGAGTCATAGATTCCGAGCTTTCGATGCAGATTTCGTGTGCGTTCATCTGAGCGCCTTACGGCGAAAGAAATGTGATGAAGCGCGTATAAAGATAGCGACGCAGAGCAGCGAGTTGTCTGTCCCGTTCCACTTTCAAGTTTCTGACCTGGTGTCATTTCTCCCTTTTCTTCGTCGCTGATTTTCTTTGCTTCCTTCCATTTCTTCAATAATCCACACAAACTATGCTCATTTCTCTCCCTGTCGTCCTCAGCATTGTGTGCTCCATCCTTACCACGGTTCTCGCGACTCCGTTGGGTTCGCGCTCTGTGAGATCAATCTTTCTGGAGACTCACTTTTGATTAAAGGTCCCAAGCTGGTGTTTGAGGCCCGTCTCGACACTGGCCCTCTGATCGCCAGCTGCAGCGAACAGAACACGACGAAGCTCGCATCTTTCATCCAGCTGACGCAGCAATTGCTGGGACGTTCGAATGCCACCTCGGAGTAGGTTTTTCCTCTCTTACCGATGCTGAAAGAAAATCTCAACGTCATTCTGCAGCGTTACCACTGCGAACAAGCTCCTCGACAATGCCTTTACTCTCGCTGACGGACTACAGAGCATCGCTGTTTTTCCTACGCTCGCAGCGCAGCCTCTGGCGGATACGCTCCCTCAGATGCAAGGATTGTTGACCCAGGCTCGGGATGCTGTTAAAAATGTCACAGCGTCAGATTTTAATGATTCCTTGACGCTTAGCTTGCTGAAATGTTCCTCCAGGGTGCATGCTGATTTGCTCGTGCAGGCACAAGGCTTCCTGGGCAAAGCGGTCGCTCAATCCCAATCACTCAACTGCACCAACCTGCCTGTCAACGCAACTCCGAACCCGATCCGTTCGGTCGCCCCCACCTTTACTGTGACCGTGAAAGCGGCGACGACGGTCGGAACCCAATCAGCGTCGGCTACGAGTGTTGTCCCCGTCCCAACAGTAGCGGGACTTTACGGGCAGGGACCCTCGGAAAAGGACAATGCAGCTGGATCAGCTCCGAACGGAAACGCGGCGGCCGCCGTAGTCATGCCCGACGCAAAAGCGGGAAGTGCTTCGCGCCTCAACGCGCTATCGCCTATGTGCCTCTTGATTCTGCTGTTCACTGTTCTTCTGGTATGACCGTGAACAAGTATTCAGGCGGACTTCGCGAGCCAGCGAGTTTTTGCTGTTTTATAAATTACTAGTGCATGAATGGGAACTGATTGGGTCAAAATAAGTACCGAATCCGATCACGCAGGAAGCGGATGCAACTCTGACTGTGGTGATGAAAGAAGGGCACGTGACAGCCCAGTTGGATGGGTAGTTGAGAAAACTGCTGATAAATGAGCCGGGACCGGGATCGCTCCTGCAGGTCAGGGAGTCCTTGCCGGTGTAAGGGTTCTGCATGGGCCAAAAAAACCTGTCCGCGGCCGGTCTCGAACATGGCCGCATCGCCTGTCACCTGTCAGCGGGCTCTAGACCCTCGTGATGTAATGTAGCCCAGGTAAAAATCACGCGCCATTTTTCCACCTTACATTTTTGATTCACTACATACTTCCACCACCTCACGCAGACCTCATTTACACCGATAATATCCATGTCTACAAGCCCCAAGAAACCCTCGATATCGGGTATGAAATTGAGCATGCCTCAATGTACGTCCCTTCCACCCTCTCTACCTGAGGTCGTCGTTACGGAGCTGTGGCAGATACACCCGAGCTCGAATACACCATTGACCTCGGCGCCGAGTCCTCCGAATCCCGTCCTATCACGCCTGTCCCCCAGTTCCGCGAGGTGACGCGAAAACGCAATTGGCGCTCATCGAGTCATGAGCGGGACCAGACGCACGGGTCTAGCGCCTACGACAAGGAAGGGCACTGGAAGGTGGCAGAGCGGGGAAGACTCGAGGCCTTGCGGGACTGTGGAATTTGGTGAGCATACACGCGTCATTCGGCTCTACTCCTGCGTCTGACCTCCGTCGTCCACAGCGAGGAAGTGGCAACCGAGCCTCTGGTGACCGATTGCTGCGGGGCGCTGTTTTGCCGAGAGCATATCAACGACGTACGTGGACACTTCCTTCTCGCCCCACTGTTTTATACGAATCTCTACTAGTGGCTCTATGGTCCTGCTTCATCACCACTCTGTCCCTCGTGCCAGAAGACCTGCATGGTCCCCGCCATCGACTCAGCTTCGTCATCCTCTTCACTGGCATCACACTCCGCAGACCGTAACCGCACCCTCTCGCGCTCGCGCTCGTCCTCACCACCTGTTACGATTGAGTCTCCTGCCACTCGTCGTTTTGCGCGAATGGAGTACGACAGCATTGTCCGCCTGATCAGCATTGCCGTCAGTGCGCTTCTGTTGCTCGGCGTATTGAGCCGACGTGGGCTGGATGGCAACACTGACGGGTTAGCGACGACGTATCAGTCCGGTGATCCCAGCCTGTGAAGATGAATGTCATGGGGCTTTTCTCCGAATACCTCATCCGTACTTCAACGTGCGGTGTTATTTCGTTCTCTTTTCTCTGCGTCTCCCACATGTGTAGTAACTGTCGTGTCTATATTGTATCCATTAGCGATTTCATTTTCATCGCCTCTCCCCGGCGTGGGTTTGGGCATGTCGGGGAGTCGGTCAGCAGCCCGGTGTCACATTTCATGGTAGTTTTGTTCTACCCAATACTCGTATCTATGACCTTGAAATGCGGTTGGAGTCGTAAGATACCATTGCTTCGTCGGATTTCTCGCGCCGGCTCCCAAATGATTTGGAAGGTAATTTCATAGAATTCATCATTGCGAGTAGAATCTAGGATTAGACAATGAACGATCATGAGCAAGTATTTCTGGGACTGGCAGAGCATGCTCGGACTTAATCGAGAACGTCTCGGCGACCTCACAAAGAAAATTCATCCGCGATTCGATTCGAAGGAATTTTTCAATGAATAAAAATATCCCAAAGGTCGTCACAAGCATAGAAACCCGGAATGAGACAGCCCACCGGACAATGGAAATGGATGATCACGTGGAGATCCCACACGCAGGCACGTGGTGCTTTGTTGAACCTTTGACTGAGAACCACGAAAAATGGACAACATTTTGTAATTGATTCTGAACTGAAAGATGATATAGAGAATCCGCCAAGTGTATCGGGGTGCTATGTTGAATTTTTGACTGAAACCACAAAAATGGACGAAATTGTGCAATTGATTCTGAGATTATATATAGCATAGACAACCCGTTAATTTACAATAGATAGAGTGCGTCGCATATACATGATGGACGGTTCAGGCAGCGAGAGACGTGATCGAAGCCGGAAGCGCGTTGTAGATGGGACACAGCTGGTTCCACTCGGAGGTCGGGATCAGCTCCGACTGCCAGTCGGGCACGTCCTCCGCGAACACGATCGCGAAACCGGCTTCCAGATGCCAGTCGATGTGGCAGTGGAGGAACCACGCTGCATAAAAACAATCATCAGCTCGACTGATCGAATCAAGAACCCAGGGCGGGACGGGAAAACGGAGACTGACGTCCTCGGTTGTCCGTGAAGAAGCGGATGGTGACATTGTCGCCGGCGTTGCCGATGTTAACGACGTCGCGGCGGGCGGGGTTGACGTAGTTGTAGGTGCTGCTTCCGGCGGAGCGGATGACATCGAACGCGTGTCCGTGTAAGTGGAAGGGGTGCTAGGGAGCCCGTCGTCAGCTTCCGCGCTGGGACACACAGAGAAACACAGAGAGAGAACTGACGCCACCACCAACAACGCCTCCTGCGAGCGTGATTTCGACCGACGCAAAGTGCGGCAGGGTGTACACCGAGCCGTTGGGGAGCAGCGACTGTGCGTTCTGTGCGCCGGACAGGATCTGGAGCAGCACGGGCACGGTGGGTGGCACAAAGGATGCGCCGTTGATCGTGAACTTGAACGTCGTCTGGCAGGCGTGATCAGCAGTCGAGCGCACACCCTGCAACGTCGCTGGAGCGCACCAAATCAAACGCCAAAGCCAGATTGATCTGGACGTCGGCACCACCGATGAAAGCACCGCCGGGAGCACCAGGATTCACGAGAGGGTGGAGGTTGACCTCGTTGACGAGCCCGTTGACTGAGGTGTCCTGCGAGGTCGTGGGCTCGGAAGAGTTCGCTCCTTCGTCTGGAAAAATCGTGCTTGCTCAGGACGGAACCACGGGGATCGCTCGTGGAAGGCTGACTTACAGCGGAGAATCGCAGAGTTGATGCCCCCGGTGAAACCAGCGGGACCGGTGTTCGGGGCGGCGCGAATCCAGTAGTTGTCGACAGCTTGGTTGGCAGTCAGGATGAACGAATACCGCTGGGCTGGAAAAAAAGAGTCAGTTACAGCCGTTCGAAACGCAAGAGCGAAGTCGAGCTCACCTGCGTAGATCTGGATCGAGTCAACGCTCAGCGGTTGGTGGAGGATCCCGTCCGCCTCGATAATGGTCAAATTGGTGTGACCGTCGATTTGGAAAACGTAGTTGGAGTCGCAGGCGGTGTTGACCAGACGGAAACGGTAACGCAAGCCTTGCTTGACGTTGACCACCGCGAGGGTTGTGTTCGTGAGCGTCGCCGCGGTCCGTCCAAGACCGTTGATGAGCATGGAGGATGGGACACTGTAGTTTGGGCACATCAGAGCTCGATCCCGAAGCTGCGCACGTCCAAGCACTGACCCGACACCCGCCACGGTTTCAGCAAAGACGTTGTACCAGTCGGACAGGGTTATCACCGTCGATTCGTCGTCGACATCGTACTCCGAGAGGTATGCGTCCGCCGGATCGTAGATGACCATCGCGCCGCGCAGACCATCGCAGTACTGGGTAGCGAGGTGAGAGTGATACCAGAATGTTCTGGTTGATCGGATTCAGACGAAGTTCGAGCATAAACGACACGGAGTTCACACACCCAGCTTGTTGAGACGTAAAATCGTAGGTGAACGAGTTTCCAGGTGAAATCGGACACTGATTGACGAACGCAGGCCCGTCCATGTAGTTCGTCCCATTCTGGAACAACCCGTGCCAGTGCTGCAAGTTGCAGCGAGTCAGCGATCCGATCGAAGAAGGACGTAGATTCAGCGTACAATGGACGTCGGCTCTAGCATGCGGTTGTCCTGCTGCTGATCGACGACGGTGAGCTGAAAGTTGTCGCCGATCTTTCCGGTGACGAGCGGGCCAGGGAACGTGCCGCCGGCGAGAACGGCGGCTCGGGGGACACCATCGGGAGAGATTGTTTTGTTGGCCACGACGAATGAACCAACAGGCCCAATCGTGACAGCGGAGGCGATTCTGGCTGCCGCAGCGAGAGAGATCATCGTTCGGGAGGAGAACATCGCAGCAAAGGTGATCGAAAGCCAAATAGATCCTGAGACCGGTTTTATGTCTCTCTAAGCAGTCAGAGGACTGCATTTATAGAGTTTCGACGGAGAGAGACCATCAATGACATTCTTCCACACGGTTGATCGATAGGGCAATACACGCGCTCTTGTCAGTCAAAGTTCGGATTTGACACCCGGATTCGGCTGGTTGGTTGGATTGCGATGACTGAGCGCAGTGCCGTACAGAGCCAGGAACTCGAAGACTGCCCAAGGGAGAGATTTCAGCCACGCAACAAAGTTATGATGCGATTTCATCGCTCTGAGACATTGCGAGGAGCGCGAGCAAAAAACGCTTGCAGAGCAGCTAGAACTGAGCTCTCTCGGCCACAGAGATCGTTCAACGGAGATCTCGTTCCTTCTCTCTCAGCACTGGGCGGAAGCCTGGTCGCACAGACTGCGAAAACGCTGGTCACAGATCGGGAAAGGGAAAACTTCCGCCGAAATCCCTTACGTCGTTGGTACTGACGAAATGACAGCGGAAAAAGAGCGCGACCTGATGATAGCCGCATCTGAGGTCTTCGACCTGTATCTTGCAATTTGATCGAGGGTAAACGTGAAGCACAGCAGAAGACACGGATGGTCACCAGTCAATGCAGAGGTGTGTCTGCTCTTCATAATCATGAATGATGCTCAGCAGTGAGCCCGCGGCGTAACAAAGCATTGCGTCCAGTCTCCTCTGATCCGTCCAATCTCGCAATCTCGAAGTCACCGGAAAATCTATCGGGTCCGAAACCAACGACGGAAACCGTCGAAGTCTGGGAGTAGTAGTGCACATGTCCTGAATCAGCTTCTGTTGTGAATCGATGTAATGAGCTGATTCAGCTGACTCCACTGGGGTTGCTGGTAGAAACCCGACTGTCGGCACCGCCTCGATCCGATTATTCGCAATCGGCCGGCATTCCTCGGCTTGTTCAACCACGATCCAAGTACATCAACTGTGCCGCCCAATTTTGCCCCAACCCCCTACTACTTTGGGCTAAGTGTTTCGCCTAATGACCCTCAGAATTGGTAAATGTGGTGGCTCACATTTGACTGTATTATCCGGGGTCCTGACGTTGCCTAGTAGTCACTAATTTCGTCGTACCTCGTTGATGGGACATGATCCGAAATACAATATAGCCACGCCATTTCGCATCACGTGCACATTTTACTCGAAGCGTCGGTCGCACCTGGTCCGTTGTTCATCAACCTCAAGCCCTGTTCCCAGCCTCAGTCATTGGCCTGAGAGGAGCTGTGTTTTCAACCCCACTGAACGGACATGACCCCTTGACTGGGATCTGGCAGTTCTTCACTGGAATTTCGCAGCTCTCCTCTCCAGGTCCACCACCGCTTCGATCCTGAAATCAGACTGAGCGGTGTTGCGGGACCGAGGCAGACAGGGCCCCGCCGCGGTGAGTAGCCGGCTGTTCCCCTTCTGGCAAAGAATAAGCTCGACAGCGATGCATGTCATGAAGCCGCCTCTCAAAGACTTCCATTTACCCGCGCCGAAGAGAGGCGGGGTCTCGCCGAAGAGGCCTGCCACACACTCTTTTGGTGCCCTCGAATGCTGTGGTGTGCTTGAGAAGCATTCTTTCCGCGAAGATTTGGGGCATCGAAGGCTCTTCATTTCATAGCCCTGGAATTTTTACCGAGTGATTTTGAATTTGAGACCCTCCGCTTGGCAATCTTCGACGCAGGGATCTCACACCTGCATCTCAAGATGACGCAGAAAATCAAAAGAGAGCAGCCTCGGTCATGTTTCTGTCGCCGATAGCCGCCGGCCCCCGAGCAATAACGAGCTTTGACTAAGTGCCATCTCTGTCGTCAATCCGATCTGATATTTGATGGACAGAGCCGGTGGGTGCCGGCCTATTGCGAATAATCGGATCGAGGCGGTGCCGACAGTCGGGTTTCTACCAGCAACCCCAGTGGAGTCAGCTGAATCAGCTCATTACATCGATTCACAACAGAAGCTGATTCAGGACATGTGCACTACTACTCCCAGACTTCGACGGTTTCCGTCGTTGGTTTCGGACCCGATAGATTTTCCGGTGACTTCGAGATTGCGAGATTGGACGGATCAGAGGAGACTGGACGCAATGCTTTGTTACGCCGCGGGCTCACTGCTGAGCATCATTCATGATTATGAAGAGCAGACACACCTCTGCATTGACTGGTGACCATCCGTGTCTTCTGCTGTGCTTCACGTTTACCCTCGATCAAATTGCAAGATACAGGTCGAAGACCTCAGATGCGGCTATCATCAGGTCGCGCTCTTTTTCCGCTGTCATTTCGTCAGTACCAACGACGTAAGGGATTTCGGCGGAAGTTTTCCCTTTCCCGATCTGTGACCAGCGTTTTCGCAGTCTGTGCGACCAGGCTTCCGCCCAGTGCTGAGAGAGAAGGAACGAGATCTCCGTTGAACGATCTCTGTGGCCGAGAGAGCTCAGTTCTAGCTGCTCTGCAAGCGTTTTTTGCTCGCGCTCCTCGCAATGTCTCAGAGCGATGAAATCGCATCATAACTTTGTTGCGTGGCTGAAATCTCTCCCTTGGGCAGTCTTCGAGTTCCTGGCTCTGTACGGCACTGCGCTCAGTCATCGCAATCCAACCAACCAGCCGAATCCGGGTGTCAAATCCGAACTTTGACTGACAAGAGCGCGTGTATTGCCCTATCGATCAACCGTGTGGAAGAATGTCATTGATGGTCTCTCTCCGTCGAAACTCTATAAATGCAGTCCTCTGACTGCTTAGAGAGACATAAAACCGGTCTCAGGATCTATTTGGCTTTCGATCACCTTTGCTGCGATGTTCTCCTCCCGAACGATGATCTCTCTCGCTGCGGCAGCCAGAATCGCCTCCGCTGTCACGATTGGGCCTGTTGGTTCATTCGTCGTGGCCAACAAAACAATCTCTCCCGATGGTGTCCCCCGAGCCGCCGTTCTCGCCGGCGGCACGTTCCCTGGCCCGCTCGTCACCGGAAAGATCGGCGACAACTTTCAGCTCACCGTCGTCGATCAGCAGCAGGACAACCGCATGCTAGAGCCGACGTCCATTGTACGCTGAATCTACGTCCTTCTTCGATCGGATCGCTGACTCGCTGCAACTTGCAGCACTGGCACGGGTTGTTCCAGAATGGGACGAACTACATGGACGGGCCTGCGTTCGTCAATCAGTGTCCGATTTCACCTGGAAACTCGTTCACCTACGATTTTACGTCTCAACAAGCTGGGTGTGTGAACTCCGTGTCGTTTATGCTCGAACTTCGTCTGAATCCGATCAACCAGAACATTCTGGTATCACTCTCACCTCGCTACCCAGTACTGCGATGGTCTGCGCGGCGCGATGGTCATCTACGATCCGGCGGACGCATACCTCTCGGAGTACGATGTCGACGACGAATCGACGGTGATAACCCTGTCCGACTGGTACAACGTCTTTGCTGAAACCGTGGCGGGTGTCGGGTCAGTGCTTGGACGTGCGCAGCTTCGGGATCGAGCTCTGATGTGCCCAAACTACAGTGTCCCATCCTCCATGCTCATCAACGGTCTTGGACGGACCGCGGCGACGCTCACGAACACAACCCTCGCGGTGGTCAACGTCAAGCAAGGCTTGCGTTACCGTTTCCGTCTGGTCAACACCGCCTGCGACTCCAACTACGTTTTCCAAATCGACGGTCACACCAATTTGACCATTATCGAGGCGGACGGGATCCTCCACCAACCGCTGAGCGTTGACTCGATCCAGATCTACGCAGGTGAGCTCGACTTCGCTCTTGCGTTTCGAACGGCTGTAACTGACTCTTTTTTTCCAGCCCAGCGGTATTCGTTCATCCTGACTGCCAACCAAGCTGTCGACAACTACTGGATTCGCGCCGCCCCGAACACCGGTCCCGCTGGTTTCACCGGGGGCATCAACTCTGCGATTCTCCGCTGTAAGTCAGCCTTCCACGAGCGATCCCCGTGGTTCCGTCCTGAGCAAGCACGATTTTTCCAGACGAAGGAGCGAACTCTTCCGAGCCCACGACCTCGCAGGACACCTCAGTCAACGGGCTCGTCAACGAGGTCAACCTCCACCCTCTCGTGAATCCTGGTGCTCCCGGCGGTGCTTTCATCGGTGGTGCCGACGTCCAGATCAATCTGGCTTTGGCGTTTGATTTGGTGCGCTCCAGCGACGTTGCAGGGTGTGCGCTCGACTGCTGATCACGCCTGCCAGACGACGTTCAAGTTCACGATCAACGGCGCATCCTTTGTGCCACCCACCGTGCCCGTGCTGCTCCAGATCCTGTCCGGCGCACAGAACGCACAGTCGCTGCTCCCCAACGGCTCGGTGTACACCCTGCCGCACTTTGCGTCGGTCGAAATCACGCTCGCAGGAGGCGTTGTTGGTGGTGGCGTCAGTTCTCTCTCTGTGTTTCTCTGTGTGTCCCAGCGCGGAAGCTGACGACGGGCTCCCTAGCACCCCTTCCACTTACACGGACACGCGTTCGATGTCATCCGCTCCGCCGGAAGCAGCACCTACAACTACGTCAACCCCGCCCGCCGCGACGTCGTTAACATCGGCAACGCCGGCGACAATGTCACCATCCGCTTCTTCACGGACAACCGAGGACGTCAGTCTCCGTTTTCCCGTCCCGCCCTGGGTTCTTGATTCGATCAGTCGAGCTGATGATTGTTTTTATGCAGCGTGGTTCCTCCACTGCCACATCGACTGGCATCTGGAAGCCGGTTTCGCGATCGTGTTCGCGGAGGACGTGCCCGACTGGCAGTCGGAGCTGATCCCGACCTCCGAGTGGAACCAGCTGTGTCCCATCTACAACGCGCTTCCGGCTTCGATCACGTCTCTCGCTGCCTGAACCGTCCATCATGTATATGCGACGCACTCTATCTATTGTAAATTAACGGGTTGTCTATGCTATATATAATCTCAGAATCAATTGCACAATTTCGTCCATTTTTGTGGTTTCAGTCAAAAATTCAACATAGCACCACGTGCCTGCGCGTGGGACCTTCACGTGACACCCAGATTAATGCTCCTTTCGGCTTCCTCTCAAATGCTTTTCTGGACCAGGTTACAGTTTATACGACCTTTCATCAAGCAAGGCCATTCATCTTCGTTTCTTATTCATCTCGTCCTTCTTGGACAGCCACCGTCGGCGATCGCCACTTGAGCAATCATTCCGCTTTACCGGAAAATGTGTCAGAGTTCATGACATGAAGACAAGCGCCCAGGCATCCCCTGCGTAGAAAAAATTGATTTCACACTCAAGTTGGTCTTGAGACCGCATTGGTTTTTCATGAGTTTTTCAGTCAGGCTGTTTCTCTCTGAAATCTTCGAGTACTAATTATACGCTCCATCCGATGGAGTCCGATCACTTCCCTCAATAATAATTACTGATTCAATATTATTACAACATTCCAAGCTTTCGCTAGCACGAACTCATCCCAGATTGGTATTTGATCGGTAATTATCGAGAATGCCTGATTCTCTACAGGAATGAAATCGGCACGAAAGCAGGAAATCATTCCTTCGCTCAGTGACTGTACCCGGGCCCATTGTGAGTAGGATAAGTACCCCAGTCATTGGGCTGGGATGCAGTCGCATATGTGGACTGACTGATCGGATACTGCCCAGAGTAATGCTGATCCCAACCCAGTTGTGAAATCTGTTGTTGGAGACCTGGGGCGGGACCATCGAACGATGAATGTGGAGCTGAGTTCGTCGATATGTTGAGGCCCGGACTCGTTTCCAGTCCGAGATTCGGGTAACGGCCATCAGCGTAGCGTGGGTGGCCGCTCGCCGGTGGTGGCCCGGTGTAGGGAAGATCCGGCACGTGTTCTGGAATGACCAGGAGATTTCTGGTAAATCCCGCCTGCGGGATAGAAGGAGGATGAGGAGCCTGAAGATATCCCTGCTGAGTGGGCTCCCGGCCTTGGACACTGGCGTGTTGGGGATCAGCTCTGTGGGATCTGTCCTCCACAAATTGGCATCGGAGCGATTTCCGGGCACAGCGCTCGCAAGGCCCCTGCTTTTTACCATCTGACGGAGGATTGCACTACGAAGAGATGAAAATCTTCGCAGACCCAGTAAAACGTGCAAACGAACTCTGGTCTTGCTCTGGCGGCAATTATTGCATGCTATTAGACTCCGCTGGATATTCGACGTGTACTGCTGCTGATCAGCAGAGATCCTGGCCTGTGAGCGGTGGTAGTCCATGAAAGTGAAGGAATGAGGGTAGGATGGGGTTTTTAGACTCTCCTAGTCGATGCAAGCATATAAATACCAGGCCGATTTATCGAGTGTCGACTCTGCACCGAGTGCAATCGTGGACTGCAACAAGTTCCGTCGGCGTTGCTTCTGACATTGGGCTGTACATTGCAAGATTGTTTCGTTTCGCAGCTTGTTCCGTCAGGGTGGAATCCACTTGGTCGCGGGACGATGGCCGACGGATCACGGAAACAGTAACCAGCACCATCGCGCGTACTCACCATGTAAAGTTTTAATCAGCATGACCGTCTGGGAGAGAAATGTCCTAGAGAGACAGTACGGTGGAGAAGGAATAATAGCCTCCTGAAATCCTGGTGGGGGCCATTATGTCGTCAGTTCAGCTAACGGATCAACGCGTGGAACAGGGCGCAAATTCACACGTGATCCATTATTGGGGCACGTGTAATTCCAAGACCATCTGTTTCTCGGCTCAACGGTATCCCGGTCGAACGATGGCAGTTATATACCGAAGCTCTCCGTGTCCCCGGCCTCGAGATGCGCCCGAGGCCGATGGAAAATCAGCGCTGAGCGCTGGAATGGGCGGGGCGGGGCTGTGAAGACAGGATATTCATACGCGCGCTGATGACAGTGCATTCACTATGCACTCAGTCTTTCTGGCTGTGAGCTCACAGATGGAGCTTCTCTCTCCGAAATATCTCTGACAGCACATTAGAGGACGCCGCTTTTGTAAGTCTGACTCATCTTGTGCAATACTGAGATAGTTTAGCGCGTATCCACGGGATGATCATGATGACTCGCAGCACAGACTCGATAACTCCGTTATAAATGAATGTCCTTCCAGAGAGGCATAACAGCCCACTGCTCAATTACTTTCGACGACGATGACGACTGCTTACCTGGACACATCCTCTTCCTCTCTCATTGCCTGCACCAACTGCCGGGAGCGCAAGACCAAAGTAACCACACCCTTCCATAGTCGAATCGATATGTCACTGATCCGATTTTCCCCAGTGCATCCCACCGGCAAATCTCCAGACCACCAACAGTCCTTGCGAGCGCTGCGTTCGCAAGGGTTTACGATGTCAATATGTCAGGAGCGCCGCTCGTTCATCCCCATATAATCCATCCGCAACATTACCTTCCTCCTCGCCATCGCGCAACACCGGAACCAGTGCGCTTCCGAACACTGGCCCGCCTCCGACCGGCCATCCTAGGCCTCGATACGCGGATGGACAGTACCCAAATTTATCCCTCGGCTCTGGCGCCGGTCAGCCGCAGGCGCAGTCATATCCGGTTCCCACTGCCTACGCCGGGCACGCTCCCAATTTTCAGGCAACGCAGTATTCAATGGCGGGTGGATATTACAACTCGAACACACAGGCAGCGGGCTCGGCACAGCTTGTGCCCATGCCATTCTTTGCGGGACCAGATGCTCGGTACGGGTATGCAGCTGGCCAGGAGGAGTGGAACGCTCACTCAAACCCACCGGGGAACGGGCCAGGACCCGGATATCCCGGAGGTTATGGATATTGATGATGAATTCCCAACCAGACGATGAAGCTGTCCTACTGTACAATACCTAACTAGACCTGCTAAGTAATTCTCAACACTTTTAATGAAATCCGCAATCATCTTCCATGGAAAATTCTCGTGGTAAAATACGCTCATTTAGCTCTTGAATCCGTCGATTGTTGAGCGAATGAAACCTCTGCAATGAGGCGCACCGCACATGGGTGACCGGATCACGTATCGGGACATTGGCATCGGGCGCCAAAGACACGTTAGCGTGACTGCCACTCGCGTAGCACCAGCTACTTTGTGACATTCGGCTTCGCTGCGCTCCAAGATGTCAACTAGGAAATCCTCGAATGTGATATCAACGCCGGAGACACATCGGGATGTCCATTGCGAGATGTCGACCCGCCCGTTCCACATGCGTGGTGTCCACGCCCAAGAACCGGACTTTCATGGGCATCTTGCTGCGGCGATGAGGCCTTCGTGCGTGCTTGACGTGTGCCATATTCGCCCTTCCTCCAGGTTTCTGCGGTGACAGTGGGACACACCCTTTCTCAATCTTCACAAGCCAGTTGTTCAGAATACGGACCTCAAGCAACACATCTTATGCCCCACTCTCATCATCTCTTCTGCTTCCTTCTACTCTCTCAGCCGGGCTTGGCTGGTGCTGGTGAGCTACGTCTCATGTCTCCTTTGGACGATGCGTCATTCACCCCAGATGGACTGCCCCAAAGCGGACTACGCTCCTGCCGCCGCCTGGCAATCCGACTACCCTGGGATTGGAAAACCTGTCCCGCAGATCTCCGAAACCGACACGGAGGGCAAGACGCTCTTGGCGTCGCTCGAGACTCGTATCACAAACATCGAGCCCAAAGGCGAAAACGGCGTGGCGAACGCGAACCTGCAGTCGAGATGGACTATTCTTGATCATGTTCGCAATACATGACGTCCAGGGAGGGGCATTGCTCGACGTGCCGGCTACGCCCGATCCGTCCACACTAGGGTTCGGACTCGACGACGGCCCGGTGTGTGCTCATGACCCGTTATCCGACTGTCGAGGCGCAGAACCAGGAGCTGGCGCTGCTCTGCATTGGGTCGAAAGCTCCGGTCTAGCCACCCCAGGCCAAGCGGGCAGTGGAAGATGGGCAAGAAGCCTGCGTACGTGCATCTCGTCTTGTTTCTGCTTCATTGCATCTGACTGACAGGATGTGGTCGTTAGATTACTGTTCCCGTCGAGCGAGGACTGCATTTACCGATGAGCAAGCGTTCTGAGAGATGTGATGCGCCCTGCATTCGATCGATCACGATGCAGGCGGATCCGCGAACTGGTTTCCTCCATCTCAGCTGTCAAAATCGGAATCAGGAATCAGCGTCGATCCCCCCCATGAGCGACATCGACGAACACCTCAGGCCCCGCCGCGTGTCACGATCTAGCCGTACCTCGCTTGTCAGCGCGCACACAGCACGTCGTCCCAATCGCCATAGTGAAGGGCCGCTCTAACCTATCAGTCGAGACCCTTTTCACGATGCAAACTTTTGCGAATTGTGACTGTTGGCTGCTGGTGGGAGCGGGGGGCCTAGCACCACCCACATCTCCCGCACAGGTCCCATCATCGTAGAGCGTCACGACATCCACGTCGCCCACCGCTTGGAAGGCTGCTGCTGGTTCACCGGCGGTCGGGGGAAACCCCGTCGCGGCGCAACATCCACCGGCCGGAACCCGGTGACATCTCTGCTGCTGAGCAGACAGGGCTTATATAAGCGCTCTGTTCATTGTGTAGCGCTTATTGCATGTGCATTAGGATTCGAGTGGCATCAAATGCATCTACTTGCATTGCAGCGTGACTGTGCCGTTTTTCAGACATCTAGGGAGCCGCAGTGGAAACTTGAATATCATGACAGCAGAGGCAATCCATGAGGTCAGATGGAAGGAGCAACACTTCTGCGATGCCCGTTCTCTAGCTTGAATATGTTCTGAAGATCTTGGCTTGTCGAGGCACATCAGGCTGCCGAAAGTGTTTCCGTGAGAGATCGAGTACGTATCGAATGAAGAATGAAAATGTGCTCGCCACCTGCTTTACATGCCTGATTCAAGGGCTGATTCAAGCCCCAGAATGATTTCGCAATCTCACGCTCAGTTGGACTTCTGTTCTCGGGATTAGAGCACTAGGCAAGGTCGAATCCAAACGCAAGGCTCGGGGGGGCATCGAGAAGGGCGTGATCGAGAAGGGCATCTGGCATTCACACGCCTGACTGGTGCTCTCACATCTCGTTCCCCATGCGATGCTCATGCGCCTGTTTCAATTGAAGCACTCGATAGTCTCCCAGGACATCCATTCCTCCAGGCTTAACCTGCTTCCTTGTGAGGAAAGAGAGGGCGACGATCATTTTGTTCAACTCAACTCCCTGGAATTGACCTCATTGATGGAAACTCCCACTCCATTCTATCACTCCCTAACTCGTAGGATAGTTACCGACACTGGCTTAGGGCTTCATAGCGAATGCATAGAGCTTCATCGACCGTACGTGTGAGATCCTTGCTCTGATCTCCCGGTCTGCGACGTATAGTCAACGCAGTCGCTCTCTATCAGTGTTGTCTGTGCGAATGTATGTAAAACCCGGCGGCCGCTGACTGCGACGGTCTCCTTCCATAGAACTTGTAGAGACCCAGGGATCAATCAATGACCCGTGCGCATTGCCGGATATCGGCGATGCCCCCGGCCTTCCAAATGTATCTGCATCTCCACTGACTGACCCAGACGCACGACACGGTCAAGCATATGGTGCCGCTCTACGAGAGTGTACTGATCGGTAGACGGACACCGTGATTCGCGTGCGAGACCGACGAATTGACGTTAGTTTCAGAGACTGGAGCGAGTGTTTGTCAGATAGACACCACAAGAGAGACGAGAGCTCGGTGTGCTGATGAGTCTCTGGAACTGAGATGGTCTGTCTGATTGCCTGCCGCATTGCCACGAAAATCTGCTCACCATCCGAGGCTGACGCTTGAACGATCCTGTCTGACGTGAATCCGGGAAATCCTAGGGCAGCGACAGTTCTTTCTTTGATATGGTCCGGGATGTGTGAGACTCATGAGGTATTCAGATGTTTACCTCGCTCAGTCTTCCATATTGGGAAGTTTCATCAGGCAACCTCCGAGACCCATCAAATCATCTATCTTCTTCTGCCACCAAACGCGATGACTGCTCGGCTAGTACTTGAGGCCGCAGGAGTCTTCTCCCTCCTTCCTTCCACATCCCCTCACCGATCCTCCTTGAAACATGGCATCTCATTCGACTGCTACATCGTCTTGCTCCCAATCCGACTCAGCTTCGCTGACCACGACCGTGCCTCCAGCTTTACCACACCCGAATCCAGAGCGGAATCCGGGTGAGGCAGCAATGTCAACTCAAGCTGAAAAGGGACGATCAAGACTGCGTATTCAAATCCCTCGCACGCACAGCACTCCGCTGCCAGCCGGTCACGAGCGCCCCATTCCTGCCCTCCCCGCGAAGACACCGTCTTCCTCGTCGTATCTGCAGACCAGATTCTCGTCACTCACGACGTCAATCAAGAACGCCGCCGCGTCCCCGTCCCAGATCATCCGGTCGTACTTCACGAAGCGCTCGACGCCCCGACCACCGTTGAATACCGGTGCAGACCATCCAGAGGACGACGGTGACCGAGTGGAGGACGGATCCGGTGCTGAGCTGGGCGACTATGAACCCACCTCGGCGCTGTCCCCCACAGTCCAGTCTCCAGAACTGCTGTCCGCGTTCGCGTTCAACATCGACTCCGACAGCGACCCATACTCAGGTCCCAGCGGGTCAGACCCCGAGTCGCTGATTCCCGTATCAGCTGTGGAGTCGACCTGGGATGGCTTCGGTCTCGACACCCCTCCGCCTCCGGCATCCCTTGGATCTGGGGAACTCTCGCTGCGGACTGCCGAACCCGGCAGCCCGTCAGAGCGCACGCCCGCCCACGTGCGTTGGCTGCAGCATCTGTGGACACCAGTGTCGCCCGACGATCCGCCCAGTGATAACATGCTCGACGTCAAGTGGCCTGCTTCGCGTGTGAACGTGCCCGGGCCGAGTCCGCCTTGGACAGGGACGACAGAGGATTCGGATTGGCCCACCACCCCGGCGAGTGCCACTGTGCAGACGCCCAATTCTGCTTTCTCCGACTCTTCTGCTCGTTGAATTGCGATACGGCTTGATATTTATTCGTCTGCTCGTGTAACTGACATCATCTAGTTCGTCTTGTTGTCTCTGTGTTTTCTTCCCCTGACGATGCTGCTGTATCTTCTTACTCGATGTATCATCACATTTCAAGCATGGAATGATTGTTACAAGTGAAGAGATCTCCACGCGATTACAACATGAAGATAACTACATCCCGTACAACGTTGTGACAGACTCGGAGGCACTGGCGGCACTGGCACTGGCAGAAGCACTCGCGCTCGATCCAGAGGTGCCCGAAGAGGTCAACGTAGCCGTCTCAGACGGCAAGAAGTAGAGACAGGTGGTGAATACGGCGAGGCTGGGTGTCGGAGCAGATGCAGAGCCGGAAGAGATCGCACTGGATGAGGGGTTGGCAGATAGAGCCGACGAGATGGCACTGCTGGCGGCCGAAACGATGGCACTGCTAGCGACCGCGGAGATCGACTGTTCCAGTCAGAACATGTCTTGGATAGACGAAACATCTGGAAGTGAGCTCACCGACAACGCTGAAGACGCTGAGGCCGAGGCCGAGCCTGAAGCTGTTGCTGAGGCGGTAGCAGTGGTAGGCTACGAGCTACGGTTCAGACCGGGGCACATCATTGCTCAAGCAAGTTACGCACTGTAGCAGAGGCCGGCACCGTGAACTCCAGGGTCAAGCAAGTCTGATAGACACCCAGGACCGTATATCCGCCAGTAGGGGTGGCAGTGGTGCTGGACTGCGCGCCCGAAGCTGAACCACTACTGACGGCCAAGCGGGCCGTGCCCTGCATGAGAAGATCAGTGAGACATGGCGACCGACAGAGACCGAGCGTACAGTGGAGGCAGAGCCAGTCAATGCCGCAGCGTTGACAGATAGCACGGACATTGCCAGAGCGATAGTTTTCGAGAGCATCAGCATGGTGAGATTCGTTGTGAAAAGTGGGGTGTAGAATGCGCAGTCCAGCCGCAGCTCCTTTATACTGGAGAATTGGAGTGCATTACGCAGAGAATATTTGAGCCCGGGTGCGAGTCCATCGGCGGGTACCTGGCAAGTGGTGCGAGGCAGTGCGATCGCGCTCCGCTCAGGCGGTGGGGGCCTCTTGCTGACTCTGAGCCTGACGCGGCTGTGTACTGCGGATCAGTGTCTCGTCTCACGTGAGCTAAGGAGCTTTGACGTCATTTACACTTCACAAGGGCTTGGGTATAGTTGCAACGAGTCATTAGATTCCCGCGGGCTCGAAAACACCGAGAAGTAAATAATGACAATCTGATGGCACCCGAAACAAGCCCTCGATCTCTACTTCATCGCCGGAAACTCCTGAGCCAGAATGAAGCCTGAGATACATTTTTGAGACAACAAAATCAACACTCACCCCCAGCCTATGGGAATCGTGGCAAACAGATTCTTCAAGCTCACAGATGCCAAGCTTCCCAGTGAGGAAATACTCGCGGTCGGTAGCTGATAGAAGGGGTTATCAGCGGCCAACATAATGGAGGTGCGGAGATATCCGGGCATCTCCAAGTCCGGCTCTTTCATCGACCGCGCGATCGACCGGGACTGCGCAACCTGATCATACAGCTCAGCCCCGTAATGTAGAAAACTGCGGACGAAAGAACTGACCGAAATGATCACGGGGTTTAACGTCAGATCTTCGTCAAGTACGACGCCCGCCTCGACATCGACGATAAATCCGAGCGACGCACTACGCGAGTATGTTCCCGGCATCCAATCCGAGCGCGTTCCGATTGTGGCTGGACTAATCGGTGTCTGCGGACCACTGTCCTCACCACCGTCAATCGCGACAGACGGACAGAGGACCTCCCACGACCCAGTCATGGAATCGGTTTTCATATCCACGTCCAAATCCAATACCGACTCGTCGGACGCCTGGTCTTCGACTGCGCTGCTGAGATCAGAGTTTTCATCCGCCGCAGCAATTTCTTGCTCGTGTTCAACCGGGTCCAAGCCTGCTTGGCTGGCGTCCGAGGTGGGTGGGCCGATCAAAGACTCTCGTTCCACGAATTCCTCTTCCATCGATGTCCCGCAGTCAGTGACGCAGTCAACTGTCTGTATCACCCGAGCTGGGGAAGGGTCGATCGGTCCGTGCTCTAGATCGGCGTCGACCTCCTCGACTGCAACGACATCACCGATCTTTTCCTCCTTGATCGCAGAAAGCTCTTGTTCAAATTCGGCGACGAAGGCCGGCCTCTTCTTGTGGACTTCAGTCAGAGGCGACTTGCGCGCTTGCTTGCGCATCGTCGATATAGCGGGAAGCTCGGAAGATCGATTCTTCGCAGGGAGAGGTGGAGATTCGGCCGGCACATCCACATTCGGGATAGCATCAGTTTGTGTCAACGCCCTGCGCTCGTACTCGAGACTCTCGCTGAATACCGTGTCTGACGCGAGAACAGCGTTGACCCCCCCATGGTCTTCAACCCATTTCTTCAGAGAAGGATCCGTCGCATTTGAAGCTGCTTCGGCCAACTTCTGCTCAAGCCTATGATGGAGATCAGTCTGGTCAACTTCTGTGAGACTTCAAGAGACCGACGCCTGTCTGCAGCGCAGTTATTTCGGTTTAGAAGTCAAAGAATGTTGCAAGGCTCACATTGACTGCTGCAATGTATCCGACCTCTTGGGTGGAACCAGCTGTTCGATCCTAATTGACACGATCAATCAAGAACGGCAGCGCTGCATGGGCAAGGCGAACGAACATCCGAAACCTGAGATCTGATCAGTGAACGCGAACGATCGAGAATCCGCACGACTGACATCTTTCCGACAGCGACAGTATTCTCGACATGCATCGCGAAGCCGAGCCTCTCTTGTGAAGCCTTGAACCGCGCCCCATAGTCCAAGAATATCTGATTCCAACTCGAGGCCTTCAGGAATTGGAGAACGCGGCGGGAATTATCATGCTCATTCAACACTGTCAAAGAGATCTAGGTCGATCTCCTTCGCTTGTGAGAGATTCAATCACCATTGTAGCATTCTTCGATATCGTTCTTCATCTCCTGGCACACGCGCTTGATTTCATTTTCGACTTGGCGTCCATTCCGCGTGGTGCGCCTGGGTGCATATTCGCTTGTGAAGAATTCCAGACTGGATGAATTGGCACATCAGTAGCAGCCCGCATCTGATCGATAGTGCGAGCTCACTGGACAAGGGTCGACATCACATCCTTGATCAGCCCGAACAGGATAAGCCGTCTCTGATCCTTATTTCGTCTCGCCATCTCCCTGTCCGCGTAAATTAGCGGCCGCGGATGACAACCGTCAGGCCACGCACTGCATATAGATGAGTTTGAAGGGAAGGAAGGCCACTAAGGTAGCACTGATTAGCTCGAGAGGGCATCTAAAAACAGAGGCGCACATTCTACAAATGGATGAATCCGCGAAATCGTCTGGAGTGCATCCAAGAGAGTAGGAACGCCATTCAACGCGCTCAATTCTATGGCTTGTACATTCGGATCTGTCACGGTTTGCTGCACGGTGGAGTAGGCGGCGGATTGACCGATTGCGTCGATATCAGCTTTAGAACATCCATATTGAGCCAAGGGAGAGTTGAGTTGAAGAGAACGCCCACCGCCTATCTGACCGACAGCGCGGATTAGCTTGTTCTCCGGTCGGACTCCAGGAGGTTCCTCAGCACTCTTCGAAACTTCCGGAGAAGACTCTTTCCCCTCGGACGTCACATTCTTCTGAGCAGCAGTCTCACAGCCTGCAGATTCATTTCGATCTTTGGGTGTATCGGCTGGCGTTCTCGGCGAGGCTGCCCCAGAGGCCTGGGCCTCCTTCGTTTCCTCGGAACTATTGGCAGGTGCAGTGAAAGTGAAGTCTGCGGCTGTTTCCTGGGTAGGGTTGACGAAGACTAAGCTCATTCACTCAATCGTCAGCAGGGCGAAAGCCAGAGCAAGTCGTCGAACGCACCTAACCCTTCGCTCGACTTGGATATCTCCCCAAAGGTATCCTCTGCGTCTCCGGCCACTGCAGGTCGCGGTGGGGAAAGCCTGATCAGCTTTCTCAGCGGACAGGGCCGCATTTGCAGACGACGGGTAGGGGACGGAGTGCAGGGAACAAGAAGACAGAGAGGCCCTGCCCTTAATGTAGAGCACAGACACCGACCGCAGTCGCATCGTGTGGGATATCGAGTCATGGCTTGCAGCCTCCAGGTGTAGTGGTGTATTGGCGACGCGTTTCACAGAAGTCAGTCACTGGTGGGAGGCTCGAGTTCAATGTTCCGGCTCTGCAGCTCTCCGGCCAGCCTTGACGATGCCCGAGACGAGATATAATTGAGATAACGGATGACTTTGTCCAATAGATCCCATTCGAAATATTGGCCTTCTAGTGTGAGCCAAGCCTTGAAGGACGTCGATTCCACAATGAGACATCATCAAAGTTCGGGATCCGCCGGTGGAACGAGCCGTCATTCTTTTCCTCTTCGACCACGCCTGAATGGACGTAACTTGTTGCAGAGCAGAATCGCGGGCCCAGCGCATGAGAAACTTCTCGAAATATCCCAGTCAGCTGTTCTGTCTGGCGTCGCTAAAGCCTGACTATGTCCCGGCGGGCAAGCTCGTGATAGAATTCGACGTGTCGTGTCGTGCCTAGTTTTTCTTTCCACGATGGCGATCGGAGCGCCTAGTCGCATGTAGGGTCGGGGGACATATGATTGCTCGATAGACAATTCAGATAAAGACGAGTGCGTTGTCTCCCCACTGCTACTGCTGCGGAAAGTCATACCCAGGATGTAGATCGCGTCCACCGCAGTCTTTGATCCTACACGCCTTCACACCCACCGTTCCGTCTCGAGTCCCTCGCCTCGCATTCTTGTCGCCTGGCGTACTGCGGGAAGGCTGCAGGAGATATGGGCACGTAGTCATCCGGATCTCGCACTTCTGTCACAGGCCTGCGGAACATGTGCCCAACGGGACCAAGCCCATGCCGGACTTGGTCTTCGCGTCGAGGCGGATGAGCAGCCCTGATCTGTTCAGGCTATGCACGGGAACCGTCTCATCTCGTGTCTGCCGGGCGTGAGAAGGCTCCAGGTTAGAAGGCCCAGTCTGAAGGCACGATGGACGAGGCTTAGACACGATTCGCACCGCACGGATATAACACGGCACGAGCGCACATCGGCTTCCAAACGTCTATGAAGAGATGGCTGGTGCCTTCGGCGAGCTCATGTCCGTATCGTCTGGTGCGCCTCACTCGTGGCCCTCCGCTGCTAGCACTGATTTCGACTTGACGGGGATGCCAGGCTTATCGTGATGAACCACTAATCCGACCCTGCGCTCTGCTTAGCGTCTGTTCCTGTTCTCGCTTATGTGGATCCTGCGAGCCTTGACTTGCGCTTCATCTCATCTAGTTTCTAGCCTGAGCGCATTGTGCTTCTCCAGTGGAAGCAGAAGCTGTGGCCGGCCCACATTAGTGGGCGAAGGTTGTGCTTGATCAGATGCCAGAAATGGAAGACTGGATGCGCCTGCCCGTGCGTCTCAGTGGTGTCTCATCGAGTAAGTGTCTGGTGCTGCAGCCTACGTTGTTTTGACATCACTTCGCAGTGGGCTTTGCACAGGGGCTTTCGATCCCTTCGGATATCGACCTGTCCACGGGACCAGGGGCTTAGGAAGTCGTACGTTTTTGACCCACATAGATCGAGGTGCGTTGCAATGTCTCGTATGTTTTGAGTGTGCATAATGTTCATTTCTCGTAGCAAACCACATCGTACTGCTCCCCGAAATGGGAGTGTATTGCTGTCTCCAAATGGTCAACCTTGTCGCTTGCAGTCATGTCCGACAAGTGCCAGAAGATACGGCTTGCTTCTCGTATGCAATGTAACGATCTGCCGGCACACTCCGCGAATTCGGGGACGCTCTGGAGAACCGGACTGTTCCGCTTCCAGGCCGTCGTCTCAAGGGCCAGGGCAGGTGACTGCATGAATCTTTCAGCCCGTCACAGACCTCAGGCATAGGACATGCGCCATATTGGAATGATGGTCCCTCATTGGGTCTCGCATACTTACACGTACAGATACATTTCTCATTGGCACAAATATGACTACTTCTTGTGCTTCTTTGCCTGAGTGCGCAACCGCGTGATCTGCTTCTTCCATCCGAAGCACTGGGTGCATCCTAATCCCTGCGCTCAACACCGCTACCACGGAGAGCGAAGAGAGGGCTCACCAGCCGCGCCGTGCTTCTTGCACTGATACTCGCCATCCTTGGTCGTCGTTGTCGGCGGCGCCTCAATGCCCTCGCGATTGATGGGGTCAAACCCGAAGAAGGCGTCGTTCTCCTCCCGCCCGTCGTAGTCACATTCGGTGCACTGGGTGGTCGTGTGAGCATGCGGTGCTGCGACGGATATCAGTAGGATCACTACGCACGACTTCCTTGAGATGGTGGCAGAAGATCGCGTCGTTGATCTCGACGGTGGGTGACGGTGGGGACTCGACTTCAGCCATAATAGTGTTCAGAGAGAAGTGGGGATGCAGATGGATGGGGGCTCAGCGGCAAGGAATGGATCAGCGGTGGTAGTGGTGGTAGAGAAGCAGGAGGGGTCTGATTCTCACTGCTTTATATACCTCGGGCGTTCTCGGCCCCTCGAGCTCCCACCTCCTTCATTCGGTGGGCTTGACTGAATGGAGGTATTACCCCGCAATGATCGACCCCGCGTCAGCTGATGTGGGGCAGGCACGTGAAGCGGAAACTAACCATTCCGGTCTGATGATGTATCATGTCTCCAGCCATACTGTAAGTGGAATTCTGAGCAGATGAAATGGACAGGAAGATATCGTAGAGAAGTGAGGGGCAACCGAGAAGGTTTCTGGACTCCGCTGCGCCGCACAGTTCTCGAACTCTGCTGGGCTGGGCGCTCGTTCTGAGTCTCGACTCGCGCATGATTTAGGCCACTCGAGGCGCTCCGCCGTCTCTTCGATTGGTTTCTCTGGAAACAAGACGCGCTTCCTTGCGTCTCGCCATGATTGACAAGAATCACGCGCACGATGTTACGGGCTTCATCAGCACACGTGACGGATGTCTTCCCACCGTTCGAAACTCGTGCACGTGATGCTTGGTTCGATTTTTGGGCTCCTTAATTGAGATACCAGAGTATAGACAAGTCACATAGGGAGTATGTAGTTAGGCTCACGAGTGATGACGGGTTTGTGCGTGGAAGATGAGTCAATGCATGCATGCAATCAATTGAACATGAGGTCCTTCATAATGTACATTATACATCTCAGAGGCAAGGATCCACAGTGCCGCCAGCCCCGACCGCCACATCTCGAGGGCGTAGCCCGCCGAGTCGTAATAAGCATAACAGCCATTCACCGCCAGCACAGCGTTATTTAGAGGTAGGCGCAAGCTCGCGTCGACCCTGGCAGGCGGAGAGGCTTTGACTTTGCGTAATCGTGATGAGCAACTTCTACATTAGACGCGCGCGAATATTCTCGAATCAATCTTGAGTTTCGCGGCGAGGATGACAAATGACCCGAGCATGACGGCGATTCCCGAGAACAGAATCGTGCCGGTGTAGGAGCCCTTACCCGCTTGGAGCAAGGCCCCGGCTGCTGGCCCGCCGGCGAGGGATCTGGGTTTCATGAGATGAGGTGATTGTGATGAATGAAAGTCACGTACGGGAACGAAATGATAGTATACAATAGCCCGATGCGGCTCCCAATTTGCCTGATATCCGATATCTGAGCGACACAGGGTGTAATCACCGAGATGAAGGCACCGGATGTGAAGCCATACGCAGCCGCGAACAACATTAAGGAGACCAGCGACCGGGCAAAGAGCCAAAAGAACACGGAGAGTGCACCGGAGAGAAAAGCAGCGGGGATGAGCAAGTTGAATCGGCCGAAAGTGTCAGAGAGATAAGCTGGGGCGATTCGGCCGATAACGCCACCAGCGTTCATGACTGCCAGCACGGGGAATGTCATGTTTTCGGGAACGTGGAGATCGTGCGCATAGTCGACGATGAAAAAGAAGGGGACAAAAAGACCTGGCGACGGGACGAGCTTAATAAACGCACGAAATGAAGGGCTGGGGTCGTACCAAGAGCGACCAAACTGCTCCCTGCCGCGAGCAGCATGAACCGACCATCGCGCAAAGTGTCTTTGACCCGGCAGGCAGCCCCGCGCTGTTTTGGAGGTGCATAGCGTGTGACCGTGGCCAAAGCCACACAACATAGTGCGCCACTTATCAGGCCCGAGATCCGGACGCCCCATGCGAAGCCTACGCGTTCGAACAATCGCTGCAGCATAACTGGATACATCACGCCACCTATGCTGTTTCAGATGCAGGCCATGGCTCGGCAGATGCCTAAACGCACCTAGACTCGAGCCGGAGGCAACTACACCGAGGGCTGTGGCGCGATACTTGCAAAAGTATGTCGACACACTCGACAAAGAGGGATAGAACCTGCGGCGGGTCAAAATAGGATATCAGGAGGAACCAGCCGAACGCACATCAAGCCAACACCCAGCCCAAAAAGAATGCCCTGTGCCAGCAAGTATTGGTAATACTGCGTCGAGATGCTCGTTAACATTATCCCCAGCACATAGATCACTGTCCCCGCAAGCATGATCCACCGCGGGCCATACACATCGAACACCTGCCCGATTGGTCCGCCCTAAATGAGCAGCTGAATCAGGCCCTGAGAGAGCGGCAGAGCACAAGCCACGCACCGAAAAGAAGAATATCCACAGCTGCAGCGACCCAATCCACGCAATAGTCGACGGCTCCAGCGCACTGAGCTGATGCTGTGAGTACCAGGCCTGGAACGTGCCGAACGTGTTCATCTGTCCAAACGTGCAAAACAGCGCTACGAAGGCTCCAAACACGGTCAAATAGCCCTGTGCGCATCCTTCGGGAAACTGCGGCGAGTGGTTGAGGTGATACGATGAGCTGGCGAGATGGGATGCGGTCGTCGTCGCCTTGACGGTGCCGTCGAGCGAGTGCCGGAAATCCGACGGATTGCAATGCTGCCACGACATCGTGTCGTCGTCGCCTTTTTCAAAATCGGCCATCGGGATGATCTGTGGGAACGACAGAGTGGCGGAGGTTAATGCTGGGCGGGCAGAGGAGAGGAGAGGGGGGAAGAGGAGAGCCCGGCGGATAGGGCGGCGGGTTCGGATGGAGGCGGGAAAAGCGAGAGCCAGGCACAGGCAGCTTTATAACTAGCTACAGCCCGAGCGATCCCGACAGGCCAGGAAGCACTCTCGCAGCAGTAAGAAGGCAGCGCAGCGGTAGTAGCAACCAATCCTCCGGTGGAGAGGAGCAACACAGCAGGAGAATGAAGAAAGCCAAAGCCAAAACCCAAGCACAAATGGGCTCAGTCTTTGGCTTCCCCCATCATGCCGTGCACCGCGAAACGAGATTGGAGGAAGGGGTCGCGATCAAGCTTTGGGAGAAGAACTCACCTACCACTACTGTTCCACCGCACACAACCCAAACAGCGCGGAGTACCGTACAACCCGGATATTCGAGCCTGTATAGCTAATTGATGACACCCCGGGTGTGGACGCCTTCTTCGTTCACCCAAAAGCGTCGCTGCGTGGCAGGAGCTTCCCGTTAGAGATGATTGGATTCCAGAACGAGAGAGCTCACAGTGAGATCGTAGGCGAATCCATACATCCTGTGCCGTTCGAGAATATAAAGCGCGAAGCAAAGGGGCATATGCAACACATCGCCGCGGACGACGGAACATTCCATTCCTTCCATCCTCGGCCCACGCAATGGAAGGCGCGGTGGCGGCGCTCTGATTGTCATTTCTGCAGAATGTCGTTGGTTGCGCTCGTATTTCACAGTCCTTCTGTGGGGCTTGGCTCCGAGTGCATGAAGAGAAGGCTGAGCTTTGAGCTCAAGGGATAACGAGAGCAGTTCGACGGTGTTTACCTCACCTGATACCCGAGTCCGATAGCCCGACAGAACTACGGATAATAGGACAACGTACGGCGCTTCCTATAAGCATATCAAATGTCCAACAACCGAGATTTCACCCCATTACAGCACCCTACGCTGTCCAAACACAATTTGAGTTGACAGAGCTATTACATTCTTGACGACGAAACAGATACATACCATGCCAAGTCGAGGCTCGTGGCTTACCCTCGCCCGTCCGAAACAAATGATGCCCATGTTATAATACATTCGCTGCCCCTCGCGCCCTCGATCCACATGCCCTCTCGAGTCGCCAGTCCGTGCTCAACGCAGTGCCGGGTATCGGGGCTCAGGTTCCCGCCCTGCAACGAGAGAAGATAGCGGGGATGAAAGCCAGACCCATGCAAAAGCGCGTCCTACACTCGTTGGAGAGCAAGCGTTAAGCATTCTGACTCCGATCATCTCCCCCAAAGCCGAATGCGTCGGCATCGTGGGTGGTGGTAACGCGGCATGGTGGAGCGTACATGCACTCGAAGGGAAGAAGGTGAATGTAAGGCCGGGCTTCAAAGGACCTTTGGATCGCCGGTGCGATCCCAGCCAACCGTGCGCTCTGACACAGGGCCATGGCAAATTTTGCAAGGCAGGGGGGTCGGATCAGGCCAGTGATGCGTCACCGGTCGCTAGGACGACATACATGAATCGCGCAGCGGTAAATTAGGCATCAACTAGCTCTGGGATTCTGTGTACAATCAGTGCTTTGCACCCAAAAACCACCGTACTCTTCATAAGGATCGCAGCTCGCTCAGGAAGCTGCGATCCTCTCGAAGAGCTCTCTCCGCTGTTTCCTCCAATGATTGGATAGTGCGCGATACTGTCGGGATAGACATCGTTCCTCCCACTCCTTGAGATTCTTCACCAGGGCATACAACCAGTCCCACGACTCGCGTTTCCGCTTGACCTCCGAGAGCTGATCATCGACGTGCACCTCCTTCAACTCGTGCCTACGCTCAAACATCTTGCCGACCGACGAAAAACCCAGAGCACAACGATGGTGCCTTGTCCTTCTTTGCGGCCATCGAGGAGGACGGAATCAAGTCCGCCATCCGACGCATTCCTCTGCAGACGAGTCAAGGATACCCTGAGGACGCGGCCCAAGCCGCACAGCATCGGGCGGAGGAGCAAGATTCAGCACAGAGCGAAAAGGGAGATAGATTCCAGAGCGGGCAAGAGCTTAAGTGCCGTCTTCCAGGACTTGATTGTTGACTGGCCATCTACCCGTGCGTCGAGGTAGGTCATGTCGTTGGTCGGAAACGTCTTGAGGCTCTTCGTCAAGATCGAGCAAAGGGCAGCTTCATTAGCGTGATGAATGATGAGCCCCAGCTGCACAAGATCCGTGTCAATCTTCGTCGCAGAAGATATGAATGCGCGAATGCTTAGATGGAAACGTCGGCCGTCTTCGTTGACATACGGTGGGATGCTGAGTGCCCGCAAATTGGGTGCGCCAGAATTCGCGTTTGCGTATGGGAAAGAGCAGATCTGAAATATCTACACCGCGGAACACCCCAAAGTCCAAGATGTGTAGGCGCGTGTTTGGATGAAGGCTCGATTGCGTCAAAAGGTTCGCGGAGGTGACGATTTCCTCTTGAATCTACAGGAACTCGAATTTGGGGAGCCTAGCAGTTGGGCGTGTCACCCCAACTGACGCAGATAGAGCGTTCGTTCTGAGCCTGAGAACTTCGAGATCCGGACAGGCCTGGAAGGTGGACAGCGGTTGAGACAACGTCGTGGAGCCGGACGGATCGGAAGAGGTATGAGGCGATGTCGAGTCGAGTCAGTCCCTGGGCTGCGGGGAAGTCGACCGGAAAGTCTCGCAGACAGAGATCCGTCGGCATCGATGCCGCCCACCCAGGCGAGCAGTTGGTAGAGCGGCAACCGTACCCCCGGTTTCCCTCCCTGTTTCTCACTCCCGTCGATGCCCAAAGGCCCAAAGTCCGGCAGCTCCCGGTCGCCTTCAACCAGCCCAGACAAGCTTCACGCATTCAGACGCGACCAGCCCAACCGTAATCTCCTAAATCTGCTCCCGCACGCCTTCGACATGAGCGCGTCGAGCTTGAATGAGAGGTTCTGTGCCCGGCTAGTATACGCATGCGCGTGCACATCCGATGGAGCAGTGCCGGCGCGCTCGGGCTCTGGTACGGCAGGAAGTGTCTTCGGTGAGACCAGTACTCGTGTGCGGCGTCGGCATATGCCAAAGCGTCTGCTCCTGCATGACCAGCCTGTATATGGGCGTGGCACATGAACACGAGCGTGCATCCCTGGACTGAGTCGAGCGACCGCTCGCGAAGGTGTGGACGTGCACGATACGCGAAAGTACGGAGATGGGTCTCAGGCTGTTGATGACGGAACTGGATGCTGTAGCTTCTGTGTGGTGCTGGGCGATGGCTTTCCGGAGCGCTTTCCGTCGCTTTTCTGGCTGGAAGTTTTTAAACGCGCTTTATTCAGCACCAAGGGAAGTCGCTCACGATCTCGAAATCGCAGAAGGAGAGCAGGATGGGCATTCTATCAGCGGGGAGATGATAGGACAGCAAAGGGTCAGACTTGGACCGGTGGGTGATGGTGATGCCATCGTTTGCATGGCCACGCGTGACACCGACGCATCAACGATTGACCGGCACTGAGCCTGTGCACTTGAAACGAAGCAGATTGTGTAGGATGTCCAAAAGATACTCCATTCAGTGATGGATCTGAGGAAGTGGTATTTAATGAATGCAACTACTGATTAATCATCCTTTCATCAAGACTTGAATCCCCCAGCGAACCATCCATTCACGGCAGAATGACCATACACGTGATTTGGCTCCGGAATCAGCTTCATACTCGCCCATGGATTCGTGCACGGTCCAAGTTCTGGAATCAATTTCGCTCCTGCTTCACGCAAAAGCGCCGCCTCGCCTTCGGCTTCTTCCTTGTTATAAGCCTTTTGTTCGTTCGAACATCGATCAAAGTCATGGACGACAGTTCAGACGCCACTCACCGTAAACACTGAGGGTACCTTCTTGTTGATCAGCACTTTGAAAGTTTCAGGCCAAGTGTGGAGGGATTCCTGCGACGCTCCCGAATTGAATGCAATGGCGAGGTCAGGGCGTGTATATTTTGTGCCTTGTTTGCGAACGTATGAATGATAGGTGCTGTGTGAACATCGGCCGCTGGAAATGAATGTAGAGAGGCAGACATACTCAGCAGTGTGCTCGTGTATCCGCTTTCGTCCGCGTTTCGAGCACTTACTGGAGAAATTTCGTCCAGAGCAATCTACATATACTTGCAATTGCACTCACGGGCAAGTTCCCATAGGAATTTCGCGTGGAAACGCACCCCCTGGCATCTGTGGGCCGCATAGCACCAACTGCGAGTCACTTTATCTCAGAGGACCTCAAGGATGTTGAGCACAGATGTCGCACCTTGAGAGTCTGAAGCTCAGGCAACCAATGTAATATTTCCTCGAAAACCATCCCACCCACGATCTCGTTCGTAAACGCTCCGAGGAGCTAAAGGGTCGTTACCATCGAGAGGAAAACCAAATCTGAGACACAAACATGAATGGTCAACTCTTTTCTCTTGGTCCACCCGAGATCTTCTCCATTGAACGTCTCAAGCACATGCAGAATCGTCATAGGCATCGACATATGAACGGACATTGCACGAATCCACGGGCCCATCGGACGGTGAGAAGGAATACCCACATCCTTGCGCATCATCTCCCCAAATTCCTGCTCCCAGCCCCCGGCTCCCGCGAGCGTTCGGAATGCCGGACACAGACGCTCGGGAGCCCACACGAACAATCCATTGGAATCGTGCCCCGTACTAATCATGGTATTCTCAAAGTTGACATCTCCACGAATCTGTTGATTGAGCGCACATTGTGACAGCCCATCGGGGCCATCTTCGTAGACTGCGTTATGCATGGCGTGGGCGATTGACCAGTGCGCAGCAGAGCAGCAGAAGCTGAGGTTGCACGCGGGACAGGGGATCAGGCGGGGTGCACTGGACGCTGATGTCGATGTCGATCCGTTCTGAGCAGCTTCAATGCGGAGACGTTGCTCAGTGCGGGTACTGGGTGGCCAGAGCGTGAGTTGGTGGTCGAGACAGTTCGACACGCTCACCATCCCATACATCTCGGTTCCCATCCAACCAGACTCAGCTCTGGAGCCTCCAATGGTCTGTGGATGGCCAAGTCGATCTATAAGTGATCACAAATCAATCGATGTGCGTACCGGCCCAGGCTCCTTTGAAGAGACGATGTCATGTAATTTCCGTGAGCCTTTCCAAGGTCACGTAGAGCTTCAAGATCCGTCGTGGCCTCAGACAAGAGCGTCGGTAATGCGACCGGGTTCTTTTCGATGCTGCTGACTGCTTTGCAGAAGGGCTTGTGGGTGCGCCAGTCGTCCTAACATGCCCTGGATGACCAATTGCTCGGAGGCGGTCCAAATTAGATCACACCTTCTGGCATTCTTTGTGCAAAGAGGTCAGCAGAGCGGGTAGAGACACCAAACGACGGGAGACAGGCGACGCACGTGGACTGCAGTACGAAATTCTCAGGCAGCCCGTGCATCTCGACAGTTTCACGTCTTCTTCTTTGCAGCATTTGTAGCAAGCGAGTCCCATGCGGGCTGTGAGGCTCGGAGTCCGAGTCGTGCCAGGGTTGGTTTGCATTGCCATGGTTGAAGTTCAAGGTAAGAGCAATACATGAATCATGATTGATGAGCGAGCGGCATGCAGCCGGAATGGTCCGAGAGTCGGCCATCAAGTCCCTCGCGGGCCTGATGAAGTCCAGTGTTCCCGGACCTTGCACTGAAATTTCGTCGACTGACAGTTGGCAGAACAATTCCTGAATAAGACGCATATTACCATATCTCATAAATCTGGCTTTTTTCAAAAGATGGCCAACCCAGTAAGATTAGTCGTGGAGGGATTAGATCGAATACTTACATCGAATCTCAAATTGCAATCGACGATCTACTTGAACTTTTGAACAGGCTCGGAGCCTCGCATTTACACACGAACGTGCAGAAAATTATCGTCGGCATCGATTCACATGTTCCTTGTCCGGATCGCCACCTCCATGGCAGAATGGGGACGCCGAACTGAGGTCATCCCTCGTTAATCATAGTCTGTGGTCCGCCCATTGCTTCACAACCTCGAGTACCGACCGATAACCACTTCTGATTCAGAAATACGCCGCATTTAAACGGAACGTACTCAAGGATCCAGCTTGAACAAATCCCAACTATTTGAATTGGACCGGTTTCAGCGCGGATTTCGGTATGCAGCATGTACTATATCAGCCTATCGCTTACATCATTATCAGTACGATTCGTCGGGTGGATCAAGAGCAATACAATAGCCGGACGCAAAGCAGCCGCAGCCGACGTTCTGCACATGAGGGACACCAAAAATAGAAAGGAAGTCGATGTCGAAGCCGCCGCTGTCCGAGTGTGCTTCATGCACAGATGGTGAACGGTGCGTGTGCCTTGTGACAGCTTCGAGGTCTCTCACTCAATCCGAATTCCGGACAAGTGAGATCCTTCTCCTAACCGGTTTGTCAAGCTCTCTCGGACGAGTGCTGCGGTTGAAACTTGATCGCTACACTGACCGATCAAGTCCTTGCCAGATGTTCTTCAACATTCAGTTTCATGATTTTTCCCCCTGCAACTGGACAACTCACGGAGGCCCTGACCGTAATCCGAATGGAATTTTCGGGCTATCCAGTATCCTCAATTGCGCTCGAACAGCGTGAATTGTAGGTTCGGCTTGTCGTTCCTGCATGACTCACCAAGGAGGATGTCGTGGTTTGACATTATAAATTGCTTATGCAGTACATGAGCCTTCGGTGATACACTAATGTGTATACATGTGCATGTTCTTCTGGCCTGATCATCAGCAAAACTTGGAGGCTGGGAATACAAGTCACATGGCCGAATCAGGTGTGGGTCTGAGCTCTCTGAGCCATACTGGAGGACAAATCAGTTACGAGTAGTTGACATCAGCTGACGTAGATCCAAGATACGGGCAATTGGCTCAATAACACGCAGCTCACAAATGCAGGTTTCTGATCCACGCAAACCGGATTTCGTATCAAGTTTCTTGAGAGGGGGGGTTAAAATTCGAATGAACTTCTGGTGGGATAAAATAAGAAGCCTGGATTGAGACAAACACAAGCGAGATCTATGCGCTGTATGTAACATATTTGATCCTCTTCGCTCAGGTAAGGTAAGATTTACCCATTATCCACTCAACTCGCTTTCTACTCCACAAAGCCGCACAAATCCCTCAAGTACGGCCGACCCGATCCTAAACAGGGGAAAGTTTCTCAGGTCAAATAGACTATTTGACGTCGCGGGTCGGCTGAGGTCGGACTAATGAGAATACAAAAGGAGAGCCGTCGAACTGTTCGAACCAGCCATGGGTGTGACCATGTATCCGCTGCTCCAAGCTGCAATTTCACTCCTGCTCGTAGGCGTCTACTTCTTCTCAAGACAGACAGGGAAATCCATTCCGGATCTGCCAGGTCCCAAGTCATCGTCGTGGCTATACGGTGGGCTCTTCACTCTTGCTGTATAATATAACAAACGACTGGGTCATACTTGATTAGGAAACTTGGTCGAATTGCTCCTCGCGCCGGTCTATGGCCAGTATGAATTTGCGTGGCTGAAACAATTTGGAAGCGTGTATCGGATACGGGCCTGTTTTGGGGTGCGTGGCCTACAAGCAGCCTTGGCAATCACAGCGGGAAGCTCACCATTGTTTCCGCTCGCAGCGGACTCAAATTGTACTGGGGGACCCAGTAGCCATGCATCACGTCTTCAACAGCCCAAACTACGATCATGCGCTCCCCCTTGCAACATACATGCGTATGGTCTTTGGAATGGATAGCGTAGAGAGTGTCAGAGGTGAGTAGCCAAACTCCGGGATCCGGTATCGGGACTTATCCGCGCCCAACCGTGCTCAGCTGCGGGCCCTCAGCATCGGCATTTACGCACTGCTCTGAATGGGGTTTTCACCGCTTCTGTGGTCCAAAGCTACGAAGCTATCTTCGAGCGAGTTGCTGAAGGCGTATGTTCCGTCCATCCTCTGTCTGCGGGAGAGCGACCGAACAATCTCACACAGATCTCGGAACAAATCGACTCAAGCCCGACTAAGATTCTCGATTTCGCAGAGATTCTCTCTGCTGCAACATTATCTGCCATTTCGCTAGGTTTCTTCAAGGACACATGGTCAATGTGGAGGGGGCTGACTTTATCTCAGCTATATTCAGCCGCTCTGTCGAAGAACTTGATCCGGAGTTCGTCGAGCTCAACACACATCTTTTGTGAGCAGTGTTTCTACGTATCTTTTCCATGGCCAATGAGTCCAGGCGGACTGCGGCGAGATCCTCAAAAGGAGACCTGCTTTCGAGCGATTTCACAAGCAACTACCTCCCCCGGCGCTTGGTCGATTGGCTATTGAGTTTTCGGGTCGGGACAATGGACGCAGTGAACCGCGGTCGTGACCTTGGCTTGGCGCTAGGACGCACGCTTGTCGAGGATAAATTGCGCGCTCAGGCATCCAGCGAGAACCAAGTAACTGACGATGTATACGATCTACTTCGTGCGTCTCCTCCGCTTGATTGAGAGACCCGCGATCTCTCTTAGTCCCTCCTAGTATGGGGGAAAGCAGGAACGGCGACCAAGAAACTCAGTACCGAAGAGCTCATAGCCCAAACCTCCATTCTCCTTGTTGCCGGTCAAGATACTACGGTGAGCGACTCTCCCAGCCTTCGCTCTCGACCTAATTGTGGCTGCACTAGGCGAACACGCTCGTCTTCTGTCTGATAGCTCTCGCCCGAGACCCCTCGCTCCAAGACAAACTTCGAGCGGAGATACTCGCTCGTCTGCCGGGCCAGCCGTACAACCAGCTCCCGCTGCTCAACGCAGTCATCAAAGAGGCTCTCCGGATGTTCCCGGCCGAACCTCTGACCGACCGCCTCGCGTATGCAGACGACGTCATCCCTCTTTCTGAGCCGATTCTGGATCGCCACGGGCGGAAGATCGACTCGATCCACGTTCGAAAGGGACAAGTAGTGACGATGGCCATTGCCTCGTACCAAAGGTAATGTTTTTATCTTGCTGTGCTCGGGTCACGCTGATTTCAGCAGAGTTGCGTCCCGGTGGGGTCAAGACGCGATGGAGTTCAACCCGATGAGATGGCTCGAGGGAGGCTCAGTCCAGACCAGCGACATCATCGGTCCCTACGCCAATCTGTGAGCATTCAGTCCGTCAGATCACCCACTCACATCTCATATCGCCCAGAATGAGCTTCATCAGTGGAGCGCGAACCTGTGTTGGGTGAGCTCTGTTGTATCCCCACAATATCCGAGCACTGATTGATTGTTTAGGTGGCGTTTCGCGTGGGTTTTTCACCTACTTTCCATGATATATGGAGTCAAATTGCTATTCCAGCGTCATGGAGATGCAGATCATCCTCTGCGAGCTTGTCAGCAAATTCAAGTTCACCATCCCACCGGGAAAGGAAACTGTCGTGCGGGTAGCTCAAACCCTGATTCCGATAAATGACAAAACGGGGGAGAAGTGTGCAATGCTGCAAGTCGAATCCATCTGAATCACTCGCTTGTAACTCCCACTTTGATATGGAACTACAAAAACACCAAAGACTTGACTACATGAACAAAAACAATAGTTAGTCCGAACAGTCAAACCACAACATGAAGGAAGTGAGCTACACAATACACTATCTGGTATCAAACACATGGACAGCCGCTCAACATTTCGACGTCATGTTATTCTTGGGAACGGTCTGCCCATAACCATCGACCCATGTCGTGATGTTCGGGTTCGTATACGCCTCGATGTATGTGTTGATGTATGCCTGTGTCGGTCGCTCAGGCGGGTCACACCCGATGTTGATGGCGTCCGATGGCTGGTAAACCCGTATGTAGTCGACCCGCATGATGGCAGGGAACACCAGCTTCGCAAAGTCAATCCACGAGAAAGAGTGCGAGATGGCAAGGTTGACAAGGATGTACATCGGCTCGCTGGTCACAGGGCGCGCGGAAATCTCCGTCGCAGTGTCAGCACCGACGCCGTTCCCATTGAATGTCCAGGAAACCTTCGAATTGGTGATCCAAGTGACATACTGAATCCAGTCAAACGAGGTACTCGGCAGTGTATCAGAAGAAACCCACCCCGTCTGCATATCCGGGTTTGTACTGGAAGCCATGCAATGCAAAACAGTTGTCGAGTAGCTGATAGCAGCTCTGATTCGTCGTCGTCAGGACTGACGCTGCCTGCTGGTATATCCCACCCGAATACGTGTTCTGCGATGAGAGTGTGGTATCCGGGATGATCATGTTCGCACTAGTATTGGACCATTGGTACGAAGCGTCAAATGGCGCCCACTGCGCTGACTGAGAGACCTGGCCGACATGTGCTGAATCAGGTCCGCCAATCTGTGCCTCAAACATGTCGATCTCAGGCGCTGAGCGGCCCACATAAGAGCCATCGGCGTGTATAGGACCGGGATGGGATTCTCCTTTGCATGTGCATCGAGATAACCGCTGGCCTGGCAGATAGGAAAGCACTCCATTGACGTCGGGGGAACCAGAGTCGAGTGCTGCAGCCGGCCCGCCCATGTAAGTCTGGTTCGGCAGCGTGCCTACGTCGCAGGAGTCGTAACTGTATGGCCACAGCCCTTCCAACGTTGCACCATAACCCGCGCGACCCAGGTTGCCCCTGATATGGTTAGAGGGATGTATACCGCAGAAGGACTGCTACGCACATCGTCCACACAGCAGGCCACAGCCCAAACACATTGTTGATTCCCGGAAGTTGCACACTTGCGAGGATTAGACCGCCTGTGAAGCAGAACTGGGTCCGTCAGCTCAGCGTTAGACGAGGCTTGCAGACGCACTTTGTTCCAAGTACTCATCATCCCACTGCTGTAGTTCATGTTATGGTTCTGCGTAGGATCGGCCACCTCGTCGAGCCTGATCTCCAGCGCTCCACCACGCGTTGTGATTTGCCTCGGGTCGTACCACTCCAGATCGTTGGTAGACCAGTAGTGCAGATTCTGTGCCTCCCTATGGGGATATCAGCTGCATGAAAGTACGAAGCTCCAAGGAACAAACCAATAAGGGTCATCGCCGGGATAGAAGGTCCTGCCCTCCGTCTCAAATTCGTCACTGAAAACAAGCTGGAGCTGCTGCGTGGGATCATTGTATCCATAGATCTTATGCATTTCCTAGGTAGGACCTGCATCAGCCAAACCAAAAAGGAGGGAAGAAGAAACCCATGCCTTGGGCGTATCCAGGTCAATTAGTCCCCAATTTCCGATATTCGGCATCTGGCCTGACGAGTTGACGTGCAGCAAGTCGATTTGCGGTGGATGCGTGACATGGTAGGCGACAGGATATCCGAGGCTGAAACGCTGTGTTAGTTCTCATGCCGGCTCGCTCCACCATTGCTGAAGATCACTCACAAAAGCCCGACAATACACACACATAGCAATGCAATGCACCCTACGTTCTGGAGACCACGACCAGTGAAGATCGAGCCTGAACGAATGTTCCCGCGGCGCGGGTCGTGCAGGGCATCGTCTGGCTCGGGACGCGAGAGATCTAGTGCGGAGCCCCAAGTTGTTGGGTCCGGTGCGAGGTTATACTGGGAAGGGGAGTTGGTGATAAACAGCTAGAGAGGGCAAAGAAGGATCGGTGAAGCACACCTTTTCGGAAATCGAGGCCGTGCGACTCTCCGATGCTGAAAGGAGGTAACGAGTATCGTCGTCGCCAACATTCCTGCCCCCCGCGTTTGGGTTTGGGTATGCGGAAGGCTTTGGGGCCTGTTGTGGTCCACGGAAGGGGTTTCCAGAGCCTGGTGGAGGAGGCGGAGGGGGCTGGCGGGCACCCGATGCTGGAAGGAGGTTCGCGGTAGATGGGCTGTTGGGGTGGGGTGCGGGGAAGTAGTTGCGTGACATCAAGGCTCGAACGTCAGCCGAATGAACGAGATTGGAGTGAGTATGAGCGAGCGTGTGGGTTACGTGCGTCTTGTATCGGTCGGTGAGGAGGAAGGAATAGGCAGGGGTAGGAAGAGGCAAAGCTGCTCTTGTTGTTCTTACATCAGCCGCTCTGGCAGTGCGCATCAATCGCCGTCATGGACCAGGGGCTTGAGCTGGCTTGAGCTGGACTCTCGGCAGCACTTGCAGCCTTGGCACTCCAGCACCTCCATCAACTGTTTCTCCTCCAACTCCCTCTCGCCCAGATCGGATTCCGAGTCTTGTGATAGGGTGCTGATACATGTATATGGGCTGACGGTTGCCACTCGTGCATGTCGCAAATCCACCATGCTCTGCCGTCATATCGCGCTCATCAGCACACACCGTCAGCGAACGCAAGACATCCAGCGGCCAAATGCGAGGCTTATGTTCAGACTCCTCTCTCCAGCCTCATCAGGTTTTCGATACCCCTGAATCCAGTATGTGTCATCGAGAATGACAAACGAGGTAGGGGACAAAGGCTGCACCAGACGCAGACACAGACGGAGAAAGAGTGAAAGTAAAAACAGCCTGAGACAGAGAATGATGATGTTGGATTGAGGCAGAGTCAAGACGGAGAGTTGCCGTTGCTAACCGAAGCACCCGGCTCAACGAAGTTCAGCGGGCAACGGATGGTCCGTGCGCCTGCCACGTGGATCACCCGTACTCTGTCTCCATTCATTCACTCTGTGCAGTCTGCCGGAATCTTCAAAACTGTCATACATACTCGTTTCCGAAACTTGTCGCTCGTATGGTTCCGACCATTTACCACAACCGCATCATCTACCGCTTCTAGTTCTTCCGCGACTACGGTTACAGCTCTAGCTACTCGAGAAGGAAAAAAGTTCACAAGGAGACGTAGATGGGCACTGGTATAGTCAGCATGCGTGGGGGTAGTTCCCCGAACAAGGCATTCGAAGGCTGTCCGTCTGAACTCGAATCTATTCCCAGCTGTCCATCGGTTTCTCAGCGTCGGCTCCCTAATATACCCATTCTCTCATCCAGCTCCTGGGCAGACGAGGATGTCCTTCTCTCCACCAAACGGTTTTCGATACCCGAGTATTCCGGCGCGCAAAGGCGTTGCCTGTTACAACTGTGAGAAGTACGAGGGCGTAACGCTCGCGCGATGCACAGGATGTCTACGGATCGCATACTGTTCTGCGCGTGTGTCCATCCGTCTCGACCCCCCTCCTTGATCATGACACTAGCCCGTCTGCTCTTTGGATTCTAGGTTGCCAGACGGTGAGTTATCTCTGTGAGTATCATGTTAGCTGCCGCTTCTAATACGCATTGGAGGCCGACTGGGACACACACAAAGCGCTTTGTCGCGCCCTCAAGAAACTCGAGAAGGAGAACCCTCAAATACCTCCAATAGAGATTCCGCGCACTGAGCCCATCCTGGATCCTGGCCAGCTGGCCAGCTTGTGCGACAGCCACGATCAGAATATGCGCGAGGTGATTGAGCGGACCATGGGCCGGGCGCTGGAGATGCATGAGCGGTCGATAATCGAATGGGAGCCCCGATGTCTCGTCTGGTTTGTTCGGCTTGGGGCTATCACCTTGGCTCTGCGCTGATTGTATCCTTTGAGCAGCCCACGTACTGATCAACTGCTACGCTTCGAGACCGGCTTATCGGGGAGCGCCGCGCCACGCCTCATACCATGCCCCCAATGCAATCTGAGCTTCTGCTGCTCGGATGCACACTGGGCCGCTGCTCAGCAACTTCACCACACCTCGTCCCAGTGCGAACTCAATCACCAGGTGCGCGCCGACGTTGTGTTTGAGGTGGCGATGGCTTCTTCAGGGCGGGACCCTCGCGGTGCTTTCATCTGGGCGCCTACTCGCCTTTCCACTCACTTTGTCTCACTACTTGGAAGCACTGGGTGGGAAGCAGAGTTTGGGGACGATCTGCGCACGACTGAGGACCTTCCGGCTCCAGACCCAATCGGACCGTGGATCCGGGCAATGTCTGTTCATTTGGCGATGCCCATGCGATCTTGCATGCGCTTGAGAAGTTGAATGAGAGAAGCCTGGCATGGACAAGGAAGGACCTGTTGACTGTCCACGTGAGGATCCGTGCCATTCATCATTCACGAATCATGTGCTCACTGCTGCAGGTCATGGGCGCAACCTCAAACGAAATTGCAGCCGACAGGACTTTCGAGGAAATCTTGCACAGATTGCCCGATGTGCAAACCTTGAAGGTTCTACTCTCCCGTCAAACAGCCAACAACTCATATCTGACACGATGCTAGCTCGTTTTCTGTGGTCCAGACATGGCAGACAGTGGTCGAGTGTCAACCGCCAAGACCTGCACGTAAGTCCGTGGGATCTGCATGTGCTATCAGTGTCCGACATATCTATGAAGTGACTGTTCTAGCCGAGGCCGACAGCGGGTGAACGAATTTCAGAATCAGTATGTTCTGCGCAGCCTACAAGATATATGATGCTCAGAGCTAGTAGCGCATACCGTGACTACATGCGCCAATCAAAATTCTCTCCTCCAGACCTCGCGATAGCATACAACTCCAGTGCGACTCAAGGTCCCCCGGAAACATGGTCCGAAACCCTGGCCATGCTTATCGCCCAGCGGGTACCATCCGTGTTTCTCGTCAGTCATCAGCTTCTTCAGGAATGTTCGTGACATGCGTTCGACAGGCATCTGACCGAGAGGAAGCGGAGACGATATCCAGATTCCTTTTCTCACCGTCCGGGGCGCGGTTGATCCCTGGCCTGGGGCCAGACCCCAATCCGTGGGGCAGCACGCGAGTTTTTCCACAGTCAGTCCGCCCATTCGGCTTCTACGCGTCGAATGCGTGGTTTGTAGGCGGTTTCCGCGGACCTTGAGAATGGAAACCCGCCAAGAATTGCACGTGATTTCCAAATGCATGAGTCTTTTGTGCACCAGTCCGCTGGCCGTTTGTACAGCTACGCATCTCCTCTGTTTTGCGCCGAATGACAGTCTTCGAAGTTCAATCTGAGCAAGTGGGAAGCGAGCGAAGGCGCATCAATCTGTGATAGCTGGCGGAGTGGAGTAGGTCAAGAGCGGGGAAATGGCGGGTGATGATTTCGCCACTGATATGGCAGCATTTCGCGTGGTTTGGAGAGGTCAAATTACACGCTCGGTGCTCTCGGAGAAGAGCGTAATCCTGCCGCATTTTGCCTGGTCTCGACTTCATCTTCACTCTAGATCTTACCTGGTGGTTTTACTTGGTGGTGTCCTTCTCACAAGAACACGAGATAGAGGAAGCTAGTTTGGAGCAAATGGAAGCTATTCAAGTCTTGAGCTGTGCTGTGCCTGGCCGCAGATGGCGTAGAATCAGGCCCGACTACGAGATGCAAGTACTTGGGAAGGCACTCTACATGTATGTTTGGAGCAGATGAAGATGAAGTGAGGATCTTGGGTGGAGGCGCTTTGCGCGAGTAGACAGCGAAGATCGTGTTTGGGAATGCTGGACCGACACTTGGCGGTCCACTCTACATGCGCGATGTACATATGATACGAGAACGAAGATAGCGAGATGATATAAGTGTCGGCCGACGAAGATGTTGATATTAGCAGAGAAAGGGGAGACCACAGAGTGGAAGGGATCAGGATGTCGGAATGCTTCGGTCTAGGATCCGACTCGGTTGCTAACGCCTAGCAAGCACGCACCAACAATCTTTGTGACCAAATCTTTTGCATGAATGCGCTTCTGACTTCTCTTCAAGTTCTCCAACACGTACTCCACGCATAATGGATCCAGACTGACTTCGACACATCGATCTCGGGCGGCGTCGTGGTTTTGGAAAGAGTAGTCACAGAGTTCGTTTGATGCCATGATCCTCCCTGGTAAACACTGCGAAACAGCCAAATGACTCCAAGGTTGATTTCTGACGCCCAAGACTTGTGGTTCTCTAGCCCTGACTGAAAACAACATGAACATTTTCAACCATCTTCGGGGTCTTTTCGCCATGGCTGAGGAGCTTAGATTCGGGCCGGAATGTTATCTGATAGTTAATAGACCTGCCTCGATTGCTCATCGGGATTACACATTCATCCCCGCCCCTCAGAACTTGCGCTGTCACCGCTAACCGCGGGCAGGCGCAACTTCCTGCCGACCTCGGACTCAAAACGCCCCGATGGATCAAGAACTGCCCCCACGCTTGTTTCGCCATGGCAAAAACAGGAAGTGCTGTCAGAGATCTTCGTTGAAGTTGACGCAGATTCATTCAGAGCTTCGGCCTATGAGCCGAAAGAGTTCCGACTCGAGACAGACTTCGCGCAGGGTGCACAAGCAAAACTTCTATAGCGCTCAAGAACTGACCAGAAAACTCATTCCGCTTGCTGAATGAGTGCTCGAGGAGTCGAGATAATGGATGCCGGACAGGACCACTCTCCAAAAAAAGAAATGGAATACAATGAGCAGCACGAAACGAAGCCGGAGAATTGTTGATGGGTGCTCCATAGGCAGTCTGGCCGTGTCCCAGAACCGTAGAACTCTCTTGGCTCAATCCGAGGATCGTGCCGAGAGCCCGCCTGGGATTCTGCTGACGTTGAGGAGATCGCGGCAGACATAGGGCACTTCCGCTCGTTCAACTATAAAAACGGAGACAAGCTCAGCACTGAACATCGCATCTCAGTACTACGAGTCAAGCATTCATCCATGGCAGCTCCACAGCAACAGCATCCCGCGACCGTCAAGGTTCTAGGATTCGGTGTGTCCCGCACTGGAACATCCTGTGAGCGTCGTTGCGGATGGCCAACACCACTACCGACTGACTGCGTACAGCGATGAGATCTGCCCTTCATGTGCTCGGATACGAGCCAACCAACCATGGTTTTGATCTTTTTGACGAGGCCGAAGTCATGCACCAGTGGATTCGGGCCTTGGAGGCCAAATACTACGGGATCGGCAAACCCCTCGACGCAGATGAGTGGCGCCAGTTTTTGGGTCAATTTCAGGCAGGCAAATCCGAGTAGGAACTGTTTGCTTTTCACTAACTTGCACGAATTGCAGGGCGTCACCGACATCCCCCACTACCTCTTCGTCGAGGAGCTGCTTGCTGCGTACCCCGACGCAAAGGCGCCTGTCACCTACCGCGACCCGAAAGAGTGGTGGAAGTCGTTCGCATCGACCGTCCTGAAAGTGTGCGAGCCGGTGACCACCTCCGTTCACGCGTCTCCCGACGAGTCGCTCCAGGTCCTCCGTGCGCGCCTCTGCAGCATGTGCTTCGCGGCGCTGTTCAAAATGCGTCCGGAAAACATGCAGCAGGAAAACATCACCGAGGAGATCGCGATCGCGGCCTTTGAAGCCCACTACGAGTATCTCCGCGCCGTCGTGCCGAAGGATCGCCTGTTGATCTTCAGCGTCAAGGAGGGATGGGCCCCGCTGTGCGCGTTCTTGGAGAAGGAAATCCCTGCCACGCCCTTCCCGCGCATCAACGACACGGACCAATTCATCGCCGTGTTCCCTGACATCTTGAAGAACGGCAGACAGATTAAGTAAGAGTAGTAGACAGACAAGAAAGAGAGGCACGAATTGTTTTTTATGAAGCAGTTGTGCCTCAGATATAAGTAGCGAGAAGATTTGCAATGAAAACTAGACCCAGGCCAAAGAGCTTCACACATCCGAGCAAGCCGATGGTGCACAGCTCGCAGAGAACTTAGACCCCTGGGTCATCAAGTTTCAACAGGGTGGGTAGTGTTAATAAACACACATTTCAGAGGCTTCAATCAGCCTCGTCTGTGCACGCCGATCTCTGATTGGGAATCTATGAACCCAAAGCCTGATCGTCATCAGCGTAGAGCGGCTGATCGCTTTGACCGTGTAACTGGACCGTCTTCCGCTGACACGACAGGTGGCTGTATCGCCATCAACTGTCACCAATCACTGCCACACTCCTGCGCATCCGAAGTGCCACCAACGTCGATTCTTGCCCCAATCGACTCCGGTCGAGGAAAATGGGATCTCGCCATATATTACATGCCATAAACCGAAGTCAGGGAGGTACCTTATGGAGCCATCGACAATGAGGATCCTCTAAGTGCCTCTTCGCAGGGCCAGACGTTCACACTCATCCTTTGCATGCCAGCATTACGGCCCATTGTACAGGCATACACTGTTTTTGGTCGGCTATGAGCCTCAAATATCTAAGTAAAGCCTTTCATCGATTTTGGGGAGCAGGTAAAATCCGCACATGACACTTGGTGAAGCTGAGAAAATGTAAAACACAGAAAGAAATGAGGTGCAAGTGATTCATTCTGGATCTGCGAGGAAACAGGATGCATGTGTGTTCCAAGCCGTGGTTTTTTTGCAAAAGAAATACACTTCAAAACTGCGAGGAACTGAACTACATCAGCAGGAGTGCAGCGTGGGATTGAGTGAACTAAGAGTGGACAAGCTGATGGGCCGCTCCGCTCCGTGATCTCTCGATCGGCTTACATCATGGATACATCCTATCATCTACCATCCTTTTGCCCAAGTAAGATCGCTTAGTATTTCCAATGGCAAAGGGGTGATTTCCACAATCAAGCGATGACAAATTCCGGAAGAAGACTGGGATACCACTATGCCTCCAAAGAGCTTTTTAACACGAGAACAGATATGAAACATAATTGGGATGGACGACAACAACGTCACTGCAAGGAATTTTAGAGAAGGTCGAGAGCAAGAGAATGGATGTGCATGGCATGAGAACAGCTTCCGAGTCTCAGGAACCCATAATCAACTTCGATGCTAACGCCGCGCAATCACCTCGCCACAATGGATTGCTCGCCCATCTCCGCACTGATCCCGGGCGGGGAACTAGATGGAGTTGTCATGATGAGACCTTGAGACTAGTCGCGGGGTGCCGCTGTTTCTGGGCTTCCCTGAATTGATTATCCACTGTCGGTTCTGGAGGTGACCAAATTTTGGGAATGAAAGTGGTTCTGATCTGAGCTGTCATGCAAACAGAATAGATGTCTATCTGCTTTTTGAGTCGCCTATCTTTGTGTAGCATCATGATCGCGCAGACGCCGGCGCCACAGGGCATCAGAAATGAAGCCACAAGACTCTCTCCCGTTCGTCAGATGACTTGCGTTCAAGCTTCAAGCTCAATGTCAGGTCAACGTATGACTCGCACGATGCGCCTTTTCTCTGGGCTCTACTAAGACCAAATGAACCGCATCAAACACGTTCTTAGTCAAATCAGTTGTGACATCTCTGACTGACAAACTGAAATCCAGGAGCTGGTCTCCCCATCCAGACTTTCGAGGCAGGAGGCGGCATGGACCATTTGCCTCAGAAGTATCTATGTCGATGGTCAGGTGCGATTCCGCTATCTTCCCAGCTAATCAGGAATTGCAGCGTCATCGTCTCACGAGGGCTGACATGCATATGTACTCCCTGCCGATCTGGAGGTCAAGACACCGAGCCACGGATCAAGAACCGTACCCCGCGCTTATTTTCGTACCGAAAAAAAGTCGAGGCACGAAGAGATCTTCATCGAAACCGAGACTGAGCTTCGGCCATGGACCAAGAGATTCGTAAAAAATGCGTTGCGACACCGCGCAGGTTCCAGAGATTGAAACCGCTATTTGTATAATTAAAACATACAGTCTGTTTGTGTGGTCGAAAGTGGGTCGAGCGTTCGCATGGCGCAGGCTAGAACCCATCTGATGATGATTATCCATAGCTGGGCATGGCCAACCGACAAGAACAAGATTCGATAACCGTCATACAGGGAGCAGCACGAAACGAAGCTCGAGAATCATTGATGGCTACTCGATTGGGCCATCGCACCGTGTCCAAGAACCGTCGAACTCTTTTGCCGGAATTCGACGGTCTCAATGGGAGGCCGCCTGCGAGAATGGTGACGTTGACGAGATCGCGGCAGAGATAGGGAACTGCCGCTCCATTCCCTATAAAAGGGCGACACACTCAGTTCCCTGTATCGCAGCTCAATCTAACAAAGCAAATTTCCGACCATGGCCGCTCCACAGCAACAGCATGCGGGAACAGTCAAGATTCTTGGATTTGGTTTGTCTCGCACTGGCACATCCTGTAAGTTCCCATTCTGAACACACCGTGCACCGACTGACTGAATACGCTAAGCAATGAAGGTTGCACTTCACATGCTCGGATACGAGCCAACCAACCACGGATTCGACCTTTTCGACGATCCAGAAGTCATGGACCAGTGGATCCGGGCCCTGGAGGCGAAATATTACGGTATCGGCCAACCGCTCGATGCAGACGACTGGCGGCGATTTCTAGCCCGCTTCCAGGTGAGGCAAAATCGGACGGCGAGCGTCTCCTTTCACTGAAAGCAAGCATTCCAGGGAGTCACTGACATCCCACACTACCTTTTCGTTGAGGAGCTGCTAGCTGCGTTCCCCGACGCGAAGGTGCCCGTCACCTATCGCGATCCAAAAGCGTGGTGGAAATCGTTCGCATCGACCATCCTGAAATTATGCGAGCCAATCACTACTTCCGAACATGCCGCCCCGAACGAATCGCAGCATGTCCGTCGCGTGCGCCTCTCCAACATGTGCTTCGCGGTCCTGTTCAAAATCCGCCCAGAAGACATGGGTCGGGAAAGCATCACCGAGGAGGTCGCGACCGCGGCCTTTGAAGCCCACTCACTACATTCCGTGGGATGAAAGACCCCGTGGGGACGAGTTCGAGAGAGTGATGTCCGATCACCGACCGAGTCCAGACCGAGCCGAGCCTAGTTTGATAGCCCATCGGGGCCTATGCAGGCAGGGACGATTTCGACTGAGCAACGACCGATCTTAGTAGTCCCTGCGGGGTCTATGTGTATACTATGTATGTAGCCCCTCCTTGTTCTCTCCGAGCTCCTGGGGACTATCTCACTCGTCACCTTAGACATGGTATTGGGCCGTAGTTGACCCTGTATAACAATCTTTCAGTCTGCCGTGATACACGTGGAGCTGACCTGTGCGTGAGAACAGCCTCGTGGACGTTTGCAAGGGTGACACTCAATTTTAACCTCTGCCGTCCCTTCGTATCTCTCAAACAAGCTATCCCGGAGATGCTGCACGTTTTCTACGCCCTTACTGCTCCCTTCCACCACTACATTCCTGCTCCCTGGCCGTAGCAGACGTGAACGCCGGGCGGTGAGTTCTGCCATGAATCCCAATCATGCACGAACTGATACTCATGTCCGTAGTTCCACCCTTAACACACTCGTTTCGCCAATGGCTGAGCAGCGCCGACAATTGGGAATGGGGCTTCCACCAGGGTGCGTCCGTCTCACAACTTCCTCAATGTTACTGACTAACAGTTGCATACAGTCCTCTGCACCAACCTTCCTCTCGCTCCTTCACTTCTCCCGAGCTCGCGCCACCATCTCGCACTGTCCATGTCAGAGGACCGCAGTCCTATATGCCGTATGACTACCACAGCGCGCTCTTGCCAAATCCGTCCTATCGCATCGAGGGCCGACACGGAACCGAATCGCATCTCCACTCTCTCGAAGCCCGTTTCGCACAAATGGAACTTCGCCAGCAGCAGTCAGACGACGAGATCGTGCGGCTCCGCGACCGTAACCTGGTGCTGGAAGCGCAGTTGGTGGCTGTCTCTGCCGCGCCCAACGTGCCTGCTGAGTCAGAGGTGGAATACGAGGACACTGGGAATGACGCGGACACGGAGGTACATTTTTGCTTGCAACCAAAGGAAGCGTGTCTTATGCATCAATTCAGGAGCTCACGGAGGACATTTTTCGCCCCGCAAGCACCACTTCAGCCAATGCTTCGAGCTTGCATCATATCACCGCTGGTACCACTTCGGCCACTCCGTCGCCACGCAGCCAATCCTCCGCATTGGCATCAGCCGTTCCTCGTGCTACAAAACCCGTGGCTCTGCCGTCCTTGGGGCTTCCATTCGCGTCTCTCACCCCTGACCAGCAGAAAGTTCGAAGACAGCTCACGGTATGTGTTTGTTCAACATCTCATTCGATAAGATCAATCTCAGCAATCTGCTAGGCTATGGTCAATGCGACCTTCCGATCCATCTGTGCTGTCGCTGCGAAGAAGCCGTGGCCTGACCCATCCATCGAACGCACGGATCCTGTGACCAAAGAGCACATTTTCACTCCGAACTTCCCTGGTGGCCTCGGGGACCCGTACAACATCAAGATGTTCGACACGGTGGCCATGTCGGTTTTGAAGCAAATCCAGGTCTGTTGGTCCACTGTCCCTCGTGTCCGCAATCATGACTGACCACAAATTCAGGATCCAGATCGTTGCCCAACTGGTCTCGACACTTGCGGAGCGACAGTTGACTTCAAGGTCCTTCGAAACTTCACCAAGGAGGCCTTCAAGGGGTTTAACAAGCACTATAAAGCCCAGATTGACGAGGAGGCTCAGGAGCGACTTGAGCTGAGTCAGGCAAAGGATCGCGAAACGCAACGCCGTCGATTGGTGACTAGTTCTTCCTCTGAATCAATGTTGTTGATCTCAATCGTTGCAGAAATTGAAGCATCGCCTCGGTGCTGTTGATGAGTATGCGGCTGCTCACAACCTCGATTGCAATGATGTTGCTGGAACACTCGACCTCGAGCACATGTCGGACGAATACTCGGGGCCTGAACTACCGGACAAGGACAGGGCCACATGGGCACTCAACATGGCGCATGCATCGGGACGGCACAACCCGACTCCACTGTCCATTGCAGACCTGACTTTCATTGAAGTTTGTGAATTTGATTGGCGTACCGAGAAGGTGTGTTAGCTTTGTTCCATCAACTTGTTCCTTATTGACAACGGTAGGCCACCAACCTCATGCTCGAACTTAGCCAGATCCACGAAAACTCCCTCAGCAACACCCAGAGGGACAGGCGGCGACTCATCCGTGTCCGCACCAGGCGTTCCTCTCGGCGCTTCCCTGCGAAGGCTCCATTCAACTTTGCGGTCCGATCTGACTGGCTGGCGGAGAAGAAGCAAGATGAGACCATGGCTGAGATTCTGGGGAGCGCAGGATGGGGTGATTTTCCTGGCCCGAAAGGCTTCGATTCAGATGATGGCGGTGCTGACCAAGGTTTTGCTACTAATTGATCTCTATATCTTTCTGTGTGATGTTCTGGACATTCTCGTATTATACCCATACTCGAAGTGCTATGTCCGCTAATAATAATCAAAGTCATTCTCGTAGCTATTTGTCTATGTGTTGTCGAAGCCAGCTGAAATTGCTGGAGTAAGAAACTACACAATTTATCAGCACTGCATGAGCATATCAGCGTCTCACATACGCGATTGAGTGTGGTGGTAATCCACATTGGAGGATCTGTATGCCGGGCAATGCAGCGTGCGACCTGGCAATGGATATCGGACACTGGAATGATCCTAGGTGGAAAATCGGCTGCTGAATCCACAAAGACATCGAGTTCGTATGTCTCTACCCCTAATTCAGGGCTAGAACATTGTGAGATGCAGCCAAACTTCCCATAGTGTTAAACTCACAAACGATCCCACAAACCAGTCTTGTCAAGTGGACTAAAATCCGATGGTACCATCCAACGGACAACTGCATAGACCACATCATGTGCGGTACTTACACCGGGCTGCCAATGGCTGAATAAGTACATCACCTCACCGGCATGAGGAACATTGTCAAAATACGCCTGGATCAACGATGATCCTGTCAGATGGCCATGGAGAGAGTTGGGAATGATCTTGCGACCACAGAGGAGGGCATGTTGATATGTCCGGATAAAAGGGTGAAGGGATTGTGTATCGGCTTTGTCATGTGCAGCCAGATGGACCCGAGGTTTCTCCGTGTTATATAGTGCAAGCAATGCGCGCTTTAACTCACTATCCACAGCGTGAGTAGCTTTTCTGATTGGTCCTGGACAAACTCTTGTGGAGGCTATATTGACCATGTATCAGGTGGGCAGAATAAGTGATCCAAGAGACACTATTCAACTTACCAGCCCGAGAGGCATCCTGAATAGTTCCAAGAGGACTAGTTGCCATATTACCCAGGAGAATGCAAACAAATTCTTTTTCAAGAGCTGAGTTTGCAGATTGAATTGATTTCTTCATCTGCAATCTTAATTAGTTTTCCAGTCGTGATAAGAGATGGCAGTTACAGCTGTTTCAAGTTGAACACCTCGTTGGAACTCGCGCATCATTGAGACCTCGAGACGACCACCAGTCCAGTTGTTGCTGTTGAGATTCTTGAGTGTTTTGTTAAGCCTCTCTGTCAAGAACGCCCAGAAGGAATAGAATGGGCCAAAGTCCCGGATTTGATCAAAAACATGAACCGCCCAATGATGGTTTGGTTTCATGCACTGAGAGCCATAGAGCTGGAAAGTTTGAGTGTCAATTGATGGTGCAATATGATTCAAATTTGGCCAGTACCTGCAGGAATCCAAGAAGATATTCTTCCAAAAGTGATTTTGCCCTTGGAATCATCTCTCTGTATATCGAACTTCCAATCATGATCTTGAGTGCTGTGGCAAAACACAAAAAATTGTCCTCCTCGCCCAGCTGCATCCGTAGAACAGGATACTCAGGTTCCTCTGGTGGATCACCTCGAGTTGCTCGGTTTTGCCTTTGCCACAAACGGTATTTTGCCCTGTACTCTTCCATTTTCTCTTCGTATTTATCCAATGCCTTCTTGTGATCCTTCTCCGCATCTGAGCGAAAACGGTCCCATACCATGGGTATCTACAGCCAAATCAGTCATCAGGGCTTCATGTAGTTATTAGGAGAACAGTCTCGCACTATGATTGCCCAGGGTGCAGTGGCCGCAAATTTATATTCATCGGCAGTGAGCGAACCACCTGCAGGCTCCCCAACACGCAAAGGCAGGTGTCCTGTCCAAGCAGGACATTCAAACTACCATAATTGTCAGAATAACACATGAGCTCAGGATGATACAAACCGTTTCCAGGATCTCGTGAATGAAACTGAGTTCACGTTGTTGTTTATTAGTATCTGGACGAAGAATCTTCTCCTTGATCCACATTGTATACCATTGCGTTTTAGTGACACCTATATGAGAAATTGCAAGTGTTAGTAGTCTGTTGTTGTGATAAGGACCTGAACTTGCCGAGAAGGAGGTTGTGCATGGGATCAATCACGGTGCAACGGATAATATCGAAGTATTCAACACGGACAAACTCAGACCACCGCACACCGTGTTCTGCAAAGAAAGTGTCTCTCTCTTCGTCAGTTATCAAGTCTCGATACTGCAGGGCAAGTTTCCGGTGCTCCTTGCTTGTTCTCTTCTGAAAGCCTATATGTAATGATGATCAGTGAAACAAGTTCTGCTGCATGGATATACATAACAAGAATGAACTGACCATTCTTCAATGACTTGCCAGTGAACATGTCGGCTTTCGGAACTTTACATTTGGGACAGGGTACAATCTTGTGACCATGATCGGCAAAACCACAAATTTTGCACATTGCCGGGTGATCAGCAATAATGGATATCAGTGCAACCCGAACACGAAACCCTGGAATGTTCAATTGACATTGCTGTTCAAACAGCAAAGGCTCAATTACCATTTGGAAATCCCAAGACGGTGACAGTGATTCCATCTTCATAGAGCTTGATCAGATCATCAACAATGATCTTTGAATAGTTCTGAAGTTGAGCCGATGTTGGTTCAGTGGGACCAGGCAGCATCCCTGTCACAATCAAGTTCTCAGGACGATATCTTTGGAAGGTTGTCAACAAGTGTGATTCACCAATGAGCATAAACAGTTTCTACCTCAGTTCCGAGTTGAGATTCTGAATACAGAAACTGACAACACCGGAAGAATGGCTTGGACCGTAGTTGCTGGATTTGCGGCCAAACCTAGAATTGTTTGTTGTAAGGCAATCAGGTACTGTCAGCTGAATCAAGGAAGGAGGAACTAACCAGTCAATACCTAATGAGACCCCAATGCGTAGTTCATTTTCTTCCTCGTCGTAGAAAAAGCGAGATCCATCTGCAGCCTTCAGATTTTTCCAAACTTCACCATCCTGAATCGACTCGAGCTTCTCATCCGAGCGCGGCTTTGTCTTCCACTCCCTGACTGCATCCACCATTCCAGGTCGCTCGAAAAATTTCTCCAGTGCACCCGAGAGAAGGAGTATTGGAGCAACAACATGGGCATGTGAGCTCGGGCTGGTTGGATGGGTAGTAGGATCCCCATTATCATCAGGATCATCTGTCACAACAGTTTGGAGGCGGTCGAGTAAAGCCTTAGGACGAGATCGATAGATTGGGGCATCACAGTTTGGGCATTTAGAGTCAGTCGGAGAAACAGCTGGGAAGATGGAATGACAGAATGGACAGATGGGATAGATTTTGAACCGATCAAGGATATCAAGACGTGCAAACACTGTCTTCAACGTCTTTGGAAGCACTGCGTCACCAAGAATGTTTCCGGGGAGGACTGAGAAAACGAAGCCAATTGCCCACAAGAGGACCCAGATAGCTTGAAAGGAGACGTGATGTTGACAATGAAGCCATGCGCAGAGGATTAGCATGCAACGGATGAGGGAGAGCGGATCAAATCTTGAAAAGGGTGCCGCTTGGAAATCTTCTGCAGGTTCCTGGACAGGAATCTCCTCAGTCATTCCTGCTGTTTCGTCAACATCCTCCACTGAACCACTGACATGCACAGCTTCCTGGACCGGGCCTTCGGTCACTGCTGCTGCTTTGGTGGCATTCTCCACAGTAGGATGCAGGCCACCTGAATCCAGACTAGTGGGGATCTCGGATTCTACGATTGTGTTGTTGGGATTGTTGGTCAAAGCTGGACTAGTGGTTACGTCTCGAGCTCCAGGTAAACCAGAGAAGTTACGGCGGCGTTTACTGGTTGTACCCCGGAGGGAAAGTGAGTTTGCTGAGGTACGTCCCCCAGAGCTCATTGTGGAGAGAGAGAGGGCGTTGTATCGATTGTGGGTTGTATAGATTGTCAAGTGTCGCAGACAATATGGCACAGAGGAGATATGACCGTTGTGATCACCTAAAGACAGAGTCTCAGTGAGTGTTGAGACACAGGAGCTGAGGATTAGCTGTACCTAAAGACAGAGTCTATGGTACAGGTCATAAGTAAGGGTCATTAGATCCTAAGGGAGAATGCATACCTCAGTAAGTGTTGAGACACAGGAGCTGAGGATATGGAGCGTATAGTACTAGGTTTATATACCAGTCTGAAGCAGATATCATGATGTCATAGTGGAGTAATGGTATCATAGATGAGTAATGGATGACGCAATAATGAGGTCAGGTATGAGGTCATTGTGGAGCAAGCCAAAGTAATCTAAGAATGCTACATATGATGTCATGTCTACATACTGTGATAGTTGCTAATACAAACAAGCTTCAACATCAAGAAGCGCTGCCTCATTGCGGAAAGCCATCAGACCAATCAGATTCCAGTATGTCAAACAGCCACGCACTCCCATGGAGTACTGGATGATTTCGACCATTAATTCATGTCACAGGTCACAAAGACCTCTGAACTGATCATTTATATATAGGGTCACAGGTCACAATTTTTCTTTTGAACTCTGGGACATATTTTTGGAGCAAAAAATCAATTTTTTTGCTTCAGGTACATATAAATGGCTCATAGATGTTCTAATTAATGTTTCTCCCACTCAGAATCACAACCAAAGTGTCGTGGGACAGCAGTAGCATGGCGGGGACTGTGATTAGATATGATAGCACATTATTGGTAAATACGAAACTTGACTGCATCGGGATTGAACCAAAAACCTTTGAATGCTCTACAGAGCAAGAGAATCAATACCACACTGTGCCATAGGGCCAACATCAACAAAGTCTCAACAGGGGTCAGAACGTATCAAATGAACACCTGTAAATTGTGTCACAGGTCCCGGACAGTCATGAACAGTTCAATTTTGAACTTTTGGGGTTACAGGTCACAAGCTCTGAACAAGTGGTCGAAATTGTACAGTATACAAGGCTTAAACATAGACATATAGACACCAGATGACTCAATAAAGATGGTAAACTACTCCTAATCTTCAACACACACTGATTTATCAGAAAGCGGCAACTGAGCAACTACGTGGGAACAAGTCAGGGACTAGCCGTGAACGAGTGATGGCCGATCAGTGACCTATCACTCTAGCCCCCGATCGTCCCACGGTAGACCCCAATAGTCTCTGTGGTGTCTACACATGTAGTCCCTCCACGGGGACTACCAGGGACTAGCTGTGGACTAGCCACATAGTCCCCAACGGGGACTATCAGACCACGGAATGTAGTGACTATGAGTATCTCCGCGCCGTCGTGCCGAAGGAGCGTCTGTTGATCTTCAGCGTCAAGGAGGGATGGGCCCCGCTCTGCACTTTCTTGGGCAAGGATATCCCGGATACGCCCTTCCCCCGGGTCAACGACTCGGAGCAGTTTGACGCCGTGTTTCCAGACATCTTGAAAAACGGCAGAGATGCATAGTCGTATTTATGAAGTGTCTCACTGACATACTACAAAATTCTACTGACTCGCAAAACAATGTATGTACAGTGAAAACCGAACATGTCCAAAGATGAACCCGTCCGGAGGTTTCCGATCATACATAGGAGCTGGAACAACTGCGGGCGAGCATCCAAGATTGATGCAAGCCAAAGCTAATCAAGCAGTGTCGAATCTATCTATATATCTATTCATTATTATTATATACAGTATCATGGATCTGTATATGAAAAGAGGACGGTCACGAGAATTTGACAGAAGATCACACGATAAGCACGTGATAAGCCCTCAGGGACCGAACACATCTGGCGGCTACATACAGCACATTTCAATTCTGAGTTCTTGTGACGAAGACACAGGCCACAACGTTTGTATTCCGAGAAACAATCCGGTCACGACCACATTGACCTGGTTTCGAACACAACGGATCGATCAGTCCGCGGTGATCATCACGCTACACCGCAGACCCGGTCTGACGCCCGAATGATGTTGGTCACCAACACCGTTTGACATTTGTTAATGATGTGAGGTAGACATCTTAATGGTGATCAGAATCAAGTCGAACAGCTAATCACTCCGTTGTATCTCTGACCAGGATGTATTTCTTACATCCAATACAAATATCAGCTTTATGTATGTAGAAACATACTATTCTATTCAGTGATGATCTTGATCTTGTTTCTTGGATATGTACATGGCCCTCAGGCAAGATGTCAATGCGACAGATGATTTCGACTTCAATATGAGATTTGGATCATATTTCTTGGTACACAATGACTATCAACTAAGTACTCGACCCAGAAGCAACACCAAACTCAGAGGGTACCAGGCTTGCACCTCGGGATGAAGGACGTGTCCCATTCTCCTCCTCCTCCTCCTCCTCCTCCTCAAGTTCCTGGCGCTTGCGTTTCTTCTGACCTCGGCTGAAGCGCTGGACTTTGGCTGCCTGTGCCGAGAGAGTGATCAGCCAAGCGGGACACTCCTTCGCTAAGGCCGATGTGCCAATTTTGCATTTGGTGGTCACAGGATCTCCATACTTCTCGATGTCGTCTTCATAAGCTTCTTCGAGAGCTCTGGGGCCGACGCAGAAGAGTCAGACTCAATTAGCTAAGAACTGTAAGACGCAACTCACGCAACAAAGTCCATATCCCCGATGTCTCGCAACTGATTCATCTCGCTATCGAGTATGTCCCAGTGCTGCTTCACGGGATGATTCTGTTCCACGTGGTAGCGCTAAAGAGGCGGATACATCAATGAGGGGGACAGCGGGCTGAGCAAAAAAGACTTACCAGATATGCCATCCGCATGAATGTGAATCGCGTTGCACAGACAGATGGGTCAGCATGTTTCAGAATTCTCTCGCAGAGATGAGCAATGTTCCTCATCTCCTTGTTCTTGAGTTTGATCGATTTCAAAATCTGTAGAACGGTCAGGAGCTGCAACAAGCAGAGACAGTCAATACCTCCCTCAGCCTTGAGAGCAGAGCGGATCACACTGACTGCGCGACCCAACCAAGTCACAAAGAGACCATATTCCTCTGAATCAACGCCCGGGACACGCTTAACTTTCATGAGAGTCAATGTCGTCTTAAGTAGAGTAGTCAGTGGTGCTCAAGAGCGGTCACAAGCCTCACCAGAATCGCCGTTTCGATGGTTCCACCATAATACGTGAGATTCGGGAGACAGAGAATAGACCACACGTATTTCCGACAGATCTTCTAAAAAAAATGTCAGTAAGACATGAAGGCGATGTGAAACTTGCATGCAGCTCACAGCCAGTGACGTCTCCGGAGCCCATTCACCTTCGTGACTCCCGGCCGTATCAACTAAGCCGCGAACCATATCCTTTGTCTGAAGGAGATGCATGAACGCGATGGTGTCACGTTCGTCCTTGTTCGAGGTCTGAGAGACTGTCAGCGCAAGAAGTTTCCATTGATGTGAACTTCACCTCGAAGTATCGTCTAAACTCTGCTTCACTGTCGGCAGAGAGGCTGGCATCTTTGGCAAGACGTTCTCCGAAGCTCTTCACGCTTGAAAGTGGGAAGCGTGGCTGAGTCAGAGGAGGAAAGTCGGGAGTGCTGTTGTCACGGTTGAGTCGAGGTGGAAAGTTCTCAGGCGGAGCAAGTGGAGAACTCGGCACAGGCGTCGAATGTCTGCTACCCTGCTGCGAAGCTGCACGGGCAGCTTCTGCGCGACGCGAAGCCCTTTGAATCAGTGACTCCGCCATGAAAGCAAAGGGAGAGAAAAGGCGATGTCGAATTAATGTGTCAACAAACAAAAACTGCACGGCTGTGTTAAGTTCGAAAGATTCTCACCTCGAGAACAGACCTTACCAGAAGTGGGTATTCTAAAACCCATATAGACTATTGCACAGAACTGGAAATGGCACCGACGCGCTGGGAGCCGCCATCGGGTATTATCATCGGCTGTGCGCAAGAGAAGGTCAGAGCTGACTGCCACTTTAGAACTGAGGCCGCACCTGGAATACTCTCCAAAGAGGACTCATGTTAGATGCCTTCCCTGTCTTGAAGAGCGGAAGTCGGGAACTGGACGGTTCATAGACCGCAGAAATCTGAAGGCGCATTTGGAAACAAGCACACATTCTGCAGCTTGGACAAACCATCAAGTGCGCGCTAAAAACCGAGAACCTGAAATCGCTTCTATGGACACCTCATACACTGCAGATGCTCTTCAGGACATCGTCGGGCTCGAGGACAATGTTGCTATGTTGGCTTCGACACGTCTTGGGATGTTCTCCGAGTCTTCCACGAACTTGAGCCCTGAACACCCAGATCCATCGTTGTTGGCGAGAGGCAGGGACGATTGGTCGGCTCCGGTGCCCTTGTTGATAAGCGAGTTGGGCCTTGGCTCGTCGGATTTGTGTGAGGCAGACACACCCGAAAAGCGCAGAGCGCTTCTTGCACACCAATTCCAGGAAATCCTCATGGATGCAACGAATGCCCAAACACCTCTTGACTTGCTGAGCGACGAGGATTTTTTGGGGGATGAGATCAACGAGATCATGGCTCGAGAACAAGGAGATGAAGACGATGACCTTTGCTTTGATTTTGATGCACGCGCTTCATCGGCATACAGGCCGTATCCGAACAAGGCCGTGAGTGGAGTGCTCAGTTTATTGGCACGCTGGAACTCATCTAAACGTCTCAGATGATGCTCCTTGATATTATGGACAACTTGCCGCGCTGCCGCTTTACAAGCCTTCAGCTCTCCCTCATAATACATTTTGCGAAACAGCTTGGGGCTCCGGATATCCCATCTCTGAAGAGCTTTCGTCAGTTCCAACAAGTTCTACAGGAAAAAACGGGCCACAAACCAGTTCGATGTGTATCTCAATTTGAGAATGTCTTTTACATGAACGATATCCGTGATGCCATTGCTCGGGATCTGGCCAACCCGTTGGTTGCGCCGCACCTGCATTTCTATCCGGAGGAGCCATCAGGTCCCATTTCTGAGGTGTATCAGGCCGAGCGATGGTTTGAATACACGGCATCACAGTTAACACCGATGTACAGTCGAGGTCACAAGCGGTGGTGGATCGAGGAACTGTCTCGGCTTTATGATGGAACTTTCGTGATTCCGCATACCTGGATTGTTCGCCAAGGAGTGCTTACCGCCGACGCATCCGTTGTCATACACAACCCCGATGGCAGCTGGACCATATCCTCCGAGGAGCGGACAATCCTGGCCGCTGACCTTGAGCTGGACTTCGGTGATATCACAGCCTTATTCGGTCAAGATTTTCAATGGACGGACGTGAGTACGGTTCAGGTGATGCCAAATGTGCAGCGCAAACTGGTGGATGAAGACGAAGACTTGTTTGTGGTCATGGTCTCACCCTGGGCCGACGATGTCTCCGGTAACCGATCGAAACAATACAATAAACACATGAATATGTATACAGGCAACGGTTGCCTCCCTGGTCGTCTCCTCCAGCAGGAATTCCACATGCATTTCCTCTCGAGTTCACCGCATGCTACTTCACCTGAGCAATTCTCCGCATTTCGAGACCAAGTGAAGGCCACCGAGACTGATCCCATCCGATGCTTCAATGCAGCGACTAAACGAAAAGCCCGTGTCATCCTTCGAGTTCCATCGTTGCCTGCGGACAACCCACAGCAGTCCGAAGAGTCTTCTCATATGGGAAGTAACGCGAACTTTCCATGTCGAAAGTGCCATTGGGGCGGGACAAAGATCGAGAAGGAATCTGATGAACTCTATCATCGGTGTCACTATCCGGGCATCATGCGAAACACAGCTGAGATACGCACTTGCCTTAGAAGACAGCTTGAGCTTGCAACTCGTGGGGACTCGAAACGAATTGAAGAGCTTCAGAGAACAACGGGGACGAAAGACAAGATTACACAACACTGGATTGGTGTACTGCTTGACAAGTTCAAGTTAATGAAATCAAACGTTCCCCGGCCAGGGGTGGAAGATATTGCTGTCAAATTGAATCAATGGCTGGACGAGCAACCCGGGGACAAAATGAACCCATTGCTTGATCTTCTTGGCCTTGATCCATCGCAGGATACACCCATCGAGCTGCTGCATACAGTCCTTCTCGGAATCATGAAATACATCTGGCACTTCATGAATACCAAAAAATGGTCCGATGAAGATCGACACTTACTTGCGATTCGACTCCAGTCCACAGACTTGAGCGGCCTCAGCGTTCCGCCCATCCGGGCAGCATACATGATACAGTACAAGAACAATCTTATCGGGAAACATTTCAAGACTTTGATGCAAACCCTTGCTTTCCACGTCCACGGCATCGCAACACCCGAGGAGTTTTCCCTCATGAAAGCAGCTGGGGACCTGGGTGCTCGTTTGTGGGTCCCGGAAATCGATGATATGACAACGTACCTGGCCGAAATTGAAGTTGCTGTTGCGAACATTCTTGATGCATTCGATGCTGTGGACCCATCACGGATTTTGGACAAGATCAAGATACATCTGTTGACTCACATAGCAGACGACATTCGACGCTTTGGGCCCCCCATCAGAAGCGCGACAGAGATCCAGGAGTCCTACAATGCCGTGTTTCGACTGTGCTCGGTTTACAGCAACCGTCAAGCACCGAGCCGAGACATCAGTACAAAGTTTGCTTCGATGGCGCGCATGAAACACTTACTGTGCGGGGGCCTCTGGTACAACGCTGACCGGGATCATTGGATTAATGCTGGAGATGCTGTTTGTCGGGTCCTTCAGGATGACGCTACATTCCAGCAGTTCCTGGGTTGGACCAAGCCAAAAGATGTTAGCCCAGGATCCATTTCGGCTATGCCAAAGAGGATTCCACTCCGAAAATGGACGACGACGCATGCATCAAGATACCAAGACTCAACCTTGTCTGCGAAACTGCCAAACGGAAGCACAGCAGAGATGTGGAAAGCGGGGCAAACCTTGACAGCGCAGAGTGGTGACGCGATCCAGAAGGGAGGCTGGGTTGTTGCATTGGATCCGCACGCCAAGGTTGTCTTTGGTCGGGTGATCGAGCTTCTCCACTCGCCAGTCGCAATCGTCACAATTGAGTGCTTTGTGATGGGTGAGAAGCGACATCCAGACTTCAAGTGGCCAGTCTTACGCCGTCCAACTGGCCAGGAGATAGTTGCAGGAGCGAAGAACTTCTGGGTCCTGGAGGGAAGTGCCGTTCAACTTGCGATTTCCGTTCAACATGACTGTCGAAGGGGGGGCTGCGAACCGAACATCGTTCGCAAGGAGAAGCAAGAACGTGAAGAGACGAACCAGATTACCAAGTTAATCCAGCACTCTGACGATGACCGCTTCATCCTCAATCTCTCCGCCTGTCATAACCATGTACAACTGTGCCGCATCCTGCCTCCAGAGATGACCATGCTTGAACCACTCCATCCGGATCGAAAATCGTTCCATACCCTGATGTCATCGCAAGCCCAATCGATCAAGACGAAAAAACGAAAAAGGACAGCCGAGAAACGACGAGCTACAGCGGCAGCCAAGCGCGAAGATGCAGATAGGGCGGAGGTAGAGGCAGGAAGGGCTGAGAAAGTAATCGATGAAGAGGCAGACGGGGCGGCAGATAGTGACCTAGAGGGTTCAGACGCTGGAGGATCGCCTGGGATGGAGACAGAAGAACTGGCATTTGTGTCTGTCGACTTGGATGAGCGACCGCGAAAATGGCGCAAGGCAGCCATGTGACTTGATGGATGGATGGATCACCGGATGTGATGTCTCCGCTGGATGTACATCTGATCAGTTGGGAAGATTTCTTGTGGATGTAATCCTATAGTTGAAAAATACGTCTAAGTCACTTTATCATATATACATGTGCAGAACATCGGTTGAATATCCGACGAAGATGTAATCTGGATGTAAATACTTCACATCACCCTAGCATCAGGCCGGGTTGGTGGTGTAGTGCACTTGAGCATGAGCCCGAGTCCAGCCCGAAGCAACTCTGTTCTGACCGTCCGTCATGCGATGTAGCTGTCTTCTGTAGATTATCAGTCACCGCAGCAGCTTGAAGATCTGTAGCTTGTCTCCGAAAGCCATCATCATGGGCTGCCAATCCAGCAAGATTCATCTGCTCTGCGGAACCCTATAAATGTTGGGCAGAGTAAGATGAAGAAGTTCAACCCGACATGTCTGCTCCCCTTATCTCCCATGCAAAGCCTGGACTGAAAGTCCTCTCCTTCGGCTACTCTCGCACTGGGACGTCTTGTGAGTCAGTTGCCGAGAGTTCCAAGTCATGAAGCTTACAACCTCCAGCCATGAGACAAGCCCTGGAGGAGCTTGGATACAAACCTACCAACCACGGATTTGATATCTTCGAGCCTGAGGCAGTCGTTGACATGTGGACTCGCGCGATTGTGGCCAAGTTCTGGGGCATCGGGGAGCAACTCAGCACCGATGAATGGCGCGCTTTTCTGGAGCCGTTTCAGGTATGCCCATCGTTCGCTTTTCACACTAGATCTCATACGGAATCGCGCAGGGTGTCACGGACATGCCCCACTACCTGTTCGTTGACGAACTGCTGGCCGCGTTTCCCGATGCGATGGTCCCCGTGACGCACCGCGACACGGAAGCGTGGTGGGCCTCATTCTCCACCACAGTTCGACCGATGCTCCGCCCGATGTCACTCACGCCAGCGGCGACTGATCCGCAGAACTCGCCTGCCGGCCGGCGCATCCGGCTCGGCACGATCATCTTCAGTGCGTTCTTCGGCGTGGCGCCGGATGCCGCGACCCCCGAAAGCTTCACGAAGGAGCGGGGCGTCGCAGCTTACGAGGCCCATTACGCGCATCTTCGGGCCGTCGTGCCGAAGGACAGGTTTCTGCAATTTCATGTCGCTGAAGGTTGGGGTCCCTTGTGCGCGTTCTTGGGCAAGGACATCCCGGACATCCCGTTTCCGAGAGTTAACGACGCGGAGCAATTCAGAGCTGTGATGCCTGGGATCGTCGAGACTGGGAACCAGGGAACGCGATACTAGCATAGTTTTTTTTTCGATAGACTTCCTTCAAGATTGTGAGATACAGAACCACTCTATCACGCGGTAAGGTCAACTGGGCGTTATCGCGGGGTTAGTGACTTCGGCTGCCCAAGCCGCCCAACGTGCGATACCCGAGACAACAGAGTTCTGCACAACTTTCGGCTTTGTCCCCGATATGCAGAGCAGCTCATTTAGTCCATGCCGGAAGGCCTGAGCACACCCTCTATGCCATCTAGACAATTCTCTGAGTCTGTCAAATGCTTGGATGGAATTGTGTCGACAATGACGTGGACTTGCCTCGTCTTAACATCGTCATTGTATGAGACCAAGTTCTGATTCGAGAGTATCCTTGAGCACGATACACTCGAAAGGATGGCAGCCTGGGCGCGTTCTTTGGTCCTTCGCCGCAAGAGATGCAAGCAGAGAACATACCGAAGGACTTGGCCATGGGAGCGTATCAGACGCACTACGAGCACCCGCGCGCCGTTGTCTCGAAGAACTGACTGCTATCGGTCGGCTGCATCAACGGATGATGGGTGCCACTGTGTGAGTTTCGAGAAACGCGGTGCCGAAGACGCCGTTTCCGCGGGGAACGAGCAGGAGCACTGCCTTGCAGTGTTTCCTGGCATCATAACGAACGGACGGCAAATGAGTCGATATCCTTATCTAGCACCGCAGGTTTTGAGTGGGGGATGGTTTGTAGCGACCTTCGTCCGAATCTCATGGTGAGTTCTAGGAAGAAGGCGATGATAGAGGTAGGCACCCTACGTCATACATCATCAGTCAGCTCCAGTCGCGAACATCACCCGAATGTGTACCCGTATTGTGACCGGATCTTCCCGGGATAATCATCGGTCGGTGCCCGACTAAGACAGTCTTGACATCTCTGACTGGTGGAATGAAGCAGGATTACATGGTGTGGCACGTACTCGCGTCCAGCACTTCCTCCCCTGATTATGTTACTCCTCACGGTCGGACTGGCTTGTCCTATCCTGGGCTATTACCTCCCTCGCTTTCTTCGCGAGCGCCAGCAGCACACGGACTCTCTGTTGAACATACCGGGGCCTGCGTCGGTGTCCTGGATCTACGGTGACGGGATGATCTCCGATTCGAGTGCTGGAAGCCAATCTCGTCGATAGGGAATATGCGCGAGTATCTCCTCTCTCCAGTGTATGGAACGCACGAATTTGCATGGCTGGAGCGTTTTGGGAGTGTTTATCGCATCAAGGCGTGTTTTGGGGTACGTTTCTCCCGGCCGAGCTCTCGAGAGATCTCACGTGTGCCTCGAAGAAGGACCACCTCATCGTGGCGGATCCAGCGGCCATGCAGCACATTCTAACGAGCACCCGTTTCGACTACTCGATCACATATGAAACGTTGCTCTGGCTTATGAATGGGCCGGGAGGGATACAAACAGTGCGAGGTGCGATTCACTCGTGCTATCTGTTTGTCAATTGATCACAGATGCTTTCGAAGGCGGCCGCGAGGAACACAGACGATTGCGAGCAGGTATGAACGGTGGCTTCACGGCATCCGTTGTGCAGAGCTATCAGCCCATGCTTGAAAGATTGGCACATCGCGTTTGTCAATCACACTCACGAAAGCTCGGGTGCTGACCGTCGCGCAGCTGTCAGTGCAAATCGAAGAGTTGGCATGCGATAGCTTGATCGATGTGTCCCCGCTGTTGTCGAGAACCGCTCTGGGTGCTATCTCTGAAGGTGAGACATCGTCCAGTTCAAGCCAGAAGCTGACGCACACTGTCTTCAGCTTTGATCAATCGGCCGTTCGAAACTCTCGACGAGGAGTTCATCGATCTAAACACTCGAATTGTGTTCGTGTTTTTCTCCTCAACTTGACGATCCAATTGTTTAATACAATTTGAAGGGGCATTTCAGCTAGCGTATCAAAAGGCTATATCTTTGCCGACATAATTACAAGCAATCTGCCCAAGACTCTAGTGAGATGGCTGTTCGGATTACGAGTGGGCGCCCTGGACTTGATCAACCGAGGACGAGAGTCTGCATTAGCCTTGGGACGGAAATTCATTAGTGAGCGATCAGATGGGGATGATCCCGGTGAATGCGAAGGCATCTATGGCTTGCTGCGTGAGCTTTCGTCAAAAACCTTGGAGCACCATCATCAACTCATGTCGTCGAGGTCGGCAGTATCCGGCAAAGGAGCCGGCAGAACGAAGACGCTCACTCCCGAAGAACTGATTGCTCAGACCTCTGTCCTGTTGCTTGCCGGTCAAGATACTACCGTCAGTGCATCCTCCAGACCTTGTCGCCTTCCTCTGATTATCTCCTCAGGCAACTACCCTATGCTTTTGCCTCATTGAGTTGGCCCGCAACCCTACATTACAGGAACAGCTCCGCGAAGAGATCCGAGCACGCCCGCTGTCTCAAGCATACAGTCAGATGCCGTTGCTCAATGCCGTGATCAAAGAAACTCTCCGGATGTTCCCAGTCGTGCCTTTCACGGATCGCATGGCATTCGAGGATGATGTCATCCCTGTCTCTCGGCCGATAGTAGGCCGTGATGGACAACAAATGACAGAGTTCCGCGTCAGGAAGGGACAAGTGCTCTCGGTCTCCATTGCGTCGTATCAAAGGTTCGTCATGTTTGGTGCCGCACCCAAAGACTGAGCTAATGTAGGATCCAATCTGTATGGGGTGAAGATGCAAATGAATTCAATCCGAATCGATGGTTCGAAGGAGGCCATGCCTCCTTGAACGAAGTCGTTGGGCCATATGCCAATCTGTAAGCCATTGAAATAGTTTCTGTCATGCATTGAACTTGAGATGTCGACAGAATGAGCTTCATCAGTGGTTTCAGGACATGCGTTGGGTAAGTGACCGCGAATCGTCGTGGTTTATGCTTATCTGAAGCTCCCTTCCAGCTGGCGTTTTGCGTAAGTCCATCAAAGCTGAAATGCGTCTTCCCAGCTGAATCTCCCAAGCATCCTGGAAATGCAGATCGTTCTTTCCGAATTGATTTCTAATCACAAATTTACTATTCCGTCTGGCAGTGAACCCGTCGGCCGATTTGCAACTACCCTGTTCCCGACAGATCAAACGGGAATGAAGCGGGCCATACTCCATGTCGAGCGCGTGCGTGACTTCGATCAACCAGAGACCCGATATTAGGAGATCAAGTAACATTCGGACGATCAATACGAGAAACGGTATTACTTGCATTGAGGCTGCGTCAGAATTACTACATTTGGGTGTGTTCGACTATTATGAAAACGATTACTCTACAGTGAAGGAGCTCGGTTCGGGCGAGACTATCGAATAGTACTGTATATGCTCTGTAATAAGTGAAAGTACAAGCGAGAGAAACCGGCCAGATGCCCAGCAGGTTGCGGCAACAGGGAGAGCTGATTCGCCCTTTCAAACCTTGCCAGAGCTTCCTTCATCTTCTTTCTTCATCTTCATCAAGCCGAAATGTTCCGGCAGCGTCTCCTTCATCTTCTTAATCAGCTCGCCCACCGGGTAGATACCCCGGAAGGCAGCACGGTAGCAGTTCGCCGGATGCAGGAACTGCGGACCGACAAGCTCGTGCAGCGCGTTCAGCTTCCCGAAGATGTCCGCATCTGCGCGGGCCCGGACGGTGGGATGATTGATAGCCACACGCCAGATGTGATTCCAATCGTTGGCGCAGACCGACGCATGGACCAGGGGCCGAGGACAGTAACCGAGCGGAGGAGAGGCAGGCAAGGGCGGTGGCGTCGCAGCGATGTTGGTCCACAGGTTGCTCAGGGAGTAGCCCCCTGCGTGGATAGCGCGGAGATGATGATCAGGAAGTGAGGGATCCGGCGACGCTGTAGCGAACGGCGCCTTCGTATCCACAGGGATAATGGTGCACGCGTAGTAAAGGTAGATGTCTGCGAGGAGATGCTTATGGTCGTATTTGGCTGCGAGCTCGAGCCATTCCTGCATGGCTTGGGCCTTGCATATTGCGCCCCCGCGACTGGAGGGATTGAAGGACGCGACACGAGTGCTCCACGCGCGCGAGACGTGCATTCGGATGTCGTACTCGGCACTCTCGGGGTCTTCGTATGCTTTCGGTCCCGATTCAGAGGTCAGCTTGAGGATGTCTGTGATGATGGGCATGGGAGGGGCGTGGAACGAGATCGAGTGTGCGATGTGCTGAATGCACAGAATGCTATATATGTAGTAGTTGTGAAGCGAGAACCGACGAGCGAAGATGCCTGCGAGAACGATGCTATGAAGTTCGGAGGGTTGCACTCTGGAGATCTGTGTCTTTAAAGGGCTGCAATGCTATACGTCCAGTCTAGATGAGAAGACAGATGGTGAAAGGACACACCTCAAGTACACCAGCCAATGAAAGGCTATGGCACTATCCTCCAACCTCTCATCTAACACCAATGGATCATCAGAGTCGAATACCTTCGAGGCTCCTCCCTCGCGTAGAAGACGATGAAAAGACGATGTCGATTCTCGAAGTAGGAAATGGGCGTGAAACTGCGGCTGAATGTCAAAGTATGCATGCACTGAAATTTGTAGTACAGACCTCCAGCATGGTCTTGGCCACTCGAATGACTACAATTCGATGGTCAACGGATCGAATAAGCTTTGCCTTTGCGTCTCCCCTCTTCTCGTGAGAAACTGCAATAGCATGCTCGCCATCCAAGGTCTTAAGCCGTCGAAGGGGACGTCCACTGCCAAAATCCTCCTCTTCGCGAGGTCGCCTGAAATTGAAGTTTGTCTCGTTATCGGGGTTCGACATCGTGTACTCGTCGAAAAAGAATAAGTAGACGAGGAAAGCCAAGAACCGTGACATATGTACGACACGTGTGTGTGACCAGACGCGTGCTTTGTTTCACGGATAAGTACCGTAAATTCATCATGACATCTCCAAGGACTTCTGCATGAGATCCCTTGCTATATCTATTCCTGGAAAATCAACTTTCAATGTTTGAGTGATTTAAGCCGAGATCCCCGCGCCGCATACAGCCAACTCACAGTGCGAGATCAGGGCCGGGCTCTCACTTGCTCGTCCCAGACTCCCACCGATCTCACTGTGTTGTTGAAGAAATTACCGCTCTCCTTGTCTGGGATGCCTCCTCTTTTTCCCAGTTGGATAAAAAGTCGCTCATTGATGCGAGACATGTTCATGACATCAGAAGGCATTTGGAGCTTGAGTTTCTTCTTGTTGCTCTGAAAGTCGCATGGCAACCTTTTCGACGGTGGATCGCCCAGATCATCAGCAGCCTACCATTCCTGACGAGAATTTACTCAAATCAAGCACAATTCGGACAAAAGTCTTGCTGAGCACATGGGAAGCTGCTCACATTCGCTCAGATAGCTCCACTACAGCAGTTTCTGATTATTTCAACCACCTCGTGCCCCGACTTTTCTTTCTCGGGCTCAGTTCAAGTACTTGATTCTCCAGATTCCCCATTTCCTCCTGGCTCTCATTCTCTCCCTGTGCAAGCTCCTATTTCGGACAACATTCTTTTGCATTTCAGCTAGCTACAGTGTGAGGTGAACAATACGTCTGTTCTTGTACACACGCGGGAGTTTTTGCTCTAATTTCATTCTAAATCTCCTGTCAAATGACCCGTGGTTCCAGAGACCAATGCCTCTCTCGCGTACATCCAAATGTCTTTGACCATTTTCGTCACGTGTTACCGTGTACATTCCGTCCTTGATCCGGATGCCCAGTTTCCAGTCGAGCCAGCCCAGATTCAGTTCCTCTATTCCGACGTTTCGCGCAAGCAAGACCAGCGCGAAGCGTAGCATTGATTGCTCAACAAGAGTTCGCGGTTTTTTCAGCAGTGCGAATGATCGTAGCCTGGGGAGTTGCTGCACGGCACGCACAATGGATTTTGCCGTCTTCTGCTACAATATCACTGCGCAAGTGCCGTGCTTGGAGCTGAGATGCTCACCTGACCAAATGTGCTCGAGATTATGACCCGGAGATGGACCAATCGCGGGCAAGCGACCACAATTCCCTCGAAAAGTGCCGGGCTGCTCAGCCGAATGTCCAATGACTTCAATTCGGGAAGGGCTTGAAGACGCAAATAGACCTTCTCGGCGGTGGATTCTACGACAGGCGCACCCGTCAGGTTGAGTGCTTGGAGCCGATTTGCAGCGTGGTGGAATTGGGAGAAAAGCTCCCAAACGCCCACAAACGACCACAGATTCGGAAGCGGCGCAGTGCTATCAACGATCGACGGCCATTCCCGATCGCTCAGTAGGTTAGCAGTGGCGTCCGCCTGTAGGATATACGGCAGGATTGACACGTGGCTCAAGTTCGGATGCGTAGAGAGAAAAGTGCTAAGTGCCGCAGACAGCGGTTGGCAGCGCAGAGGGTCTGAACGGCAGACGAAGATCTCCATGCACACGGACCGAAGTTCGGGAAAGTAACTTCGCATGACTCGGTCAAGTTCGGTCAGTGTATGCGCCGATTCGAAAAGTCGCAGAGTCAAAGCGACCAGATTCGGACATCGGAGTATGAGCATGTCCAACAGCTCCTGGGGCAATGGCCCGCGGCCGATGCCGATCGTCACTACATCGTGGAGAGTTGGAGAGGAACAACATACTTGAAAAGAAATCTTCATACCTGGACCGCCGATAGAGACATGCATTCCGAACTCCGTGAGATTGTCGAAATTGAAGAGCTATGACATGAAATTTCAGACTTCGAACATGATGAGCAAAGTCATCCCTACAGAACATCCCGCGGGTATTTCTCTCTGTCGAGTGGTGCACGACACACTGGTCAACTGTGGACACCTGCACCCAAAGATGTGAGGGATACCAGCAGTTAGCTTGGGGGCAAGGCGAACGCACATTCCCTTCAACACGATCCACAGCTCATCTGCAGGATAATCTTCTCCATCCCACACAAAGGATCGCAGATTGACTAGTCGCAAGGCGAACAAGCAAGTGATTCGCAGCGCGAGCCATCGTTCGCTGAGGACAGCCGGTAGGGTCTTGCGCGGCCAGGCACCGGGAATAGAATTTGGATACAGCGCAAGCATTAGGATGTGTTGACATCTGTCGGGATATTTCAGGAAAACATTCATGGCGCCGTTGCACGCTTTGTTAGTCTGGAGGGACATCGCGCGGTACAGCCTAGGGAGCAGCAGGTCATATAACATCTTGCTCTGCAATTGGTCCGTCAGATTTCAAGAAGGATTGGAGCCGGCATCGGATGCATACGGTGAGCATAAATTGCAAGATTACCGCATTCCCATCCACCATCTCTCCGATCAGAAGCAAGATTTCGGGAGGAAGATCGGTCAAGGATACCTGAGTTGACGCCATGACAAGCAGGGTAAGATGGGATCCAGCAGGTGCCCTCTGGACCTCTTATGTGGGGCTGAACGTGTGGTACGGTCACCCGTGGAATCATACTACGCGGACGATGACGCAATGTCCTGGTCAATATCACCATCGCACTAGAATAGCAACTTGGGAACGTTCCGGTATCTGATGATATCAAACACAGCCACCTGATGTGAGCGTACTTGGTCTTTTCCAGTCACTCTGGCCTACTCCTGGGGCCCACGCGTTCGAGTACGCGTTGAACGTGCAACCACAGAACTTGACTTCCGAGGCACTCCTTTCAGCGATATGAGATGAGATGCGATGGAGACTACGCTCGCGATGATGTCGTTCTTTGAAGAGCGGCCTCATGGTGCTTTCAGAAGGTAGGCACCCGAGTCATGTCCTTTCAATCCAGCTGGATTCCACCTGACTCGTGCGGATACTGACCTGTTCTCTCTTTTGTCTCGTCTCTAGGCAATAGACATGCGTGCACGCTTGTCGAAGCAGACGTCTATTGTCTTTTTGTCCTTTACGTCAGTCCATCTGGAGTACTACTGCGACTATGAAGCGTCCCTCCCCGCTACTTGATTTCTCTCTCATCCACGACGGACCATCGCACCTGCTTCTACTAGACAACATCGCCATCTCAATGCATCTGCTCAATGCTCTCCGCCGACAGGTGCGTCTCCATTCATCAATTTGGTTTGGGCGGCCAACTGATAGCTTGAAAAGCGTTACCTCCAACTTCCGCCTCATCTCACCAAAAAAACCGCGCAGGAGGCCCCTCCTCCTCGTCGTCGAACGCTCTTGGGGACCGCTGCGAGGCTGAAACTACCACCCCCGGGATCAGTGAAAGCATCCATCAGCAACACTGTCCGTGGCTGGACATCCCGTCTGCGACCAGCGCGTGTCTCTAATGCACCGAATGAAAAGCAGACTCCCCGGACCCTCGAGTTGGAGCGGGGCTGGCTGGAAAGAGATCGTGTCGTTGTTCACGGGAGTCTGAATGAGGAGCTTGATAGGCAGCGGGCGTTGAAGAGGAAACGAAGCTGCTGCGACGACGATAAAGTTCCAGAAGAGCCGCACTCCTTCAAGAGGCGATCGCCGGCCCTCTCCATCGTGCATTCACCGCCGACTCGGGCACTACCTGCTCCCCCCGTTCTCTCCGCCCACCACGACGTCGATCTCCCTCTCACTTTGCTGGGCAGCGAACTGCGCATTCCGCTTCTCACTGATCAATGCGCGGACGCTTTTGGCGTACTGCTACGCGCCACGCATCCACCGGTCGGTATTGTGGATGCGCAGTCTGATTCGCTCGAGGACGAGGACGAAGACCTTGGACAGTCAGAGTTGTTGACTTTACAAGAGTGGTCTGTATCCGACCGGGATCACCCAGTGCCGTTGAAGCTTATGCTAGTCCGATCCGCTTCTCCATATGAGCACCGCTGCAAACCAGAGCTTCAGCAGCCTCGTTCTTCGTCGCCTGACCCTCTCGGCTTCGATACGTTCCGTGACCCTTCTCCGAGTTCTCTTCTCGATCAGTCTCGCTGTGAAGCGCAATCTGTTAGTGAAGGAGAATCAGACTGGACGGAGTATAGCGAATGCTCCCATGCACCGTCGATTTCATCGCTCTCAGCAACATCTGTATGATTGCCCAAGTGGCTATCTACGACCACAGCTAGCGAGCGTGGCTTGCCTTGACCAATCTCTATGTAATATGTAATATTGAATATGCCAATAAATGAAGCACTATGCTGCTAGTACATGACCTTCCGGTTCGCTCGAACGCCGCATCAGAATGCCTTCTTCATCGTGGCCCAGAAGCTCTTGCCCTGTATCCTGGCAATCTCCTTCTCGAGGTCACTTGGCTGCCTGGATCCATCCGCCGAAGCGACCGTCCCAGCGCCCCATGGCGAAGCCCCGTGCACTTCAGACAGATTCGTCAGCTGCGGGAAGGCAGACGCGTAGCCAAGGGGGACGAAGATAGAGCCGTGGTGGGTAATCGTGCTGAGAGTCAATGTCAGCCCCCTCTAGAGAGTAAGCAGTAACATGACCGCCCACCTCAGCACGCTTGAAATCGTCGATTCCTGACCTCCACCAAGTCCAGCGGTCGAAGTGAAAGCGCCAGCGTACTTGCCGGCGAGTGCTCCAGATCCCCATAGTCCGCTAGTGGTATCCCAGAATGACTGATCCCAAATGATCAATGAGACATCCCAACGTAGAGAGAGCGAGCCAACACACCCGCCACTGTGCCGGCTGCGTGCCGAATCGTGTCGGGATGCCCATTAAGTATCCATCGAATGTAGCTAGTTGCGCCGCCGTGATGACAGGGTAGGCAGGCTTCTCGGGGGCGCCCATCTTCGTAAGGACCTCCCCTGGTAGGGTTTCGGGTACTTGGAAGAGAGAAGCGGAGCCGCCGGCTTCCTCGATGCCCTTCTTGACCTCTTCGGCGACTGCAGATTGCACAGCGGGTCAGGCGCAACAGAGGGCGGAGGATAGAGACACGCACGGGTGGCGATGTGCCCGTAAGTAGAGTATATGACGATGGCCACTTTGGGTCCTGGACTCTGGACAGCGGCGATCTTGGTCTCCTCCTCCTTCTTTGGGGCGGCGGGCTTGGGAACCGCCGGAGGCGGCGCACTCTTCTTCGACGCCTTCTTCTTCGGCTTCGCATCGTCTATGTCGAAGTTAGCGCCCGTCTTTCTTGTCCCGAAGCACATCGTGAAGTGGTGAAGAGGTTGAGAGGACGAATGTGAGCCAAAAATACAGCGAGGGCGGCCATCCGCCCTGCTCAGTCTTTATTGTCGGGACGCGCGAAAATCCAGCCTAATTTGGCTCGGAAAAACTTTCACGAAAGGCGGCATGTCAGCAGTGTGACAGCCTCCTTGGTAAGAACTCGAGAGCTTGTTCAGCAAGGTCGTTGACAAATGGGGAGCAGAAATTGGGCGTGCAGCAGCGCTGAGCGACGAGATGGAACTGGGAGAGAGACAACGTTATCGATATCTTGTTTGAGCATCACGTAGACTGAGCCAGCTGAGAGTTGGAAAGCAAACAAAGCGTCAACGAGCAAGGGCGGCGTACGTACATAATCGTGATGCGTCATCAATGTTAGCTGACATACCGTCACTACTGATGGTCACAAGCTTTTGCAAGAATCGGATATCGAGAAGCGAAGGGATGTCTTTCATCGAAACAGATTATCTGTTGAGCTCGGCCGATCCACGCATTTCTTATTTAGGGCTATTCAAGTCCAAAATGACCTTCCACTGCAAATATGCATCAGACATTTGCTCGGCTTGAACTTCAGCATCGCTTGAGAAGCTCTCTGCCCCTTCGATACTTTCACCCAGCTGAATGCGAACAACAATAATTGTCGGAGCGATTCCCTGTCCATTTTTAGTGCACGGCGTGAAGCGCCGCGAGGTGATAGACTTGCCACAATCTGAGAGAGTCCTGAGAATATGATCGTCTGCGAGCGAAGTTGGGTAAGATGCTGGATATGTACAAGGTAAGACTCACTGTCGAGCCACTGTTAGAGTTCAAGAGGACCATATAGAATAGCCCAAATATCAAGTACAGAGCGCCGGACTCGAATCTGAAGGGATGTGATCAGACCAGAGGATTGCGCAGCGAAAGAAAGTAGATGAACATCATTGCCCCGAGGACTTTGCAGCGTTTTGCCAAGGCAGGATTGCTGGAAGAAGCAGTTCGAGCCATCCACCAAATCCGAGCAACTAATTGGTAAATTAGTTGAACGTCAAACACGAATCAGAGAATCATGGACCAGAGAGGGTGACAAGTAAAAAATTTGTCACCAGTGAAGAAATCAATGCGAGTGAGAAGGTAAGATTGATAAACGGAAAGGCCGCCAGTCCGATCGATCCACAGGCGAAAATGCTGCAATAGCCGAGTGCTATTGTATACGTCAGTACATCTCGTAAATCCTCGGAGAGGGACCCTCTGGTGACCCACAAGTGGCGCATATCAGCAACAGAGAGGGTAGAAGGATTACTGATGTACGGAAGTCCCAAAGAGCGTAGCATCAAAGTATCTATGTGATCTTGAATTCTATAGAACTTGCGACGAGTTCAAAGCACATACGAAGATGATATCCGCAATCAGGCTGGGGAAAGGCAACTAGTCAGGTGAGTCTGAGGATAATAATGACAGAATAGATCTCACTTGCTGCTCACAAACAGAGTGCTCATGGTCATGGCCAAGTAGTTCTCCAATGCTTCTTTTCCGGTGGCTAGTATCGTAGCCATCTTGTGTTTGATCGATGAATTGACGAGCTGAAGGACCCAATGCACCGTGGCAGAGAGGAATATAACGGATAGCGCCCCAAGAAGAAAATGCCGATGAGCAGTATGCTTGCGAGGCTTGCGTAGTGCGAAGCAAAAGAGTGTTAGATATATTCCTTGCCATTGTCAGCAAGACTGGAGAGATCGAGCAAGACTCCACTCACCGTACAAAAAGCTCTCAAGCTGCGTCACAAAAGAATCAGAAGGCGCATTTCAGGAGCGTGGTGATTCGGTGCTGACCACGACACAATATGTCGAGAGCTCCAGGCTCTCTTCCATGGCAAGAAACATATCCCGACCGTTCTGGTGCTGGCAGACGACGGACATGGACAAATCGCGCTTCGTCTTCCAGAGACCAAGACCTTCTAGAGTGCTCGCTCAACGAGCGGGAAGGGGGTTGAGGGGCTGAAATGTGTGACGCTAGGAGTAATCGTTTATGTAGATGTGTGCTTGATACAAGAACCGATCGACCGATGGACTACGTCCTGTGCAGCAGATATCATAACAACTGTAGTGGCGAATTATGAGCCCGCGATCGAACAAAGCAAGATGTGAGAGAGTCCACGCCTCCGAAGAGAACACTCAAGCTTCACGCGCACAAGACGAAGTTAGACAACCAATCGGAGTAGTTTGATTAGCATTGTCAGTGGCTGACGATGATTGACAGATAGGTCCGTGCCGTCGTGATAGTTTCATGATCCTACGACTACACAGGACTACGCTCAATGATTCACCAGACGGGGCGGGATCCAATACCAGTGTTGAGCCTGTGTTCGATGAAGATTCGTTTCCTGGTTCCATCACGATGATCTGCCTCACTTTCCTTGTTCCGTATTGTGATTTGACCCCACATCATGAGGGGACAGAGTTCATCTCCCGCTCGGATTGTCAATCGCAGAAGTATGTTCTCGTCAGAGCGATGGTAGTGAAGAAGTTCAGCGAGATGAGTGTTGAAGCTTGTTTGTATTAGCGACTATCACAGTATGTAGACATGACATCATAAGTAGTATTCTTAGATTACTTTGGCTCGCTCCACAATGACCTCATACCTGACCTCATTATTGCGTCATCCATTACTCATCTATGATATCATTACTCCACTATGACATCATGATATCTGCTCCAGACTGGTATATAAACCTAGTACTATACGCTCCATATCCTCAGCTCCTGTGTCTTACACTCGCTGAGGTATGCATTCTCCCTTACGATCTAATGACCCTTACTTATGACTTGTACCACAGACTCTGTGTCTTTAGGTACAGCTAATGTTCAGCTCCTGTGTCTTACACTCGCTGAGACTCTGTGTCTTTAGGTGATCGCTACTGGTCGTATCTCCACTGCGCGGTATTGTCTGCGACAGGTTATGGGCCCCGCCTGAACCACTAGCAACAGATCAAGAAACATCGAACTACTCCCTTTACTAAGGCGAGTATCTTTCACTCGTTCAGCCCTTCTAGAGCGCCGTCTTTGTGCGCTCGTCCCACTTGCTGGATGTCGGTCCTCGCATTTGTGCTCTCACCCTCAAGGGGTTACGCGAGCGGCGTCAGGGAGTCATTCAGTTGGCAGACGCGCCGTTAGCTATTCCGTCCATGATTGCTCGCGCGCGTTTTACGTTACATCTTTTTATTGTACAGCGGACATACCCACCAGGCACTGGTCCTTTGGTCAATCCCACTCCTGAACCTTGCGCGAAGCGCCTAGGTGGTGTGGTAGCTCTCAACAGCTGCTGGAGGTCAATCCCTCCGCCAGGCAAAACAATCCTTCGGGGTTGACTTGCATTCCTCACAAGGGACCCTGCGAGCTGGTGACACTACGAGGATTCATGCAATGACGCTCTGCGTGTATGCATGTCTTTAAAAGGGAGAAGATGGGCGGCCAAACCCGGTGCTTGGGATGGCCTTGGGCACGTGTCCCTTGGCCAGTGATAGACTGCGAGGGCAGTAATCACCGTCGGGTACTGCCGCCGCTGACGTATATAGTTACGTTACTTTGATACAAATATGGGCACTTACTATACCGCTTTATTTCGTTATCATTCCCCGCGCGTATATGGGCATCATGGATGGGATGGGGACGCTTGGTCGTTCTCGTTTCAGAGATTTGGCACTCGGGATTTTGTTTCTTGGTCTGCAGAGAATCTGGGGCTGACTTTGTCGCTCTAGTCATCTCTATCACCCTGTCATCACCAGACGACCCTCCCGTTGGGGTTATCCTATTTCCTGTTGTCCGCTGGGCTCAGGGACCTTCTTACATTCCTCTCCAAGACGCCGATTGGAGGGATCTATACGATCTTGGAGAACACGATAACGAAGAGTTCTTCCATCACCAAGAGAATTGGACTCCAGAACTTCGATCTCTATTCGGTGATCCTCCCTATATCGAATTCCCCTCTCTTCACTACCAAACCGCCGACGTTATCGAGTATCTCCCCACCATGTCGGGAATCGAGAAACTCAACAACTCCATTCTGAGTGTCTTCGATGGCACCAATTGGAATACGTGGTCGGACAACTACATGAGCATCTGCATGCATCAGGGCACCTGGGGAGTGGTTAAACCCACTCATATTATGGTTAACGGCACATCTACCTCGAACCCTGGTTCTATGGAGCGTCCTGGAACGGCTGGTGACAGCCAATATCAATGGGACGTTGCCAATGAAAAGGCACTGGGTCTTGCGCGGGTTTATATCACCCAGAATCTGCGCAAGGGAATCTTTATGGACGGTCAGCGGGAGCGCACTGCGCGTGAGGTTTTTGCGAAGATGGCAACGGATTATGGCCAACCAAATGCCATCGATGCTTTTGTCGAGTACCGCCTCCTGAACACCACCACCTTCCATGGTGGTGATACCATTGAAAAGCAAATCATGGAAATGGAGACTCGTCGTCGCCAGTGTTCGGAAGGAGGAATCGAGATCCCCGACTACCTCTTCGCAACTCTAATGCTCGCCGCCTTGCCCGCTTCCAGCAGAGGTTTCGTCACCTCTTACCTGGCCAATCGTCCTATCGCTTCTCTGAACCCAGTCGATGTCAAGAACAGCGTCATAGGGAATATCAAGATCGAGAACCTCGACACGACGTCGAACTCGAAGATTTCCACCGTTCCGTCCCTTGCCACCCGCTGCACTCATTGCAACAAGTCCGGTCACGTTGCGGCATCCTGCTACAAGAAGTATCCCAACCTCAAGCCGACTGGTCAATCTTCTGACAAAGGCAAGGGGAAGCAGGATGAGGGGAAGAAGAAAAAGAAGAAGGAAAAGAAGAGCGGTGATGGTACTAGCGCTGTAAAAGAAGTTGTAGCCGCTCCCGCGGTTGCAGCTGCCTCCAATGGAATGCACATTTCGTCCTATCTCATGAGTGACTCCCTCAAACACATCGATGATGGAATTTTTGTTGAAGAAATGGGAGACGACTCCAAAATTCGTTTTCTATGGGACTCGGGTTGTACGCATCATATGACAAACACCCGATCTGATCTTCACAACATCAGACCTATCGACACCTATGTAATCGTTGGGTCGGGAGCTCGCTTCAAGAATGAAGCCGTTGGAGATATTGTGTTGCGGGGTCATACAAGTAGTGGCATCGACTACACCTTCACGCTGAAGGATGTCATCTACAACCCGCACATAAGAGGGCGTTACCTTTCTGGGTATGCGCTCGATCAGGCTGCTTACTACACCGTGGTTGGTGACAACAAGGCAATCCTAGTCACCAAGGATTGGCTCAACAAGGGAAAAGCGCATGGGGATGTCTTGATGACCTTTAAAGCAAGCAATCGCTGCTACTGGTACTACCCCGAGGAGCTCGTGGCACCATCTGTGTCTGCATCTCACGAGTCTACCGCGCTCGCTTCCCTGGAAACTACCGATCGTGAATTGTGGCATAAGCGTTTTGGTCATGCGGCTCGGAGGACCCTTTCTCACTTGCCGACACAAGTTGAAGGTGTTCCCCCCTTGCGACGCAATAAAGACCAGCGCGGCATGTGCGATGGATGTATGCTTGGAAAACAGCACAAGCATCCGTACCCTGCATCAGAGAAACGTGCTAGCAAACCCCTCGAGCTTATCCACACTGATTTGATGGGCCCCTGGCCTACTCAGTCGTTGGAAGGTTCACGCTACACAATTTCGTTCTACGATGATTTCTCGAGCTTTGGCATGATGGTGTTCATTAAATCAAAGGACCAAGCCTCTACCGCGATTAAAAACTTTGTTGCCCTTGTAGAGCGTCAGCTCGGCACAAAAGTACTGGCCTTCCGGTCAGATTGTGGAGGCGAATATATGTCCGATGAACTCACAGCCTGGCTCAGTGCACGTGGTATTATGCACCCTAAGTCCGCGCCACGCGAACCACAGCAAAATGGGAGGTCTGAACGTTGGAATCGCACAGCCTACGAGAAAGCGGAATGCATGCGCCTCGATGCCGGCCTATCCAAAGGCTTCTGGCAATGTGCTATGGATGCATCTGTCCACGTTCATAATAGACAACCTATGGCACGATTGGGATGGCGAACACCTGCGGAACTGTGGCTTGGAAAGAAGCCAGACGTCTCTTATTTCCGTGTGTTTGGATGCAAGGCGTCTCTCTATGTGGATGTTGAAAAACGCCCGAAAGGGTTGGAGCATGGACGCCCCGACCACATCTTTGTTGGATACGAACAAGAGACAAAAGCTTGGAAAGTGTGGGATCCGAATCAACGCAAGATACGAGTCTCTTCAAATGTTGAGTTCGATGAGCGAGTATTCCCTGCCAAGTCCAAGCTAGTCACCGGCAATGTGTCCTCTGGACCGGAGCCGTTCACACCATTCGAGGAAACCTTCCCTGACCTTATCAATAATCCTGCGCCTGCAACGCCTTATGCAAGCATACCACCTCCTGCTCTCCCACCGCCACCGGCACCCCTCGCGCAACAAGGTCCTGTCACGGGATCGCGAGGAGTACCCCTAATGCCTGGCCCGATAGACGATCGCCCGATTGCCCATCGCCGCCCTCGTCGGAATAAGCCCCGCATTATGCCAGATGGAACTACGTATCAGAGGCCTAGCAGCATTGAGTCCATGTTATCAGCTGCCCAAGCTGAGCATGACTTGCCTCAGAACGTGCGGGACGTAGCAAAGAGCCCGGATGCACTCAAGTGGGAGCGCGCAATGCGCGAAGAACTGGACTCTCTCGAGGAAAACTGTACTTGGGATTTGACCAGCCTTCCACGCGGTCGAAAGACTGTCAAATGCAGATGGGTGTTTAGCAGGAAGCGTGACGGTCGTTTCAAAGCACGACTTGTTGCCAAGGGATTCACTCAGGTTCATGGGTTTGACTATGATGAGACCTTCTCGCCAGTATTGCGCTACGAATCTCTGCGCATACTTATGGCTCTGGCTGCTCTCGAAGATTGGGAGATTCATGCCATGGATGTCAAAACGGCATTCCTAAACGGGGATCTGGAGGAAGAAATCTATATGGAACTTCCGGAATTACCCAAAGGTTTCTCGTCATGGCCAAAAGAAAAGGTGGCACGCCTTCGTAAATCACTCTATGGGTTGAAACAGGCGTCTCGTCAGTGGAATATCAAAATCCACAATGCCCTCCTCGAACTTGGTTTTGCTCGGACATACTCCGACGCTGGTGTCTACACATATCGCCAACAAATGGGAGATACGGTCATCATCTTGGTGCTGTATGTTGACGATATGCTCATTATGGGCAACAATCTGCCGGAGATAGCGCGTATCAAATCCTTGCTCGCGAATCGCTTCAAAATGACAGATCTCGGTCCTGCGAAGGATTTCCTTGGTCTGAACATAGTTCGTGATCGCAAAGCGCGTAAAATCTGGATCGATCAGGCTTCCTATATTGAAGGAGTTCTAGAACATTTCCGGATGTCTTCGTGTAAAGAAGCTCGTACTCCCCTGCCTTCCGGCATCGTGCTCGAGAAGCATGATGGAGAAGTTGATGAAGACCGTCGTACCCGATACCAGCAACTGATTGGCAGCCTTCTATACGCCATGCTTGGTACTCGCCCCGACATTGCTTATGCAGTCATCCGTCTATCAAAGTTCAACAGCAACCCGTCAGAACATCATTGGAACATGGCAAAATACATACTCCGGTATCTTCAGGGCACCAAAAACTACCAACTTTGCTATGATGGTTCCACTGGCGCAGGCCTTATCGGTTACTCCGATGCTGATTGGGCGGAGAACAAAGACGACAGGCATTCAACCACGGGATATTCCTTCTTCATCGCCGGTTGTGCAGTGACCTGGGTTTCTAGACGCCAACCCACGGTCGCTTTGTCCTCAACAGAGGCCGAATACATGGCTCTGAGCGATGCTACGCGCCAGATTGCCTGGATCCGCACTTTGTTGACTGAGCTCGGATATGACTTGCCATCCACGCCTCTTTGTGTTGATAACCAAGGCGCTATTTTCATGGCAGTAAATCCAGTTCATGATAGGAGGACGAAGCACATCGACATCCGCTATCACTTCGTACGAGAATCCGTCGAAGCTGGCAATGTCCAACTTTACCATGTGCCGACTGATGCGATGATCTCAGACACGCTCACAAAGTCTTTGGCATGGGTGAAGTTCCAACAACATCGGCTGTCTTTGGGTCTTCGTGATCCGACTGTTTAGTCGAGTGGGAGTGTTGAAGCTTGTTTGTATTAGCGACTATCACAGTATGTAGACATGACATCATAAGTAGTATTCTTAGATTACTTTGGCTCGCTCCACAATGACCTCATACCTGACCTCATTATTGCGTCATCCATTACTCATCTATGATATCATTACTCCACTATGACATCATGATATCTGCTCCAGACTGGTATATAAACCTAGTACTATACGCTCCATATCCTCAGCTCCTGTGTCTTACACTCGCTGAGGTATGCATTCTCCCTTACGATCTAATGACCCTTACTTATGACTTGTACCACAGACTCTGTGTCTTTAGGTACAGCTAATGTTCAGCTCCTGTGTCTTACACTCGCTGAGACTCTGTGTCTTTAGGTGATCGCTACTGGTCGTATCTCCACTGCGCGGTATTGTCTGCGACAATGAGTTCCATCTTTTCTGCGATGTGAGACCCGCATTCCCAAACTCTCCCTGGCTTCCGTATAACAGACTGGGAGTGCAGCTGTCTCGGAGCGTCTTCTCTATTTGCATCTCCCACCGCTCCAGCGACAGGTCGCTGGAAGGAGGATTCTTTCGTTACCCAGCGCACTGAACATATGCCCCTGTGCTCATTCATGCGTGTATGCCTTTCCGTGGTTTTCTGTGGGCTATATAGTATGTGACTCTCAACGGTTGCCAGTTCATTCAGAGAATTGGCTTTCTAGGACTATGCCTGGCTTATGAAGTCCCTTCGCTCGAATCTGTAAAAAGCTTTGTCACCGAATCGCCGCTTGGCGATATGACAATGGCTTCGATCGTGGAGATACCAGTCTCGTCGTGGCACGGGACCTCGCATGCTACTGCCGGTTCGAGTTCAGTCATGTCTTGGACGACGTATATGAACGCGTTGATCATAGTGGCACGGACAGTAGCATCCTCGGATGTGGAACCGGCCGAAGATGCCCCCCCAAACTTTTCTTGCAGCCTTCTTGACAACGCGCATGTGCGATGCATCCACATCGTTTATCGATCCAAGACCGGACCAGTGACAAAAATCTTTACCGGCCCACTCGCACCCAGCACGGCAGCCGCTTTCGTGACGTCTGAATCTTCAACGTGCACATGCTCAATATTTCCAGCCAGCTCGTCTGAAGCTATCGATTCTTCGTCCTTGGGCCGAGGTGGGTGGCTGCCCCGGGATTATTTCGTTATCCTGATATCGTTCTAGTGCAGGATGGCCAGGTTCCACAGGAAACAGGGAAGCCGAATTCAGCAACCAGCTCCCCTGCGCCCGTGCTTCCGAAGGTAAACATTGTGGCTATTACCGCGTCTATCATGGCCGCCATATTGTTTGTCGCTATCGTTGTCTATAAGTTGTGCCGACGAACACACAACCGGAAGGTGCTCAAAGCCTCACTCTTTCGACCCAATCAGCTAGTGGGCCATGCTGAGGACGCGGGAGATCCCTCGCAGGCGGCAAAAAATCCCGAATTCGACCACACAATCAAAGGAGAGCCCCGCTACCTCAACCAGGACACAGATAGTTGCGAATGGATGCCACCATACTCAGTAAACGACCCGGAAAGTGCTAAATATACCTTCGGATCTGCCACTGTATAAGGGATGTCCAGAATAGAACTATATATCTCACACCGGTCGGATCAGAGTGAATGGCCGGACGGCTATGATTTTGATTGCGAGGACTCTGAACGGCACTTGGAGAATGCGCAGCACTTCGGTCACTTGAGTGTACCGAATGATTCGTATCGCGGCGTTTCGAAGGTAAACATTGGCCCGGATGCAGGCTGAAAATTGATTCCGCAGGCAACTCTACTGCTCGGTCTATGATAGTCCATGATGCATCCGATAATCTTCGATCGTTCATGAGATTCCTATGCCTGAACTCGATGCTGAACATATCGAACATCTAACGAGGCCCCTTGTGCATCGGGGGTAAGTTTTAAAATAGCTTTCACGTGAGACAATGAATGGCAGTGACAGCTGCCAATCTGATCCTGGATTCGATCCACTCAATCGCCAGCGAGACCGCGTGATGCGTGGCAGTCTTGGACATTCCCTCGCTGCTGCGGAACGGGACCAGGGGACATATAACCGACCAGCCTCTCTACAGGCAGGCGCTCCACTCACCCATTCTCCATGTCGAATATTGAACTCAAGGACCGTGCGCCATCGTACAGCGGATCATCGCGGTCGCGAGGCAAAGCTGTGGATCATGGAGAGCAGGATGTGGGCTATGGGCCGAATGACGCAGGCGGCGCAGGTTTCTCGTGTCTTACTCCTTCTCCGGTCGCGATTCTCAACTTCTTCAGCTCACATCACAGGCTCGGCCGTCAAGCAACCTCATCTCATCAAGGTACAGCCCTTGAAGCGGGAGGAAATGCAGGTGTGATTCAGATCTCTGGGGCTCTTTGCCTGCTTACCGACGGTTACTCTCAGCCTTCGTATGCCCAAGATCTTGGAACTGGAGAGGTGTGTCGCCACCCGAGACACTGGTCGCAGTCGCTGATCCGAACGAAACAGGTTGTTCACGGCGCGTACGGATCTTTCTTGCAAGCAGTCGGCACCATTTTTGGTATCTGTGGGATGGTCCCCTGCTGTCCCGTTTCGAACCCTTTCCGCTCAGTGGAACAAGGTGAACTTTCCCCATTGCCATTGCTGTCTTTGCACAACTCATTTCGGTACCAGGATCTGTTGGTCTTGTCTCCCGCTTCGGCCAATTCTACAAATCTGTTGATCCCGGCTTGGTGCAAGTGAATATCTGCACTGAGTCTCTCAAGATAGTCGATGTCAAGATTCAGATCATTCCTATCGGCCGTCAGAGTGTGATGTGAGAATTTGCATCCTTCTGTGGACATGAGCTGATAGTTCCACTAGTACTCGCGACAATGTCAACGTGGAGATGTGCGTTTCTGTATTTGACTTATCCTTGCTCACGAGCTGAATTTTTCGCAGTGACTCGGTTATCTACTACCAGATCAACAACCCGTATCGGTCTGCTTTTGGGATCACGGACTTACGCAAAGCCTTGGTAGAGCGGGCCCAGACTACACTGCGGCAGGTTGTTGGGGCTCGCGCGGTTCAGTCGGTCGTAACCGAGCGAGACCAGATCGCTTTCGAGATTGGCGAAATAGTGGCGGACGTCGCAGACAATTGGGGAGTTGCCATCGAGGGCATTCTGATCAAGGATATCATCTTCGGAGCAGACGTCGCCGCGAGCTTGAGCAGTGCGGCGCAGCAGAAGCGCTTGGGCGAGAGCAAAGTCATCGCAGCCCGGGCCGAGGTTGAAGCAGCGAAACTAATGAGACAGGCGGCAGATATTCTGGCCAGTCCCGCTGCGATGCAGATCCGGCAGCTCGAAGCATGTGGGTTTTTATATCTGTCGAGACCGACACGTGGCTCTGACATTCGTCACTTCCAGTGCAAGCAATGGCGAAAACAGCCCAGAGCAAGACTATTTTCGTTCCCATGCAGCTTCAGTCCGACATCGGCCCTCAGCTGACTGCTGTGGAGGGACCCGCCGCTCGTAGCGACGCTGGTGGGGAGGTCGCCTGACGATGCGGCGACCGAGTTTCAGACTGCGGGAGATCATTTTATCGCAACTAGTTCATGTTCTTAGCCATTTTTTCTTACGCTACCCTTGTGTGCCTGATTCGGCGATTTTCCGCTTACCATTGTCGACGTTCTGTCAGAACCTACTACATAATTTGCTTCCGGTTCAACTTGAACTTATTTTAACGAGTCTGTGCGGATCAACATGATCTTCGACTTTGCTCGGATCTCAACCATATGGTTTCGGGAAGCGACGGACGGGGAGTGCTTCTATGCTCTCGGTTTTGTTTTGATGCAGGTGCTGACGGCCGGACTGCGTTCCATCGGACTCCATCCCGGTCGTGTCATCGTTGTTACACGACAATTTAGATCGGCAAAGTATGGACCCGCCGAAAATTTCCTTTTTGGTCACCCGGATTCTCCCGCCCCGAACACAGTGTGAATATGGTATTTTCTGCCGTTAGGCATTGGTTGTAAGACTGCACCATATTTTATCGTATCAGTTGGAGCCAATCACTGCTCTAAACAAATTCTATCCCCTCCCTACTTTCCGCTTCCCAGGTACAAGTTTGGGCCGAGTCAAAGGGCGAGGTGGCTCAATTCGACGTCACCACCACGTGATCAATCACAGTCGATCCCCGAAGCGGCAATGAGCGGCACCCCGGCTCTTTTTTGCTCTTCGGCAACAAATGGGGAGGCGGGTTATGGCTTTATAACCAGAATCTCGAAAAATGGGAACCGCACTCCGATTACCCGTAGCCCCCGTCCGTTCCCCGTAGCATCATGTCCTCGATGACCGACTACTCGTCGTGGTCCCCCGCATCGACTTCCGCATCCGGCTTGAGCCCGCACTCTCCCGTACATCCCGCCTCGCTTGTAGATCCGGCCAACCACTCTTCTGCGATCCTGGAACTTCTGGATATCGAGTTCACCCCTTCTGTGATAGGTATGCCATGTTTCTTTTCACTAGGGAGGAATAGACCGCTTATGCTGCCTATGATAGCATACATCGTCGAATGCGTATCTGATACCGTCCGCTTCGCTTTGACCCGTGACTCTCCAAACCAAGACGACCATGCGCAGCGCACCTCCAAGCTGCCCTCTTACGAGTCTCAGTTTCCCAAGTTCGTTCGCTCGGTGCTCTCCCGTGCCGAAGTCACACCTGCTACCGTACTCGTTGCCCTGGTATATATCGCCAGAGCGCGTGCGCACCTTTCCATCGCAATCGAAGATTGGGCTCTGGAGCGCGTATTCTTGGGCGCGCTCATTGTCGCGAGCAAGTTCACGCAGGACAGCACTCTGCGTAATGTGCACTGGGCGCTGTGCACGGGTGTCTTTGGGAAGCGAGACATCGGCCGGATTGAGCGAGAGTTCCTCGAGGTCCTCGATTGGGATCTGCTTGTGAAAGAGGAGGAGATCCTGGCGCATTGGGAAGGAGTCATGGGCCTTGAGACGGGTACGATTGAGTCGGGGTTGCCTGCTGTGGCAGACATGTCTGGTGTGAAATCCGAGTCTTCCTCCTCCACACCATCTACCACATCCTCCTCTTACCGGCATTCTCACCATCATCACCGCCACCCGTATCACCACCCTCACCACCACCATCGACATACTGTTCCCGAGCTCGAGCCATCGAGCCCCACCAGCACATGCTCGTCGTCCCTACCCACACCGCACATGACACTGTCCGTCCCCGAAACGCTGCCGGTCGAGGTGTCACTTCCGGTCCTTACCCGACAATCGGGCAAGGAGGAACATCAGCACCACTCCCGCTTCGGTGACTTGCTCCACGCTCTCCACCTTCCGCGGATAGGAGGCCATCATGGGCACCGTAATCGCCCGCAAGCACGTCCTATCTCGGTTTCCGCTGCATAGTTGCCATCCAGCTTTGCGAAGCGGTCGAGGAGGGCACCCAACAACTTACGACTGGTTTGTCCGCTTGGGCGCAAAAGTAACCTAATAGTAGTCCTGCAAGGCTTGTACGATCGATAAATCAGAAGTGACCAAATGTACTCTCAGTGTTAGTAGTTTGTACTACAATAATACTTACATGTAGCAAGCCTGCGTGGATCTTATCTAATACTCACCTGCAACATCTTATCCAGATCCGTCCTTGACTCATATTCCGAGCCCTCGGCATCAATGCCGCTTCCGCGCTGACTGAAGCCCCGGAAGAGCGGAAGACAAGTCGCGATGACTGGCTTGATTATGACAGGTGGTACGATGCGACCCAGCGGAGGACAAGAGAGAAGTAGATAGATTGTGACTCCGTGTGACTGTCCAGCGATTATCACGTGCTTCACGCAATTTCATTTTCATGAGAGAGTCGCCCCCACCTAAATCATGGCCAGGCGGGTTTTATGTTCCGCAGCTCCTTCCAGAGCGGGACAACCGTATCAGAGCTCTCGTTTTACCCGATGCGTCTACGTATGGACATGGCTTTCATCGCGGACTTCGGTGTTTACCGACGAGATGAGTCACCGATATGCAACTCCCGGCATCCCCGTGATACATGACGTGTATGTGCCGAGGACACTTCTCCATTTCTTACCCACTCTCGTCGGCCTTTGCCCCCTTTCTTAGCTTTCTCCCTCTGTCTCCCACACCTCCTCCGTTCCCGCAGTGAATGTCATCAAACGAGGAAGACTATGGCCCCGATCCGTATCGCGTTAAGAAACGCCGCGTACAGCGAGCCTGTGATCTATGTCGAAGGAGGAAAAGTACGTCTCGCGTGCCTCAGAACACAGATCGCGTTACTGATCTTGCGGCCAGGTCGCTGTGCGTAAACAATTCGAATACCCCTTGCGACTGGGATACAGGCGCTGAACCTTCTGGTGGACTCAGGCGACGGCTCACAGCAGCCAGGGTCCCGGTGCTCGACATGTCAGGACGCGAACTCGGAGTGTACTTACTTGGAGGGTGCAGTGGTGAGTCTGCTTGATTCGCTTGATTACACCCCTCTCGCGTGCTCACACTCCGGACCGCTGCTCGCAGAAACGTGCTCCACCTAAGAAGTACGATTGCGACCATCGGGTGGATGCGGTCATAACACTGACATGACTTCAGTAGCAGCTACGTCGAGTCTCTGGAAGCGCGACTCGATCGCTCGGAGGCATTGGTCAGACAGCTTCGTGCCGAGCTCGCTGCGGCGCAGTTTGCCATTTCCGCACCATTGCCCTCCGCAGCATCGGAAACATCAAACGGTTCAGAGAAGGCATGTGGACCCGCCTGCAAGCCATGTGCGCCCCTGAATTGATCCAGAATGGGGTACAGGTTGCGTTGCCGTCCGCCTCGCTTGAAATGCTACGAAATGCACTACAACACTTGACGTCCCCGCCGCGCTCAGCTCAAGCCGAGCCTCTGCTTCACATCGAGATTGCGAAAAGAGTCGGTCTGTATTTTGTGTTCCTTTCTTGCGTCGCTCACGATTCTGCGAAGCTGGAACATCTGACTTTCACTGAAAAACCCGAGAAACACTTCATGGGCAAGTCGTCCGGGGTTGAGCTCATGAAGGTGACGATGGATATGCGCGACGAAGTGACGAAGGCTTCTCTGCGTCAGCAAATCTCGAATGCCAATTCGGCCGCATCTTCGCCCGATCTTGCAGACAGCCCGGAGGCAGTGTGGGAAGACCCGTGCCCGGATAGTCTTTTGGGATGGAGCCACAAGCGCTGGGAGTTTTGGAACTTCAAGCCGGTGTGTCCTATACTCCTTGTGCCTCCACATCAGACTACTCAAGAGTGGCAGTGGGAGAAATCCATTCCAACCCTGCGCCCCTATGTCTTTCCAGAACAAGGGTTCATTTTCGAACTGGTGGATTTGTATTTCCAACACATGAATATTTACTATCCGGTATTCCATCGGCCGACGCTCGAGAGGCATCTGCTAGCCGGACTACATCACAGGCAAGCGCCGTGAATCGAATCCTATTATCCGCTGTTGACCAACTCACAGAGACACTGGGTTCGGTGCCGTTGTTCTCCTTCTTTGCTCTGTCGCTTCCCGCTGGTCCCACGATCCGAGGGTCGGGGGCCCGACCGAACCAGGAGCTCGCAATTTGAATTGCGGCTGGCAGTGGTTCGATCAGGTTCCCTTCGTTGGAGGGCATCTGTTCAACCAGGGCACGCTGTACGATCTTCAATACTACGTGGTATGCGCCTTATTCTGTGACTGCGCATGTCCCTCAGTATCCACCTTCAGCTTGCGGTCCAATTCCTAGAACATGCGTGCGCGCCTCAGGCTTGTTGGACCCTGATTGGGATCGGTTTGCGATTGGCCCAGGTTCGCTCATTCCTCCTCTTTCTCAGTCTTATTCGATCTGATCTGTCTATCAGGACATGGGAGCTCATCGACGCATGAGTTCTGACGAGGATCTGACCGTCGAGCGCGAGCTGACCAAAAGAGCCTTCTGGTATCTCTTGGTCATGGACCGCAGTGTCAGTGCCGCCATGGGCCGGTCATGCGCTCTGCAGTATGATGAGTGCGTGGCCGTCAGCATCACGAGATTGTTTGCTTCATAGAGCTGAAAGCGCTCAGGTTTGACGTCGACCCTCCAATCGAATGTGACGACGAGTATTGGGAAAATCCTGAACGGCCATTCCAGCAGCCGCCGGGATTTCCTTCACGTGTATCCTTCTTCAACACTGTGATTGGTTTGAACCATCTCCTGGCTTTCAGTCTTAAAATCTTGGTGAGCTTTGCTCGATCGTGTGTTGAGCTGGCGCGTCTCACAATTATAGTATCCGCTGTATAAAACGCGCACCGCGTTCAATATGAACGGGGCTTTGTTCGAGGAAAGTGTCGTGGCTGAACTGGACTCTGCACTTAATCAATGGTTGGACAATGTTCCTGAGCATCGTGAGTGTATTCGTTTCGTATTCCATGCACATTGGTTACGAGATTCTTCGATCTTCTAGTTCGTTGGGACCCCATGCGTGTCGATCCAGTGTTCTTCGATCAATCCGTTGCGCTGCAGTGTGAATATCATCATCTTCAGATCTTCATTCATCGGCCGTTCATCCCCATGTTGCGCAAGACACTGCCGTTGGTGAGGTTGCCATTGCGCTTCCGATTACCTTGCTCTGACATTACTTGCGACAGGCTCTGCCATCACTAACGATCTGCACCAACGCCGCACGAGCTTGCGCTAATCTATGTCACGCGCAGCGACAACGAAAAGGAGATGTCCCGGTGGTTATCAACTTGGTGAGTGGAACAGAGCCGGCTTCGAATCCATGTGTAACTTATTAATGAACCAGTCGCCGATTTTCGTTGCGGGTATGGTTCTGCTGTTGAATGTCTGGAGTGGGAAATTGTCCGACTCGTCGCGCGAACTTGGGAACGTATATAAGTGCATGGAGGCTGCCCGAGTAGCGGAGGGTCGATGGCGAGGTCCAGGTTTGATGTGGTACGTTCGCCCTTTGCACCTGTTTGTGCTGTGTTCTAGAACTTGCCAAGGGACATCTTTGCGGAACTTGCGACACTGCCACAGTTCGCTAATCGACCTCCGGCATCGCCTGATCACGCACCGAGGAGACAATCTCGTCCCCATCCGAATCCACCTGCGTCTGTCTACCCCGAATCTGTCTCTGCCTCCTTCACACCATCAAGTTCAGTTTCACCACCCAACAGCCAATGGGCGGGTTTCGACGGATCTTCACCTTACGTGCAAGCGAATGAGGGCTTCGGGATCGGCCCCGAGTCCGAGTTTCCTCCTTTTTTGGACGACGGGACGATTGCGATGTGGAACAACGCTCCAACGACTTGGGAGCTGGGGGATTGGGGGTCGTATCTGAACAACTTTAACAACACGGAGATTAGACCGGCGAGTCATCCACCATACGGAGCTATATAAACGTTACTCAGCCGCGTAAGATTGGTGGAATAATAATCTGTAGATCTCGACTTTTCAAATCTTTTGCGTTGCATACATGTCGTTGAAATTGACGAATTGAAACTGATTACTGCACTATCAACAAGCCGGCACTCCAGTGAACCCGGATCCGCACGCATTCGTGATTTGGTTTGCTACCCCTCCCCAAACGTAAACACTTTCAAACTAAGAACAGGTGAAGTGAGTCGATCAATCAGGAGCAGAAGAATGAGAAAGTTGGACATACAGTGATATTCTTGCATGGCGTGGCAGCATTACAGTCGAGGAGAACCGCAGGTCGCGTGGTGCTGCCGAAACCCTTATTTGTCCGACAGAGTCGTCAGCAGGAAGTTACTCGGGTCCAGAATCAGTACGCACCGATATTCCGTCGAAATGCACATCGGAGATTTCCAGTTTTCCGGTGTCGATGCCGTTGCCCCTCCAGAACACGCCGATATCTGTCGTCAATCGATTTGGGTTCGGAAATGAAATTCCCGGTTGGAACTTACACAGAGGGAAATCGGGCTCAATCTTCGCAAAAAATGATAAAACAACGAAAAGGAGAGAAGCAGCCGCGTACGAGTGTGAAATCATGGTAAGTGATGTTCCGGACGAAACCGATGTTGTCGGGATACGATTTAATCATGATCCCCGCATCCGAGGTTTCATTCAGCGTTACGTTCCGGTACCAGACATTCTGCACAGAGACATTTGTGTTTCCCGCCCCGAACGAGCCGATGTTGCATCCAGCGGTGTGAATGCATATCAGGTTCTCCGCGCGGAATCCCTGTTGTGGAAAATGAAGAGGGGCTCATGAATGAGTAGGCAGGGAGAAACTCACATTTGTAGGTGTTTTGACAGTCACGCACTACAAGCCATGAAATCAGACAACACGCCGTCTGAGCTGGTCTCTTCCGCATACCTCATCGCCATTCTCAACAATCACGTCATGCACATAGCTGAACAGAGGCCGGTTGAGCAAGATTCGGCGACGGAAAATATTCTCGCACTTGTTGTTTCCGCTCATGTCGAACCCATCCGTTTCACCTGCCACGCGCGTTCAATAAAAAAAAACCGCATTGCCACTTGACGATAGCGGACTGACCAACATGAGTGGCTCTGATCGTCATGTCATGTGCCAAGTTGCTGGCCGCGGATGATCAGGGGTCTGTCCAAGAGCGGATCACAAGCGTGAGCCTACTTGTTTCCGATGATGGTGACATGGAACATCGGCGCGTCATACAAGGTGATCTCAGTGATCTCAATGCTGGTTTCCGCGGTTAGTTAGCACATCAGCGCACAAGAATCGCGTCGTCTATCCGGGACGCACTTGTTGCAAGTTTGGAACCGAACCAATCGAGGGCGGTTGGGAAAGAGACTCAGCTGCCGTCGACCCCGATCAGAGCTGCCTCGAATCAAGAATGAGAAACCTACATCATTGTTTTCTCGGTACCGGTACCCGTTCCCGAAAATCGCACCCGGGCCGTCGAACAGAATGTTGTCGCAGTTCTAAAGCCGTCCGAGGTTGAACCGCGTTCCCGTCGATCTACGGCGTGCGTGCGCACCTGCCACTGGAGCATCGTCCCACCGATCCCACCCAGAGTCGTATTGAACGGCAAATACAAGTTGCCGACGAGGTGGAAATTCCAGTGGGTCGCGTGGTTGAACAGAACCATGGTCGTCAGCCGGAAATCTCCGCTGGGCACGAGCAGCTGGACGTCCGTGGCGACAGTGCTGTTCACGCTCGGGATGACGCAGTTTTGCCATGCGGCGGTCAGTGCGGGGCCGATGTCGGTGACGTTGTCCGCGACCGCGCCGTAGTTGAGCACATTGCACTCGATTACGGCTTGGGTCTGAGTGGGAAATGTTGCGAGGAGGAGGGCGGTGGAAATGAGAGATTGTACCAGCATCGTAGGCAGTGTCCCTTCTGAAAGAGACATCGAGTTTTTAAACTGCAAGTGAGCTAGTGCGGCCAAGATGGTACTAGCCTTCCCTCAGCCGGCCCGCGAATCTTGACTCATCGGTCAGAGACTTCACTGTGGTGCTGGAGAAGCTGTGGATGTCACATTGAGCGAAGCGTTGATACATCACCTGACAGAGTAGCCTCCGTAGTTATGAGTGGTGTAAGACCTAGGATGAGACCACCCGGATTCAGGTCGCAGTCTTCAGGCGAGACGATCGCTGAGACCAATGCTCGGTGAGATTTTTTGCAATGCTTAATGAGCGAAGGCGTTTCCTCAGGCCATGCGCCGTTCCCACCCCACAGACTTCCATAATCTATCCAGGGCAGTACCCTGTCTTCGCGATGTTCAATGCAAGTCATGTGAGAAAAATTGCAGCATCGCAAGCTCTGTCAAATCAAACCGCAAGTCGTGACCAGCGGGACTGAACCCATCGGGCCGGGTGATTACACGTGTGTCGATCAGAGATCAGACGGCCCTTGGTGCAAATCTTCGGAATGGTTTAGTACTGGTCTTTTGATTGTTTTGTGGTCGCTGTCGACTGATTCGAGCAGCTAGCAATCTGAGGCTGTAGTCGCACCCTTTGAGTCGTGAATTTCATTTATTGGGATTATCAGTAATGCCCGAAGGGCAGAGTAATAACACCCATAGTGCTAGGATTTAGTCAAATCTATGGCTGCAGCCATAAAAATTGCATTCAAATCTATGGCTGTAGCCATAGCATGGATACAGTCATAGCTTTGACTAATACTGCTATGGCTACAGCCATAGCGTGGCAGGCCTTTGGTCCTGTTGCTTTTCTCGGCATCACCATGGCATGTGCAAGATCATCATTGCCATCAGCACCACCATGATCCCTCAACATAAAGTGTTGATTGGCCTTACTGTCTTCAACAAGCCGCGCCCCTCTGGGCGCGGAGGTTAGTGGTTCAGGCTAGGGTTTGGGTTTGGGTTAAAGGTTAGTCCCCAGAGACGTCATTTTTTCTCAGTTATGGCTGGGGCAAGGTAGCAAAAAAAAAGCCTATTACAGGCTCTGTAAGGGTTGGTTAGGGTAAGAAATATATTTATTGTCAGTTAGGGTTGGGGCAAGGGAGCAAAAAAAAAATCCTGTTAGAGGCACTATTAGGGTTGGTTGGGGCAAGAAATATGTTTATTGGGTGATAAGGGGTTGGTATAACCAGTACTAGGATAAAGCTTTCCCTCCACTTAGGGTAAGCCGCTTGCGGGTTACCCTAAGTTGAGGGAAATTGCCACATGTTTAACAGTGGTTTAGCTCAGTATGATAATGCATTGGTTTAACTTCCATTTTTAGAAGGTCAGCCGTTCAATCCTCACTGAAACCACTGCCTAGCTGTTGGGTGTCAATCACAATCACAGGTTGTCGATCATAATGATCGTTGTTCACATCAGCACCGCCACGCCCTATGGCTACAGCCATAGATTTGAATGCAATTTCTATGGCTACAGCCAAACGGATTTGACTAAATCCTAGGGCTATGGCTCGTAATAATCGGAGTTTGATGGAAACAAGATAGCTCTACAGTAAGGCTGGCTGAGATTCAAAATTGCAGGAATATAATGTATTGTATTCCAATTAAATGAGATGAATTATCCTTCAGACAGAGAAGGAAGCCTTACAGGTATAATTTCATACAGAAGATTATATAAGGATACAGTAAATTACCCCAGCGGGTCAATCCATTATAATTTTACTACTACAAGTGCACAGTTATGTCAAAGTTCCTGCTGCTTCCAGTGCTGTTTGCGCGAAAATGAGCTGTCAATTTCCAATGAGCATGATTGGCCAACATGTTCTGTCACGAATTTGTCCAATTTTGGCTTCACAGACTAACTTTTCTTTCACATCTTGTGACAATCAACTCAAACAATGAAATGATGTGAAAAATGATCAAACTGTGACACATCTGCTGACATCCTTGACAATGAGCAGCTGGTAAATGAGTTCCCCAAGATCCTGGAGAGCATCCAAAAGCAGATCACATCACTTCCAGTGTCAATGCCTCAAGGCTGTCATGATTCAATCATTTTTCACAATCATTCCATCGATCACCCTATCTTATCATTGACATGGGACTATCTTATCATGGATCACGGCACCACACGGTCCGGGTTTAGGGTTCAAGAGGGTTATCTGCACAAGAGGTTGCGCGGTGTGTGCTCCAGAAGTCTATACTACAACCCATGACCAAAGCTCCACACGGTACATAGTCAGATGACTTGTTTGATGTAGATAAGACTCAGACTGGACTCAGTATAAATACAGTAGCTATTGTGTTGTATGCTCCAGTCTTGGAATTGACTTGTCTTTTTGATCATATCCTGTGTTGATTGTCACATAATTCCAAGACTCCCCTCATACCCTCCTACCTCTTACCTCCTACCACTGCACCCCTCACCGCTACGCCCGCTACATCCTCTTCACCCTTATCATCTGACTCACCCTTTTACCAATGAAATGCTGAGGGCGTGCTCACAGGTGAATCTACTATGAAAGTAAACCCAAATATAAACACGTTCACACTCCTCGTAATCAGCTTCTCAGTGTGTGAAAGATGTGAGGGCTTCGGGGTGAACAGAACACCAGTATCACAACTCTCAATAGATGCAGATCAATAGTCGTGGGAGACGAAGTCGACGACAAGAATTTATATATAGCAAACAGTGGTGTCTCAACCAATATCTTCTATACAAATACAACCAACACTAATCCAACCACAACCAACAATATAACAAGTCAGAGCTTAATACAAAGTATTAAGATCCCTTGTAGCGACAGCGTCCAGATGGCAATGCAAAGCCCAAATATACTGAGTCGATGCACTGCCAACTAGTAAACCAAAATGCCGCATCGACGCACTACCAACTAACAGCCAATATCCAATGTCCAAAACCCGAGCACAACTTGTCGACGCACTGCCAAGCTAGAGGTGTGGAACAATCTCAACAAAGCCCAAAGGCGACGACACGAAGTGCCGCGACAATACCAGATGCAGCGAATCCGACTTTCTGATATCTCAAAACTCAAACTCAAATCACAGTAGCTACAAGTGCTCAGGGAGCAACTCGTCGCAACCGGGCAGGGGTGGCAGAACTTCTTAGGGTGGAATCACGCGGCACGCAAATTGCACAAAACAATCTGATATGAGAGTGATTCACAGTCCGGGGGAAAGCTTCCTAATACAAAGAAACGACGTGCTACTTATACTGTCTACGATGATGCTTAGTAAAGTCCTGTACAACTGCATAGTAGCCACGCTATCTAAGATCGGTTGCCTTTTAGAGTAATTGAAAAGTTGAACGATCGGACAGGCCCTGAGTGATCAGGACCCCGCCCCATAGTCCATATGGTACTTTTGATGTGGGTCAACCCACCGCGTCATACTTTTGGAATACGACGTGCTGGATTGGCCAACGGGTATGTCTTGGTCAGTGAGTCCAACGTGGGTGCCCCAAGAAGCTGTATGGCCCTAGGCACGCCAGTCGTTCCTCACATGGTTCGGTTCACGGATCTAGCCGTGTTGGTCTTAGTGCATTTGGGTATGGGCGCGACTCGCCGTGACACTTGGAAGTGTCACCGCGACGCGTCCACAATGTCCCGTGATCAAATGGATCCTGACATGTGACAAGTCGTCGTCGTGGCAGGATCTGAGGAAACGTCCAACTCAAAACCGGGAGTTGCCGCGACAAGATTGGTTCAATCTCGTAACGCCAAGTCCTTTCCAGTAGTAGTTGCATTATTGAGAACGTCGCACATTGCTCAGCCCTTCAGCCCAAGTTCCCATCTGCAGAGAATGACCCTTTTGAGAAGTCGCCGCAACAAAAGATCCCTTTTTGGGGAATTGTCGCGGTCCAAGCATTCGTCACTAATGGCCCTGAGCCTGATATAGACTCATAAGACCAGTTCCACAGTAGTGGTCAGACTGCCTTGCTATCGTCGACACTATCCACAGTCGTCGACTGGGCAGTAGACCCTTAAGCCCTACTGAATGTAACACTGTCAACCGCGACACGATACACCAAATGGTTCGAGAGTAAACTCTGTAAAAAGCGCAAAAATACGCCCTTACAGAGCTGGTGCAGAGCGCGTCTGGTAGCCAGCCTATCATCTCCCAGGAACACTAATTTTGACCTCCTGGTCAACCCCGTGACAGCCTCACTGTGTCAGGTCTAAGTCCAACAGTCGACATCTCATTCATTTATTATTAAAGCTGCGGAGACATAGAGTTATGTTCCCACGTCTTATTCATTTGGTTGTTCGGTTCCTTCCGTGATCTGCCGCGATCAAACTTCTTCTGGCATGTTCACCATATAAATGCCCTCAATTTTCAGGGTCGAGAGTCTCCCTAGTACGAGACACTCTTGCTTTTCGACCACCATGTCCGCGCCCGACCAGAGCCCCCGCCCCCAAGACAACAACCGTGAGTGACGCCCAAGGCGATTACCGCGACTTTTCAACCATGCTAACCGTCCATCAGCCGTCACCGAATCAGCTGTCCCGGGAGCAAACCTGCCTGCCATCGACTGGCGGCAGTTCATGCCGTCATTCAATGTCTCTCCCATGGCTTGTCAACCCAACTCACCGCCTGCCTAGCCCTGAGGCCTACAACCAGATGTTGCGGCAGATGGCCGTCGACGTCCGCCAGATTCAGCAGGTGAGCCCTGTCCTAAGCCCGCTGGAGCGAATAGTCACGGCGATCAATGATTGCCGCGTCTGTTTGCTTTGGCCTTCCCTTCTTTTTACTAACGTAAGGGCTAGCCGGCGCCTGCGCCTTCGACCACCAACGCTCCAGTCGAGGAGTCGTCGCCGCCCAAGAAACGCAAGCGAGTCGTCGAGCCCATACGCATACTCTGTTTTGTTCGTTTCACTATGTTCTGATCGACTTCCAGGCGGCTCCAACCGAGCAAGTCGCCGCCCCTTCGTTGTCCTGGCCTGCCAAGCAGAAGGGGAAGGGTGACGGCTCCAAGTCGCAGGCCCCTGCCGCCGTCGTGGGCAGCAAAGTCGCCGTCGCCCAGAAGTTGAACAAGAAGTCGCACAGGAAGCGACCCAAGGCGGCTCCTCCCAAGGAGCCCAAGGCGTCGTCTCATGCACCTACTCGTAAGTGGCTTTTTCTTTTCATTCACCGAAGTTACGGGTACTGATTTGTCGTAGCCGCTACCTCGGCCCCTGTTCCACAGGGATCACCTCCCAAGCGTGTCTACAAGAAGACGCACGCAGGTGTGTCTGCTTTATGTCTTATTTTGTTGATTGTCAGACTAACCATTTTGACTCTCCCAGCTTGTATCCAGGCGTTATCCCTGCCAACCGAGTCCTCCAGTGAGGAGGAAGCCGCTGCCGTCGCCGATACCGCAATGGAGGTCAACGACGAGGGGGCTCAGGAGGGAGACACGTCTTCGGCCGACGAGCTGGCCCTTCAGGTGAGTGCACCAGTTCGTCGATCGCAATTTCGTCGACTCATGGTTGGTCTGCTTTTGACAGGGGTCCAAGTCCAAGGGGAAAGCGCGATCGAATCTGAGTGCGTTTTTCCTCTTGTCTTCTGTCGTCTACTCACACTTTCGTAGCCCCGTCTGTCATCGTTATGGACGACACCTCCGAAAGTGGAGAGGAGACCGGCGACTTTGTCGTGGCCAAGAAGCAGGCCGTCAAGACCCGCGTCAAGCCTAAGGTGAGCCGCCTCCTCTTTTTCCCAGACCACGCCCCCTTAATCCGACTTTTTAGCCAATCAAGAAGGTCGTGGATGGATCGTCCAAGTCGACCAAGCCCGTGCCTCGCCAACCGGTGCCGAAGGTGGAGGCCAGTCACAAGGCGAGCGCCCCGCGACCGACAACTACCCCGACTCCGGTGCCAAAGGTGAGACACAAGTCTTTGTCTCCCAGATGTCGACTAATCGTTTTTCTTTTCTTTTCTAGGTTGCTCCGGCGGCCCCTGCCGCTACCAAGACTCCACGCAGCGAGTTGGGCAGGGTGGCCGCGACCCTCGGTCGCGAGCGGAATGCTGCGGCGGCCAAGGCCAAGCTCAAGGCCCAGAAGGCAGACAAGTCCGTTGCGGCGTCCAAGAAGAAGTCTGACTCGGTGAGTCGCGGCTTCTCTTGTTGTCGACTCTTATTGACTTGGCTGTTTCTAGACTCCTGCGAAGGCAACGGTCCCCACGCCCCGAGCTCCGTTCACTCCCGCCGCCTACGACACCGAGGCGCTCCTTTTGGTGGCACGCCAAGGGTTCACGGGGAAGTTGGAGAGGGCCGGCATTGAGGTGCCAACCGACTTCGTATGTCTCTTTTTATCTTTTTCTGCCATGCCTCGACGACTGATTCCCTTTTTCATAGGAGGTCGCTCCAAGGCCCTGCGCAATGTGTGTGACGCGGCAGTGCATCTGCTTCAAGAGCGTCGACGGGCGCCACGGCAATTGGTGTGCCCCTTGCGTGCTGTACAAACAGACTTGCACCAACAGCTACAAGCCCGCGGAGCAGCTCTATCTGGGCCAACGCTTCGGGTACATCGCGCAGATGAGCGCGGATGGTACGCATCCACTCTTTTTGTCAGGGGACGCCGCGCTCCTTGGGCACGTGACCATGCACGTGACCCACTGCACCCTCTCTGCCGACCCGTGCCTGCTCACCTGTCGATCACCCAGCCTCCTCCTCCTCCTCCAATCCTCATCTCCATCCA